TCAACCTATCAATTTATTTTTCCAAACCATTTTGGCGCCCCAACATATGTCCCCCCGCCACCCCCCTTCCCCCCTCCTCCCCTTCCCCCCCCCCCGCCTCCCCTCCCCCCCGCCTCCCCTCCCCTACCGTCCCCCCCCCCCTCCTCGGTACGCTACTGCAGTGTCACTTATCGTCACAAAAAAACAGACCCCACATTCAAAAATATGTTTTTTATCTTTTAAAAACACCGAAAACACCGATTTCGGACTATCCCTTCATATACTGACGTCACATGTGACCTGCTCAACTCTACTTCACCTGCCCAGTGTCCCGCCAAGTCTCAGACAATATGTATTTATCGTTTAAAAAACTACTCCAGCCGAGCATGTCTCTGATCACACTATCCTTTCATATGCTTAGGACAAAGAAACAGATGAACTCTACTTCATCTGCCCTGTATCTTGCCAAGTTCAGATAGGCAACTTTATCATTCACATCTAAAAAAAAAAATTGAAAAAAAAAATTTCATTGACATATTGGTCTAGAACCCGTGCCACCTGCATGAGAGCCGACTACGCTACCATTTTAGCTATTTACTCGTGACGTCACAAGTGAATTTTTATACTATACTATGTGTCTCCTTATGCAACTTGATTTACGCGTATAGATTCTAGATCTAGATCTAAGTCTAGTAGTACTAACTTTCAAATTAAATTTTATCTTAAATTAGCCAAACAAAGATTTATATAAAATAATTAAGGCCTGAAATAGATTCTAGATGTAGAATTTACATTAAGTCTAGATCTAGAATTTACATTGAGTCTAGTGACCTACATCTAGGCTAGATCTAGATCTAGGCTAGAATCTAGATTCATAACTTTCCTTCGATAGCTGATCTTTAGATCTAGAGAAATTTATCGTAAAACTAAATGAAAAAGACAGTTGAAAATTGATATAAGTGTTGGAACGTAATAAATACAGCAAACGGACGTATTGTTTAAGTTATAGCCGGCAGAAAATTAGCTTTGTAACGCGTTAAACTTTTGAATGGGCCACAAAGTCTATGATGGAGTCCGCCATTTTTATTGTACCAAAAAGTTAACACATCAAGGGACGTCACTATCCCCACAAAGTTTATTCAAAGTATTAACATTTTTAAAAAAAATACGGTTAATTTAACTATGAATAAATCAATAAATTAATTAACGTCTTTAAATAAATTTGTGATTAACAGTCTGTCTTAAAACAAAAAATTTTCTCTACCTACATACTATTTTACAGCTTTCCACGATGAGTGCAACCATGAGCAATAGTCAATCAGGCAAACAAACAAACAAAAAAAGAAATATTCAAACATGTAAACAAACTTGACTTTTAGTAGTATACTAGAATACCCGTCATCCCTTGGATAACTGTGGGTTTCGGGGGTCATCCATCAAAAAACATCACGTCTGTCACTCAGAGGCATAGCGAGCCTTCCCGGCGCCCGGGGACAAACTTTTCGATTTTAACCCCCCCCCCCAAGATTTCGATTTTCAACCCCCCCCCTCAAACTTTTGATGTGCACCCCCTCCCCCCCCCCCCACTCAAACTTTCGATTTGAACCCCCCTCAACCTTTCAATTTATTTTTCCAAACCATTTTGGCGCCCCAACATACGTCCCCCCGCCCCCCCTTCCCCCCCCCCCCTCCCCCCCCCGCCTCCCCTTCCCCCCCCCCCCCCCCCCGCCTCCCCTTCCCCCCCCCCCCCCCCCGCCTCCCCACCCGCCCCCCCCCCCCTCCTCGCTACGCTACTGCAGTGTCACTTATCGTCACAAAAACAGAGCCCACATTCAAAAATATGTTTCTTATCTTTTAAAAACACCGAAAACACCGATTTCGGACTATCCCTTCATATACTGACGTCACATGTGACCTACTCAACTCTACTTCACCTGCCCAGTGTCCCGCCAAGTCTCAGACAACATGTTTTTATCGTTTAAAAAACGATTCCAGCCGAGCATGTCTCTGACCACACTATCCTTTCATATGGTTAGGACAAAGAAACAGATGAACTCTACTTCACCTGCCCTGTATCCTGCCAAGTTCAGATAAAAATTGAAAAAAAATATCATTTTTTATCATTAACATCTAAAAAAAAATTGAAAAAAAAATATCATTGACATATTGGTCTAGAACCTGTACCACTCGCATGAGAGCGGACTACGCTACAAACTTAGCTATTTACTCGTGACGTCACAAATGAATTTTTATACTATACTTTGATGCAACTTGATTTCGAGCGTCTAGTCTAGAAGTAGTAACTTTCAAATTAAATTTTATCTTAAATTAGCCAAACAAAGATTTATATAAAATAATTAAGGCCTGAAATAGATTCTAGATGTATTAAGGCCTGAAATAGATTCTAGATGTAGAATTTACATTAAGTCTAGATTTAGAATTTACATTGAGTTTAGTGACCTAGATCTAGATCTAGGCTAGATTCATAAATTTCCTTCGACAGCTGATCTTTAGATCTAGAGAAATTTATTGTAAAACTAAATGAAAAAAGACAGTTGAAAATTGATATAAGTGTTGGAACGTAATAAATACAGCAAACGGACGTATTGTTAAAGTTATGACCGACAGAAAATTAGATTTAGAACGCGTTAAACTTTGGAATGGGAACACAATTTTCTTCGATAGACGCCGCCATTTTATTGTACGAAAGAGTCAACAAAAAACTCTGACGTCACTATCAAGGGACGTCACTATCCCCACAAAGTTTATTCAAAGTATTAACATTTTTAAAAAAATACGGTTAATTTAACTATGAATAAATCAATAAATTAATTAACGTCTTTAAATAAATTTGTGATCAACAGTCTGTCTGCATTAAAAAATTATTCTCTACCTGCATACTATTTTACAGCTTTCCAGATAGAGTCGAACATATCACAATAGCCGATCAGGCAAACAAATAAATATTCAAACATGTAAACAAAGTTGAGTTTTAGTAGTATATATATAGATAGATATCACGTTTGGAAACTATAGAGACATTATTGTAGTTGTGTACTTGATTGTAACCTTGACCTCAAAAGGGCCCCTGCACAACCTGTCAGTCAAACAGTTGCTATCGTTACGTGACCAGCACGGACACACCCCTTTACGGGCGGTGCTAGACGGAGGGTACGCCGAGGTAAGAGACAAGCTTTTAAAGAACTAAAACCTCAGGTTCGACGAGATTAATTTTCAATGCAGTCTACATACAACACGTTTTTGGCTTAGGACAAAAGTTATGATGGGTCCCCGTATCAAATATAATGATGGGTCCCCGTATCAAATATAATGATGGGTCCCGTATCAAATATAATGATAGGCCCACCGTGTCAAGTATAATGATGGGTCCCGTATCAAATATAATGTGGGTCCCCGTATCAAATATAATGTGGGTCCCCGTATCAAATATAATGATGGGTCCCGTATCAAATATAATGATGGGTCCCCGTATCAAATATAATGATGGGTCCCCGTATCAAATATAATGATGGGTCCCGTATCAAATATAATGATGGGTCCCCGTACCAAATATAATGATGAGTCCCGTATCAAATATAATGATGGGTCCCGTATCAAATATAATGATGGGTCCCCGTATCAAATATAATGATGGGTCCCCGTATCAAATATAATGATGGGTCCCCGTATCAAATATAATGATGGGTCCCCGTATCAAATATAATGATGGGTCCCGTATCAAATATAATGATGGGTCCCGTATCAAATATAATGATGGGTCCCGTACCAAATATAATGATGGGTCCCCGTATCAAATATAATGATGGGTCCCCGTATCAAATATAATGATGGGTCCCCGTATCAAATATAATGATGGGTCCCGTATCAAATATAATGATGGGTCCCCGTATCAAATATAATGATGGGTCCCCGTATCAAATATAATGATGGGTCCCGTATCAAATATAATGATGGGTCCCCGTATCAAATATAATGATGGGTCCCCGTATCAAATATAATGATGGGTCCCCGTACCAAATATAATGATGGGTCCCCGTATCAAATATAATGATGGGTCCCGTACCAAATAAAATAAAGAGTCCACTGGTTAGCATAGATGAAGAGTTCCTTTGTCAACAATAAAGGAGAGATCCTCTGGGAAAGAATATTTTAAAATGTACAGGTTAAAGTTAAATATATCTTTAAGCTTGCCACCATCCAACAGACATGATACACCATCCAACAGGCATGATACACCATCCAACAGACATGATACACCATCCAACAGGCATGATACACCATCCAACAGACATGATACACCATCCAACAGACATGATACACCATCCAGTACACCTTCCATCAGTCATGATGCACCATGCAACAGACATACACCATTCAATAGAACATATATACCACCCAACAGATACAACATCCAACAAACATGATACAACATACAACTCTGTCACAAATTAGAAAACATCTGTAGGGCATATCAGAAGTTACAGTTCTTGACCTCAAATGTCTTGCAGAGTTTAAAAGTACTGTTAAAATTTGGAGCCGACATTGACGTGTTGATGGTAAATATACTTTTGCTTATTCATGACTTGATGAATTTAGTACCAACTGACAGATAAAGGGGGGGGGTAGAATACGGTCAGTAGTATCATCAAGGCGAACTTTTTTTTTCTAATTAACAAATAATTAATTAGATTTAATTTCACTTAAAACTAGAGACCACTCGATTCCAATAGTGGGGGGGGGGGGGGGGGGGGGGTGTGGCATTGGGACGAATATTTGCTAAATATAGAACGATAAAAACACATAGTTTTTTTTTTATTAACTTAATACTTGTTTTAGTTTGACGCCATTTGATAGAAAAAATGTAGGGAGTGGGTTTAGGGTAGGTGAATTGCTTTCATTTCAGAATAACCTGTATCCCTCTCTTCCAACCTTACTTTCGTTTTAGAATCATGTTTATTCCTTTCTTCTGATCTGTTACAGATACATGATACTAGCCTAAACCCACTGCACTCTGCGGCCTACCAAGGTCACCTGGCCATGATCAAGGTCATGCACCAGATAGCTCAGTTGGACGTAAAGAAGGTCCGTCGCGACAACAAGGGCCGGACTCCGTTGCACTGTGCGGCAGTGTACAACCGCTTTGAGATCATGGAGTACTTCGTCAGCCAGGTCAGTGGTTAGGTCCACCTCATCAGCCAGTGGTTAGGTCCACCTCATCAGGCAGGTCAGTGGTTAGGTCCACCTCATCAGCCAGTGGTTAGGTCCACCTCATCAGCCATGTCAGTGGTTAGGTCCACCTCATCAGCCAGTGGTTAGGTCCACCTCATCAGCCAGGTCAGTGGTTAGGTCCACCTCATCAGCAAGGTCAGTGGTTAGGTCCACCTCATCAGCCAGTGGTTAGGTCCACCTCATCAGCCAGGTCAGTGGTTAGGTCCACCTCATCAGCCAGTGGTTAGGTCCACCTCATCAGCCAGGTCAGTGGTTAGGTCCACCTCATCAGCCAGTGGTTAGGTCCACCTCATCAGCCAGGTCAGTGGTTAGGTCCACCTCATTCCCCAGGTCAGTGGTTAGGTCCACCTCATCACCCAGGTCCGTCCCAAGTAGGTTTATCGACTTTATAAAATACATACTTTAGTTCTTGAGTGACACACGAAGAAAGTCTTTTATCTGAAGTAGATTGATCGATTTGATAAAAAAACATCTCATTTCTCTTGTGCGATTAATTTATTTTATTTGTCAAACTATTCGATAAATAGATGACCTTTCGGGTGAGTCGTAAAGCTACTCTAGTTTTTATGTGAAGAAGACCTTTCATTCCAATGTACTAGAGTTTTTATATTGTCAAATTGTATTAGTCCCAGAAAGTCGACATAGACGTGGTCGATAAGGCAGGCCAAACACCGTTGGTTCTGGCGGCTTCACAAGGCTCCCTCGAGTGTGTTCGAATCCTGTTAAAACGAGGGGCAAATCCTGCAATAACTGGCCCGGACCATCGCAACTTTCTACACCACCTGATTCTTCAGAACATAAATCTCAAGTACCTCCTGGACGTCATTAAGGTAACTTGTACCGTGTGAGAATTTGAGGGGATGTTGTCATTGGTGACAGGACAAATGATCTCAGGACAAATTATCTCAGACAAAATATTTCAGACAAAATATCTCAGACAAAATATCTCAGACAAAATATCTCACGGACAAATGATCTCAGGACAAATGATCTCAAGGACAAAAGATCTCACGGACAAAAGATACCATGTCAAAGTATATCAGGACAAATGATACCATGGACAATTGATCTCAGACAAAATATCTCTAGTATGCTCTACTATTCGATCGCGCAGCTCTAGGTAGAGTATCATGAAAAAAATCAAAATCTCTTCAACTCTTTTATTCTCATATTTATAAAACGACTATCCCTTGCCCAGAATATCCCCAGCCTCAATATTTACCAACGTTTATAAAACGACTATCCCATGCCCAGAATATCCCCAACCCCAACGTTTATAAAACGACTATCCCTTGCCCAGAATATCCCCAACCCCAACGTTTATAAAACGACTATCCCTTGCCCAGAATATCCCCAACCCCAACGTTTATAAAACGACTATCCCTTGCCCAGAATATCCCCAACCCCAATGTTATAAAACGACTATCCCATGCCCAGAATATCCCCAACCCCAATGTTATAAAACGACTATCCCATGCCCAGAATATCCCCAACCCAACGTTTATAAAACGACTATCCCATGCCCAGAATATCCCCAACCTCAACGTTTATAAAACGACTATCCCTTGCCCATAATATCCCCAACCCAACGTTTATAAAACGAATATCCCTTGCCCATAATATCCCCAACCCAACGTTTATAAAACGACTATCCCATGCCCAGAATATCCCCAACCTCAACGTTTATAAAACGACTATCCCATGCCCAGAATATCCCCAACCTCAACGTTTATAAAACGACTATCCCTTGCCCAGAATATCCCCAACCTGAACCTGATCGTGAACGCCAAGGACACGGGTGGCTACACGCCGCTCCACCACGCCGCTGAGCTGGGCCTGACCAGTGCTGTACCCATTCTGTTTGAGCTGGGAGCCCAGTTGAGATACAAGAACAAAGAGAACCTCTCGCCATTTCACTTGGCCATCAAGTAAGTCTGACATTTGGCCATCAAGTAAGTCTAACATCTGGCCATCAGGTAAGTCTAACGTCTGGCCATAAAGTGAGTCTGACATTTGGCCATAAAGTCTGACATTTGGCCATAAAGTCTGAAATTTGGCCAAGTAACTCAACGACTAGATCGAATCTTTCGGGCAGTCAGTCAGGCAACAACAGGTTCTGACTCATTATTGAAGCGTTTCCTTTCAGGGCTGGGTGTATGAAGGTGTGTTGGTTTCCTTACAGGGCTGGGTGTATAAAGGTGTGTGTTGGTTTCCTTATATGGCTGGGTGTATGAAGGTGTGAAGGTTTCCTTACTGGGTGTATGAAGGTGTAATGGTTTCCTTACAGGGCTGGGTGTATAAAGGTGTGTGTTGGTTTCCTTTCAGGCCTGGGTGTATGAAGGTGTGATGGTTTCCTTACAGGGCTGGGTGTATGAAGGTGTGTGTTGGTTTCCTTACTGGGCTGGGTGTATGAAGGTGTGTGTTGGTTTCCTTACTGGGCTGGGTGTATGAAGGTGTGATGGTTTCCTTACAGGGCTGGGTGTATGAAGGTATGATGGTTTCCTTACAGGGCTGGGTGTATGAAGGTGTAATGGTTTCCTTGCTGGGTGTATGAAGGTGTAATGGTTTCCTTACAGGGCTGGGTGTATGAAGGTGTGATGGTTTGCTTACAGGGCTGGGTGTATGAAGGTGTGATGGTTTCCTTGCTGAGTGTATGAAGGTGTAATGGTTTCCTTACAGGGCTGGGTGTATGAAGGTGTGAAGGTTTCCTTACAGGGTTGGGTGTATGAAGGTGTGATGGTTTCCTTACAGGCCTGGGTGTATGAAGGTGTGATGGTTTCCTTACAGGGCTGGGTGTATAAAGGTGTGTGTTGGTTTCCTTACAGGGCTGGGTGTATGAAGGTGTGTTGGTTTCCTTACAGGGCTGGGTGTATGAAGGTGTGATGGTTTTCTTTACGGGGCTGGGTGTATGAAGGTGTGAAGGTTTCCTTACTGGGTGTATGAAGGTGTGATGGTTTCCTTACAGGCCTGGGTGTATGAAGGTGTGAAGGTTTCCTTACAGGGCTGGGTGTATGAAGGTGTGAAGGTTTCCTTACAGGGCTGGGTGTATGAAGGTGTGAAGGTTTCCTTACAGGGTTGGGTGTATGAAGGTGTGTTGGTTTCCTTACAGGGCTGGGTGTATGAAGGTGTGATGGTTTCCTTACGGGGCTGGGTGTATGAAGGTGTGAAGGTTTCCTTACTGGGTGTATGAAGGTGTGATGGTTTCCTTACAGGCCTGGGTGTATGAAGGTGTGATGGTTTCCTTGCTGGGCTGGGTGTATGAAGGTGTGTTGGTTTCCTTACAGGGCTGGGTGTATGAAGGTGTGATGGTTTCCTTACGGGGCTGGGTGTATGAAGGTGTGAAGGTTTCCTTACAGGGCTGGGTGTATGAAGGTGTGATGGTTACCTTACAGGGCTGGGTGTATGAAGGTGTGTTGGTTACCTTACAGGGCTGGGTGTATGAAGGTGTGAAGGTTTCCTTACTGGGTGTATGAAGGTGTAATGGTTTCCTTACAGGGCTGGGTGTTTGAAGGTGTGTGTTGGTTACCTTACGGGGCTGGGTGTATGAAGGTGTGAAGGTTTCCTTACTGGGTGTATGAAGGTGTAATGGTTTCCTTACAGGGCTTGGTGTATGAAGGTGTGATGGTTTCCTTACAGGGCTGGGTGTATGAAGGTGTGATGGTTTCCTTACAGGCCTGGGTGTATGAAGGTGTGATGGTTTCCTTACATGGCTGGGTGTATGGTGTATTGGTTTCCTTACTGGGCTGGGTGTATGGTGTGTTGGTTTCCTTACTGGGCTGGGTGTATGGTGTGTTGGTTTCCTTACTGGGCTGGGTGTATGAAGGTGTGATGGTTACCTTACAGGGCTGGGTGTATGAAGGTGTGAAGGTTTCCTTACTGGGTGTATGAAGGTGTAATGGTTTCCTTACAGGGCTGGGTGTTTGAAGGTGTGTGATGGTTTCCTTACAGGGCTGGGTGTATGAAGGTGTGATGGTTTCCTTACAGGCCTGGGTGTATGAAGGTGTGATGGTTTCCTTACATGGCTGGGTGTATGAAGGTGTGAAGGTTTCCTTACTGGGTGTATGAAGGTGTGTTGGTTTCCTTACAGGGCTGGCAGTATGAAAGTGTGTTGGTTTCCTTTCAGGGCTGGGTGTATGAAGGTGTGTCTTGCGATGCTCAAACGAACGACTGGAGGAGTGACCATCTCAGAGATTGACGGCAGGGGTCGGAGCCCCGTCCATCTGGCGGCCAGGTACGGTCACGTCAAGATTCTGGACACGCTGGTCAAGCTCGGGGCTCGGATGAAGAGGTGCGTTCAGACATTTTTTACACCCCTCATATAAAGAGGTGCGTTCAGGCGGACATTTTTAACACCCCTCATATAAAGAGGTGCGTTCAGACGGACATTTTTAACACCCCTCATATAAAGAGGTGCGTTCAGACGGACATTTTTAACACCCCTCAAATAAAGAGGTGCGTTCAGACGGACATTTTTAACACCCCTCAAATAAAGAGGTGCGTTCAGACGGACATTTTTAACACCCCTCAGATAAAGAGGTGAGTTGAGACGGTTAACACCCCTCAAATAAAGAGGTGCGTTCAGACGGACATTTTTAATACCCCTCAGATAAAGAGGTGCGTTCAGACATTTTTAACACCCCTCAGATAAAGAGGTGCGTTCAGACGGACATTTTTAACACCCCTCATATAAAGTGGTGCGTTCAGGCATTTTTAACATCCCTCATACAAAGAGGTGCATTCAGACACTTTTAACACCCCTCATATAAAGAGGTGCGTTCAGAGCCTTTTAACACCCCTCATATAAAGAGGTGCGTTCAGAGCCATTTAACACCCCTCATATAAAGAGGTGCGTTCAGACGGACATTTTTAACACCCCTCATATAAAGAGGTGCGTTCAGACGGACATTTTTAACACCCCTCATATAAAGAGGTGCGCTCAGACGGAAATTTTTAACACCCCTCATATAAAGAGGTGCGTTCAGGCATTTTTAACACCCCTCATATAAAGAGGTGCGTTCAGACATTTTTAACATCCCTCATATAAAGAGGTGCGTTCAGACACTTTTAACACAACTCATATAAAGAGGTGCGTTCAGACGGACATTTTTAACACCCCTCATATAAAGAGGTGCGTTCAGACATTTTTAACACCACTCAGATAAAGAGGTGCGTTCAGACGGACATTTTTAACACCCCTCAGATAAAGAGGTGCGTTCAGACGGACATTTTTAACACCCCTCAGATAAAGAGGTGCGTTCAGACATTTTTTAACAAGACAGGTGTGTTGCATTTTTGTACCACTCATTTTTTTTTTCTTTGTGTGTGTGTGGGGGGGGGGTGTCACCATTAGGCGCCGCACTGGGTGACACCCGACCTTGCTACGCCACTGTTTCAATGCACTAGTTTAGACGCTTTGGGGATATTTGTAGATCACGGGTTCCCAACCTGGGGGTCGCGACCCCCCTGGGGGTCGCGAAGGGCTTTCTGGGGGGTCGCCAACTGGTATACTAAACCTTAGTAATTTGAAACAAAACATAAATATTTAGAAGAATTTTTTAAATTCGGCTTTATTAACATCACTGGAAAGGGAATAGAGAAGAAGCAAAGCGTACTGTACAAAGTTGTTCTCAGTCACGAGTTTATGAAATCTTCAAAACTAAAACGTCATTTTAGACGAGTCATTCGAAACACACCAAAAAAGATATGGAGTTCTTTCGTCGGTATGAAGCTAGTTGCAAACGTCGGAGACTTGATCGAACAGGAACTTTTCAAATCTCATCAAACGCTGCCTGTTGAAGATGGTGAAGTTAATTTTTACATGTCCGTAGATGATAAATAATACATTTTTATTGAAATCAAGCTTTCACCATTGTTTGCTTTTCAAGTTGATAAATCAACAGACGTGAGTTCGTGTTCTCAGTTGCTGGTCTTTGTCTCTATTCATTCAGATGATAGCAAAGAAGAGTTGCTTTTTTGTCAAGATAGCATGGAGAAAATAAATACGTTTTTTTAATTGGATAATAAAAATGGGTTAAAACGGCTGTGAGGGTTTGTACGGATGGTGCACCATCTATGTTTAGGTCAAAATCGGGCTTTCAGAAAGCAGAAAATATTTAGCTCCCTAACCACTGCCCTCACCAATCGCCATCAAGACTCCATTGCTAGTATAAGTGGTAAATTATATAAAATCTGGAGCCTTCAAAGAACTGAGCAAAGACCTGAATAAAGATCACGAGGTTCTGCTAATCTACACTACAGTGCGCTTGCTGTCAAACGAATTGTTGTGAATCGTGTTTTTTAATTGAAATCTGAAATCAAATTGTTCTTGGAAATGCAAAGGAAACAAGACCTTTTGGTATACTTAAAATGACATAGAGTGGTTGGAGAGAGTATCATACCTAGCAGATGTGTTCGAATATCAAGATAAGCATTACCTGAAGCTTCAGGGAAAATGAACGAATATTATAACTTTCCATGATTATCTCGGGGCATTTTTATCAAAGCTGCAAAATCGGCGAAAAAAATAAATAAATCTTGGAAATATTGTAAATTTGAGAAACTCTGCAGTGTGGTAGATGAATCTAATTGTGAGATAATTAAAATTTTGAAAGAAGAAATTTCTGGGCATCTTGAATCTATTGAAAACGAACTGCAGCGCTATTTATCTGAGCTGAAAAAAAAGAATCTGCATTGACGCATTACCCATTCTCTTCTTCCCTCGATGTTGCCAGCATTCACGATGAATTACAATTATTTGATTTGTAGAATGATTCCGCGTAAGATAAAAAAATCCACACTCAATTTTGGTGTAGTATTCACCATTCATACCCAAAGTAAAATTGATTGACTTTTCGAGAATAGATTTTCAACACTATTTTTCGATTAAAAACAAAATTAAGAAAATGATAATGACATAGGTTAGCGTTAACAAAAAAAAATTCTTAAAAAAAAATTTATTCGCGAATGTTTAGTGAATAGTATGCAATTTTACTCAGGGTATTAAAACAGTTATCAAGAGTAGTTCATATTGAAAGTCTACTAGATCTAGAAAATGTTATTTTAGTGCTTATTAATTTCCATACTAATTTCGTCTTTTTAATTCTATGGGGGTCGCGGGTCACTTAATTTTTATAAAAGGGGGTCGCCACTCGAAAAAGGTTGGGAACTACTGTTGTAGATAGTTCAGAAATTTGGGGATATTTGTAAGGACTAGTTCAGAAATGGATTACGTGGGGATTTGTTACTAGATGACATACTGGATAACCTAACTTGTTAATGTTAGTTGGGGGGGGGGGGGGGGTGGCGACAGGTATAGGTATCATGGTGGTATTAAAGTGACGTCATCTCTGTACCAGAGACAAAGACGGCAACACCCCCCTCCACTACGCCGCGGCTGCTGGGAACCTGATATGTGCTGAGAATCTGCTCCACGTGTGGGGCTCGGTGCTCAATGCTCAAAACAATGTCGGGGTGAGTTTTTAACGACTTCTTGTATTGAGGGTTTAATTTGGTTGTGGTGTGAGGGTTTAACTTGGTTGTGGTGTGAGGGTTTAACTTGGTTGTGGTGTGAGGGTTTAACTTGGTTGTAGTATGAGGTTAACTTGGTTGTCGTGTGAGGGTTTAACTTGGTTGTGGTTTGAGGGTTTAACTTGGTTGTGGTGTGAGGGTTTAACTTGGTTGTGGTGTGAGGGTTTAACTTGGTTGTCGTGTGAGGGTTTAACTTGGTTGTCGTGTGGGGGTTTAACTTGGTTGTCGTGTGAGGTGGTTAACCTTATTTCAGTTTAGGAATTTAACGCGGCCTTTATGTGATGGTTTAACGCCGTCTCGGGGTGAGGGTCAAACACAAAGTGTTTGACGAGGATTTAACGCCATGAAAGCTTAACAAACACAGAGTTGGGGTTTAACGCCCTGTATGGGCGACGGCTTGTATATTTTCTGATGACAAGAATCTTTCTAATCGGATAAGATTTAACATTCAGACTATAAACTAACATAACGTCCTTGACCTTGTGCCCGCCTTACATAACGTCCTTGACCTTGTGTCCGCCTTACATAACGTCCTTAACCTTGTGCCCGCCTTACATAACGTCCTTGACCTTGTGTCCGCCTTACATAACGTTCTTGACCTTGTGCCCGCCTCACATAACGTCCTTGACCTTGTGCCCGCCTTACATAACGTCCTTGACCTTGTGCCCGCCTTTCATAACGTCCTTGACCTTGTGCCCGCCTTACATAACGTCATTGACCTTGTGCCCGCCTTACATAACGTCCTTGACCTACACTTCCTGCCAGGACACGGCCCTCCACCTGGCTGCCAGGAACAACAACGCCAAAATTGTGGCCATGCTTCTCTCTAACGACGCTCTGGTCGTCTCCAACGACGGTCAGTACACGTTCTTAGACGACGCCATCACCAACCGCTGCGTCGATGTGGCCGAAGGGATCGTTCGACATGAGAGGCAATCTAACCCTACACGACAGTTAGCCTGAACCTACACGACAGTTAGCCACTACACGACAGTTAGCCACTACACGACAGTTAGCCTGACCCTACACGACAGTTAGCCACTACACGACAGTTAGCCTGACCCTACACGACAGTTAGCCTGGCCCTACACGACAGTTAGCCTGACCCTACACGACAGTTAGCCTGACCCTACACGACAGTTAGCCTGACCCTACAGTTAGCCTGACCCTACAGTTAGCCTGACCCTACACGACAGTTAGCCTGACCCTACAGTTAGCCTGACCCTACACGACAGTTAGCCTGACCCTACAGTTAGCCTGACCCTACACGACAGTTAGCCTGACCCTACACGACAGTTAGCCTGACCCTACAGTTAGCCTGACCCTACACGACAGTTAGCCTGACCCTACACGACAGTTAGCCTGACCCTACACGACAGTTAGCCTGACCCTACAGTTAGCCTGACCCTACACGACAGTTAGCCTGACCCTAAACGACAGTTAGCCTGACCCTACACGACAGTTAGCCTGACCCTACAGTTAGCCTGACCCTACACGACAGTTAGCCTGACCCTACACGACGGTTAGCCTGACCCTACAGTTAGCCTGACCCTACAGTTAGCCTGACCCTACACGACAGTTAGCCTGACCCTACACGACAGTTAGCCTGACCCTACACGACAGTTAGCCTGACCCTACAGTTAGCCTGACCCTACAGTTAGCCTGACCCTACACGACAGTTAGCCTGACCCTACAGTTAGCCTGACCCTACACGACAGTTAGCCTGACCCTACACGACAGTTAGCCTGACCCTACACGACAGTTAGCCTGACCCTACAGTTAGCCTGACCCTACACGACAGTTAGCCTGACCCTACACGACAGTTAGCCTGACCCTACACGACAGTTAGCCTGACCCTACACGACAGTTAGCCTGACCCTACAGTTAGCCTGACCCTACAGTTAGCCTGACCCTACACGACAGTTAGCCTGACCCTACAGTTAGCCTGACCCTACACGACAGTTAGCCTGACCCTACAGTTAGCCTGACCCTACACCACAGTTAGCCTGACCCTACAGTTAGTCTGACCCTACACGACAGTTAGCCTGACCCTACAGTTAGCCTGACCCTACACGACAGTTAGCCTGACCCTACACGACAGTTAGCCTGACCCTACAGTTAGCCTGACCCTACACGACAGTTAGCCTGACCCTACAGTTAGCCTGACCCTACACGACAGTTAGCCTGACCCTACAGTTAGCCTGACCCTACAGTTAGCCTGACCCTACACGACAGTTAGCCTGACCCTACACGACAGTTAGCCTGACCCTACAGTTAGCCTGACCCTACAGTTAGTCTGACCCTACACGACAGTTAGCCTGACCCTACAGTTAGCCTGACCCTACACGACAGTTAGCCTGACCCTACACGACAGTTAGCCTGACCCTACACGACAGTTAGCCTGACCCTACAGTTAGCCTGACCCTACAGTTAGCCTGACCCTACACGACAGTTAGCCTGACCCTACAGTTAGCCTGACCCTACACGACAGTTAGCCTGACCCTACAGTTAGTCTGACCCTACACGACAGTTAGCCTGACCCTACACGACAGTTAGCCTGACCCTACACGACAGTTAGCCTGACCCTACACGACAGTTAGCCTGACCCTACACGACAGTTAGCCTGACCCTACACGACAGTTAGCCTGACCCTACACGACAGTTAGCCTGACCCTACAGTTAGCCTGACCCTACAGTTAGCCTGACCCTACACGACAGTTAGCCTGACCCTACAGTTAGCCTGACCCTACAGTTAGCCTGACCCTACACGACAGTTAGCCTGACCCTACACGACAGTTAGCCTGACCCTACACGACAGTTAGCCTGACCCTACACGACAGTTAGCCTGACCCTACAGTTAGCCTGACCCTACAGTTAGCCTGACCCTACACGACAGTTAGCCTGACCCTACACGACAGTTAGCCTGACCCTACAGTTAGCCTGACCCTACACGACAGTTAAATTGTCTAATGTGCCACCAGATGGACCGAGCTACTCAACATCAGGTCAGCTGTTTGCGGTCACTACTCCCTTGAGTTCATTAAACACATACCCAGTGCTTTCAAGGTAAGCTTTCTGTTTCTACACAACATACAATTCTGTATATGTTATCTCAAGCCTCCCTACACAACCATAGGGGTAGTGGCAGTCTCGCGATCTGGCCACATACCACTTACACACCCACACACTGACCCTCCACACCCACACACTGACCCCTCCACACCCCCACACTGACCCCTCCACACCCACACACTGACCCCTCCACACCCACACAATGACCCCTCTACAACCACAAACTGACCCCTCCATACCAACAAACTGACCCTCCTGATTTATCAATGGTCTGACACTCATGAATTAGAACACCCCCCCACCCCCTTTCCCTTTATCATCAACAGATTGTTCTAGACAAGTGTATCCAGAGAAGTGACTTGAACCAATTAGACAGTTTGTACACAGTAAGTCTTTTTTTTTTTTTTACATTTTACAGAGTAAGTCTATTTACTACAGTTATTGAATCGGTTGCATTTTATTTTTACAAATATAGGTAACATATAATTTTACCTACCTGTAATTTTACACATAGTTTATAGGTAACCTATAACTTTACCTAACTGTCACTTTACACCTTTTTTATAGGTAACCTATAACTTTACCTAACTGTCACTTTACACCTTTTTTTATAGGTAACCTATAACTTTACCTAACTGTCACTTTACACCTTTTTTTTATAGGTAACCTATAACTTTACCTGTCACTTTACACCTTTTTTTTATAGGTAACCTATAACTTTACCTGTCACTTTACACCTTTTTTTTATAGGTAACCTATAACTTTACCTGTCACTTTACACCTTTTTTTATAGGTAACCTATAACTTTACCTGTCACTTTACACCTTTTTTTTATAGGTAACCTATAACTTTACCTGTCACTTTACACCTTTTTTTTTTATAGGTAACCTATAACTTTACCTGTCACTTTACACCTTTTTTTTATAGGTAACCTATAACTTTACCTGTCACTTTACACCTTTTTTTTATAGGTAACCTATAACTTTACCTGTCACTTTACACCTTTTTTTTATAGGTAACCTATAACTTTACCTGTCACTTTACACCTTTTTTTTATAGGTAACCTATAACTTTACCTAACTGTCACTTTACACCTTTTTTTATAGGTAACCTATAACTTTACCTGTCACTTTACACCTTTTTTTATAGGTAACCTATAACTTTACCTGTCACTTTACACCTTTTTTTATAGGTAACCTATAACTTTACCTACTTACACCTGGACCAAAGCTACCAAAAGTTCGCAGAAACTAAACACTACGCTTCCAATATCTTGCTCCCTTTAAAGGTAAGCCTAGCATGCAGCTACCCTTTAAAGGTAAGCCTAGCATGCAGCTACCCTTTAAAGGTAAGCCTAGCATGCAGCAAGAACAAACCCGATTCAAATTTTATGTAGTTTATACCACATCCAGTGTACATAAACTATGTTAGCGCTGCACTTTGTGTAGGAAATGTGAATTTTGTCCTCTAGTTGTCATATATGTGCTTCTTGTCCTCCAAATGTCCTACTTGATTTGTCCTCTAGCTGATGATCAAATACAAGAGAGAGGCTTTGTTGTCTCATCCGTTGACCCTGTGGTACCTGAGACTCAAATGGTGAGTACACTGGTCGTAGCTTCAAATGGTGATACTACAAGTGGTAGACTCAAATGGTGATACTACAAGTGGTAGACTCAAATGGTGATACCACTCCAATCATGTCCATCTCCTGCTAACACTCCAATCATGTCCATCTCCTGCTAACACTCCAATCATGTCCATCTCCTGCTAACACTCCAATCATGTCCATCTCCTGCTAACACTCCAATCATGTCCATCTCCTGCTAACACTCCAATCATGTCCATCTCCTGCTAACACTCCAATCATGTCCATCTCCTGCTAACACTCCAATCATGTCCATCTCCTGCTAACACTCCAATCATGTCCATCTCCTGCTAACACTCCAATCATGTCCATCTCCTGCTAACACTCCAATCATGTCCATCTTGCCTAGGATGAAGTACGGTATCCTGCTGACGGTACTGCGGATGAGCCTGTACGCGACCTTCCTCAGCTGTCTGACGTCCATCGTTGTTTCCCTGCGGCCGCTGGACCACTACGACGGCCGCGTGCTCCGGCCGGTGCCCATCAACTACCAGCAGAACGTCCAGAAGGTTCTGGAGGGGAAGCTGCCCAGCTACGATGGTAACGAAGACAACGAGTCCAGTTATATTTACCTGCGCCGTGCTGACATCGTCCATGACGAGTATAACGAGAAAACTCGGATACCTGTAAGTCCGTGTCCACTGTGGGGGTGAGCTTTGGCCACACGCTTATTGTGCTGTGTGTATTGGAGCAGGGTTAAATACATTTAGGGGATGCTAAACTTGAACGGACTTGGGTAGATATGACTGAGATAATTAATTAATTAAGGAGATTTTAGAGCCGCTTGTATGTATGGTAGACCATATGGTTATAGATTACTTGCTATTTTTACTTTCTCGTGTAGAGGATAAGTAATGCAAAAAATTTAAAAAGTTTGAAACCTTTCTGCGTGCGTCCGCGTGCGTGCCTGTGTTATTTAAGCGATTTTTCTATAATCGAAATTGGTACCTTTCTTTTTTTTCTTGTTTCTGGTGTGTGTGTTTCTGGTGCTTGTGTTTCTGGTGTGTTTTTGACAATCAACCAACCCTATCCCGCATCTGGCCAATCCGGCAATCACCCAACAATTTTCCTGGCAACTGACTGACGCCACTACCAGACACCTTATCACATCCAGTGGCTGATCGGTGTAGTGGCATTCTACATCGTCATCTCTATCATTAAAGACGGCATATACTTCTGGCGTACAGAGAAGGTGAGTACATGACATGTGCCTATCTTGACCACACTCATGTGTCCTTAGAACTTTAGTAGCCTGCGCCATTTCTACGGGTAGATGTGACACAAGTCAATGTTTTTACTATAACAGCTGTCACGTCATTTATGTTATACCAAAGATGACAAATATGTTATACCAAATATGACAAATGTGTTATACCAAATATGACAAATATGTTATACCAAGTATGACAAATATGTTATACCAAATATGACAAATGTGTTATACCAAATATGACAAATATGTTATAACAAATATGACAAATATGTTATACCAAGCATGACAAATATGTTATACCAAATATGACAAATATGTTATACCAAATATGACAAATATGTTATACCAAATATGACAAATATATTATACCAAGTATGACAAATATGTTATACCAAATATGACAAATATGTTATACCAAATATGACAAATATGTTATACCAAATATGACAAATATGTTATACCAAATATGACAGATATGTTATACCAAATATGACAAATATGTTATACCAAAGATGACAAATATGTTATACCAAATATGACAAATATGTTATACCAAATATGACAAATATGTTATACCAAATATGAAAAATATGTTATACCAAATATGAAAAATATGTTATACCAAAGATGACAAATATGTTATACCAAATATGACAAATATGTTATACCAAATATGACAAATATGTTATACCAAATATGAAAAATATGTTATACCAAATATGAAAAATATGTTATACCAAAGATGACAAATATGTTATACCAAAGATGACAAATATGGTATACCAAATATGGCAAATATGTTATACCAAATATGACAAGCCATTTTTCCCGACGTAATAAACATGGTAGAAGTCATAATTATGTTCTAACATTATCTGGTGAGGTGGACGATACACAGGTTTTTTTTTTAAAACGAACCCTAATCTATATCGTACCGTTTAACGCAAAAGTAGGCCTAGTCTATTTTAAAAAATCGATCATATGAGAACGGCAACAAAATGTATACATAACGCATCCACGGGTGTAAGATTAGAGGGGTGGCATTAGGCACAGGTGTAAGATTAGAGGGGTGGCATTAGGCACAGGTGTAAGATTAGAGGGGTGGCATTAGGCACAGGTGTAAGATTAGAGGGGTGACATTAGGCACAGGTCTAAGATTAGAAGGGTGGCATTAGGCACAGGTGTAAGATTAGAGGGGTGGCATTAGGCACAGGTGTAAGATTAGAGGGGTGGCATTAGGCACAGGTGTAAGATTAGAGGGGTGGCATTAGGCACAGGTGTAAGATTAGAGGGGTGGCATTAGGCACAGGTGTAAGATTAGAGGGGTGGCATTAGGCACAGGTGTAAGATTAGAGGGGTGGCATTACGCACAGGTGTAAGATTAGAGGGGTGGCATTAGGCACAGGTGTAAGATTAGAGGGGTGGCATTAGGCACATGTGTAAGATTAGAGGGGTGGCATTACGCACAGGTGTAAGATTAGAGGGTGGCATTAGGCACAGGTGTAAGATTAGAGGGGTGGCATTAGGCACAGGTGTAAGATTAGAGGGGTGGCATTAGGCACAGGTGTAAGATTAGATGGGTGGCATTAGGCACAGGTGTAAGATTAGAGGGGTGGCATTAGGCACAGGTGTAAGATTAGAGGGGTGGCATTAGGCACAGGTGTAAGATTAGAGGGGTGGCATTAGGCACAGGTGTAAGATTAGAGGGGTGGCATTAGGCACAGGTGTAAGATTAGAGAGGTGGCATTAGGTGCAGGTGTAAGATTAGAGGGGTGGCATTAGGCGCAGGTGTAAGATTAGAGGGGTGGGATTAGGCACAGGTGTAAGATTAGAGGGGTGGCATTAGGCACAGGTGTAAGATTAGAGGGGTGGCATTAGGCACAGGTGTAAGATTAGAGGGGTGGCATTAGGCACAGGTGTAAGATTAGAGGGGTGGCATTAGGCACAGGTGTAAGATTAGAGGGGTGGCATTAGGCACAGGTGTAAGATTAGAGGGGTGGCATTAGGCACAGGTGTAAGATTAGAGGGGTGGCATTACGCACAGGTGTAAGATTAGAGGGGTGGCATTAGGCACAGGTGTAAGATTAGAGGGGTGGCATTAGGCACATGTGTAAGATTAGAGGGGTGGCATTAGGCACAGGTGTAAGATTAGAGGGTGGCATTAGGCACAGGTGTAAGATTAGAGGGGTGGCATTAGGCACAGGTGTAAGATTAGAGGGGTGGCATTAGGCACAGGTGTAAGATTAGATGGGTGACATTAGGCACAGGTGTAAGATTAGAGAGGTGGCATTAGGTGCAGGTGTAAGATTAGAGGGGTGGCATTAGGCGCAGGTGTAAGATTAGAGGGGTGGGATTAGGCACAGGTGTAAGATTAGAGGGGTGGCATTAGGTGCAGGTGTAAGATTAGAGGGGTGGCATTAGGCACAGGTGTAAGATTAGAGGGGTGGCATTAGGCACAGGTGTAAGATTAGAGGGGTGGCATTACGCACAGGTGTAAGATTAGAGGGGTGGCATTAGGCACAGGTGTAAGATTAGAGGGGTGGCATTAGGCACAGGTGTAAGATTAGAGGGTGGCATTAGGCACAGGTGTAAGATTAGAGGGTGGCATTAGGCACAGGTGTAAGATTAGAGGGGTGGCATTAGGCACAGGTGTAAGATTAGAGGGGTGGCATTAGGCACAGGTGTAAGATTAGATGGGTGACATTAGGCACAGGTGTAAGATTAGATGGGTGGCATTAGGTGCAGGCGTAAGATTAGATGGGTGACATTAGGCACAGGTGTAAGATTAGATGGGTGGCATTAGGTGCAGGTGTAAGATTAGAGGGGTGGCATTAGGCGCAGGTGTAAGATTAGATGGGTGGCATTAGGTGCAGGTGTAAGATTAGAGGGGTGGCATTAGGCGCAGGTGTAAGATTAGAGGGGTGGGATTAGGCACAGGTGTAAGATTAGAGGGGTGGCATTAGGTGCAGGTGTAAGATTAGAGGGGTGGCATTAGGCACAGGTGTAAGATTAGAGGGGTGGCATTAGGCACAGGTGTAAGATTAGAGGGGTGGCATTAGGCACAGGTGTAAGATTAGAGGGGTGGCATTAGTCACAGGTGTAAGATTAGAGGGGTGGCATTAGGCACAGGTGTAAGATTAGAGGGGTGGCATTAGGCACATGTGTAAGATTAGAGGGGTGGCATTAGGTACAGGTGTAAGATTAGAGGGGTGGCATTAGGCACAGGTGTAAGATTAGAGGGGTGGCATTAGGCACAGGTGTAAGATTAGAGGGGTGGGATTAGGCACAGGTGTAAGATTAGAGGGGTGGGATTAGGCACAGGTGTAAGATTAGACTAAGATTGTCTGCTGTCTTTTATGGACGACATGCTGACAACTACCTCGGCGATCTCCTAATGTCATTCCCTTAAATACCTTCCCATAAAGTCCTTCACTTAAAGTCCTTCCCTAAAAGTCCTTCCCTGAAAGTCCTTCCCTAAAAGTACTTCCCCTTAAAGTACTTCCCCTAAAGTCCTTCCATACTTCTACTCTTACAAAATGCTCTATGTGCTTCATCCCACCCTGACTTATCTAGAAATTCCTGAGTCCCACGACCAAAGTGACAGAATGGATCATGTACTGTTCTACCACCTACTTTATCGTGCCTATGATGTTCAACTACAGAAACCACTACCAGTGGTCAGCGGGGGCCATCGCTATTTATCTGGCCTGGTTCAACTGTTACATGCACATTCAGAGGTTTGCCCAAAACACATTGTCTTTGATTTTAGTCACTTTTTAAGGGGGTTGAAAATTTTAAACCATTAGCACACAAAAAAATTGAAATCAGTGTTTCCTCAATAAAACTGTAATCCGTAAAGCGATCTTCAATTATGAAATTAACTCATAGAAGCAACAAACGCTTTTATTACATATTCAATCTTTAAAAAAAAGTTTTAATGCTTGATTTTATAAATGTCGATGAAACACGTAGGCCTACTACGCAGATGAAGAAGATGAAAATAATTTACTGCACAGGTTAAATGAGAGCTTTACAGCTCCTCAGATGACGCCCCAGGTGCTAGGGGGCGCTGGGGCGTCACGGGCAGCTGCCGGTAGATCTGGGGCTGCTGCAGCAGGCGTGAGGGAATCTTTCACGCTGCAATTCCTCAGTTATATATATATATATATATATATATATATATATATATATATATATATATATATATATATATATATATATATATATATATATATATATATATATATACAGAGAGATAGAGAATGATAGCATTCGTCTAATCTGGGTGCTCCCCCTAGGCCAAAAACCTGTGTTTGCCTCATGTAGGTTCGACTACTTCGGCATCTACGTTGTCATGTACATCGAGACGATGAAGACTTTGCTCAAAGTGTTGCTGCTCTTTTTTATGCTCGTCATGGCGTTTGGTCTGGCCTTCTATGTCGCTCTAAGTGATGAGGTGAGTCGGTACATCAGTGTGTCGCCCCATTGTAAGTCGGTACATCCGTGTGTCGCCCCATGGTAAGTCGGTACATCAGTGTGTCGCCCCATGGTAAGTCGGTACATCAGTGTGTCGCCCCATGGTAAGTCGGTACATCCGTGTGTCGCCCCCCCCCCCATGGTAAGTCGGTACATCAGTGTGTCGCCCCCATGGTAAGTCGGTACATCCGTGTGTCGCCCCATGGTAAGTCGGTACATCAATGTGTCGCCCCATGGTAAGTCGGTACATCCGTGTGTCACCCCATGGTAAGTCGGTACATCAATGTGTCGCCCCATGGTAAGTCGGTACATCAGTGTGTCGCCCCATTGTAAGTCGGTACATCCGTGTGTCGCCCCATGGTAAGTCGGTACATCAGTGTGTCGCCCCCCCCCCATGGTAAGTCGGTACATCAGTGTGTCGCCCCCATGGTAAGTCGGTACATCCGTGTGTCGCCCCATGGTAAGTCGGTACATCAATGTGTCGCCCCATGGTAAGTCGGTACATCCGTGTGTCGCCCCATGGTAAGTCGGTACATCAGTGTGTCGCCCCCATGGTAAGTCGGTACATCAGTGTGTCGCCCCATTGTAAGTCGGTACATCCGTGTGTCGCCCCATGGTAAGTCGGTACATCAGTGTGTCGCCCCCCCCCCCCATGGTAAGTCGGTACATCAGTGTGTCGCCCCATTGTAAGTCGGTACATCCGTGTGTCGCCCCATGGTAAGTCGGTACATCAGTGTGTCGCCCCCCCCCCCATGGTAAGTCGGTACATCCGTGTGTCGCCCCATGGTAAGTCGGTACATCCGTGTGTCGCCCCATGGTAAGTCGGTACATCCGTGTGTCGCCCCCCCCCATGGTAAGTCGGTACATCAGTGTGTCGCCCCCATGGTAAGTCGGTACATCCGTGTGTCGCCCCATGGTAAGTCGGTACATCAATGTGTCGCCCCATGGTAAGTCGGTACATCCGTGTGTCACCCCATGGTAAGTCGGTACATCCGTGTGTCGCCCCATGGTAAGTCGGTACATCAGTGTGTCGCCCCATGGTAAGTCGGTACATCCGTGTGTCGCCCCATGGTAAGTCGGTACATCCGTGTGTCGCCCCCCCCCCCCCATGGTAAGTCGGTACATCAGTGTGTCGCCCCCATGGTAAGTCGGTACATCCGTGTGTCGCCCCATGGTAAGTCGGTACATCCGTGTGTCGCCCCATGGTAAGTCGGTACATCAGTGTGTCGCCCCCATGGTAAGTCGGTACATCAGTGTGTCGCCCCCCCCCCCCCATGGTAAGTCGGTACATCAGTGTGTCGATAATCTTGCAGCTTAAATTAAAATTTGAAACCTTTATTTTTGATGGGACTGCATGGTCGTTTGGTAGAGCTAACAACTGCTCGAGTTTTAGTGTTAGTCTCGAGTCTGTACAACGTCCCTGAGTTCATCCAGCTCTGATGGGTACCTGACACATTAGTGAGACGCAGGCGGCTGAGCATAGTGTTGACCACACTATCCCTTCATATGCCAAGGTCACAAAAACAGCTTAACTCTACTTCACTTGCCCCATGGACCGTCAAAACGAAACTTGATTATTTACCAACCAATAGTTAACAAAAATTGATTATTTACCAACTAATATATAGTTAATAAAACTTGATTATTTACCAACTAATATATAGTTAACAAAACTTGATTATTTACCAACTAATATAATTAACAAAACTTCATTATTTACCAACTAATATATAGTTAACAAAACTTGATTATTTACCAACTAATATATAGTTAACAAAACTTGATTATTTACCAACCAATAGTTAACAAAACTTTATTATTTACCAACCAATAGTTAACAAAACCTGATTATTTACCAACCAATAGTTAACAAAACTTGATTACTTACCAACTAATGTATAGTTAACAAAACTTGATTATTTACCAGCCAATTGTTAACTAAACTTGATTATTTACCAACCAATAGTTAATAAAACCTGATTATTTACCAACCAATAGTTAACAAAACTTGATTATTTACCAACTAATATATAGTTAACAAAACTTGATTATTTACCAGCCAATGGTTAACAAAACTTGATTATTTACCAACCAATAGTTAACAAAACTTGATTATTTACCAGCCAATGGTTAACAAAACTTGATTATTTACCAACCAATAGTTAACAAAGCTTGATTATTTACCAACCAATAGTTAACAAAACTTGATTATTTACCAAACAATAGTTAACAAAACTTGATTATTTACCAACCAATAGTTAACAAAGCTTGATTATTTACCAGCCAATAGTTAACAAAACTTGATTATTTAAAGCCTAATATATAGTTAACAAAAATTTGATTATTTACCAACCAATAGTTAACAAAACTTGATTATTTACCAAACAATAGTTAACAAAACCTGATTATTTACCAAACAATAGTTAACAAAACTTGATTATTTACCAACCAATAGTTAACAAAACATGATTATTTACCAACCAATAGTTAACAAAACTTGATTATTTACCAGCCAATAGTTAACAAAACTTGATTATTTAAAACTTAATATATAGTTAACAAAACTTGATTATTTACCAACCAATAGTTAACAAAACTTGATTATTTACCAACTAATATATAGTTAACAAAACTTGATTATTTACCAACCAATGGTTAACAAAACTTGATTATATACCAGCCAATGGTTAACAAAACTTGATTATTTACCAGCCAATGGTTAACTAAACTTGATTACTTACCAACTAATGTATAGTTAACAAAACTTGATTATTTACCAGCCAATTGTTAACTAAACTTGATTATTTACCAACCAATAGTTAATAAAACCTGATTATTTACCAACCAATAGTTAACAAAACTTGATTATTTACCAACTAATATATAGTTAACAAAACTTGATTATTTACCAGCCAATGGTTAACAAAACTTGATTATTTACCAACCAATAGTTAACAAAACTTGATTATTTACCAGCCAATGGTTAACAAAACTTGATTATTTACCAACCAATAGTTAACAAAGCTTGATTATTTACCAACCAATAGTTAACAAAACTTGATTATTTACCAAACAATAGTTAACAAAACTTGATTATTTACCAACCAATAGTTAACAAAGCTTGATTATTTACCAGCCAATAGTTAACAAAACTTGATTATTTAAAACCTAATATATAGTTAACAAAAATTTGATTATTTACCAACCAATAGTTAACAAAACTTGATTATTTACCAAACAATAGTTAACAAAACCTGATTATTTACCAAACAATAGTTAACAAAACTTGATTATTTACCAGCCAATAGTTAACAAAACTTGATTATTTAAAACTTAATATATAGTTAATAAAACTTGATTATTTACCAACCAATAGTTAACAAAACTTTATTATTTACCAGCCAATAGTTAACAAAACTTGATTATTTACCAAACAATAGTTAACAAAACCTGATTATTTACCAAACAATAGTTAACAAAACTTGATTATTTACCAGCCAATAGTTAACAAAACTTGATTATTTAAAACTTAATATATAGTTAATAAAACTTGATTATTTACCAACCAATAGTTAACAAAACTTTATTATTTACCAGCCAATAGTTAACAAAACTTGATTATTTACCAACTAATATATAGTTAACAAAACATGATTATTTACCAACCAATAGTTAACAAAACTTGATTATTTACCAGCCAATAGTTAACAAAACTTGATTATTTAAAACTTAATATATAGTTAACAAAACGTGATTATTTACCAACCAATAGTTAACAAAACTTTATTATTTACCAGCCAATTGTTAACAAAACTTGATTATTTACCAACTAATATATAGTTAACAAAACTTGATTATTTACCAACCAATGGTTAACAAAACTTTATTATTTACCAACTAATATATAGTTAACAAAACTTGATTATTTACCAGCCAATAGTTAACAAACCTTGTATTTCATCCACCCCAGCCTACCCAGTCCAACAAGTTCCCCTTCCAGTCCATCTACAGGACTTTCATCATGATATTCAATCTGGATTTCCTCATCTCCTTCGGCACGGAAGATTTTAATTTTATCTCGTTTTTCTTGTTGGCATTGTATCTTTTACTGCTGCCGACTTTGTTGGTCAATTTGATGGTACGTTACACCTCATGTTTTGTTTTATCACAGGGTTGGTCACGTTTGATTTAATTTAACTGTAATCATTTGGTTTAGTTTGTCATAATGCGCACGCAGTTTGCGATCGCTTATAGTAGAGTGATCGCTTGCATTATTGTGATGTATAGCAATTATTTTCTACTTTTTAGTTCAATCAGAAAACGTGGGTTTTTTTTTTAAACTTTTTTAATGATAATTATTTTAAATTTTATGTAATGTTCATAATTGAAAATTATTATTCGAAGTATATAAAATGAAAATTGTTTTTAAAGACTTTCAATAGTAATTTTTTTAACTCATAAATTTAGACCGTGAGCAGTATAATAATCTAACACTTAAATCCATCGAAGTATCCACGACAAACATTTTACAAACGAACATACAGAATTGAACTTTATATATTAGATAACAAAACTCTTGTCTGGCAACAATCGTGTAAGTTGATAGCGTGACAGAAAACAAACCAAATCTCACCAGCTCCCAAATTTTCCTTTACCAACGATAATAAATTATTTTTTCTACGCTTATCTTTACTAGCTAAATGATTGTGTTCATTAGGTTTATTTTAATAACCAAATAAAAGTCATATAAAATAAAATATGAGTTGCAACCCTTGAAAAAAAATCATTACTTAGTAGTTGTTTTATAATCCCTGCAAAAGTGTTCAAGGATTTTCTCCATCACTCGTAGATTGGAGTGGCTGTGGGAGACATTGCCTCCGTTCTCGCAAACGCTCGTGAAAAGAAACTTGCCACTCAGGTAGGAATTGTTAACAAACTTGCCACTCAGGTAGGACTTGTTAACAAACTTGCGACTCAGGTAGGGTAGGACTTGTTAACAAACTTGCGACTCAGGTAGGGTAGGACTTGTTAACAAACTTGCCACCAAGGTAGGACTTGTTAACAAACTTGCCACTCAGGTAGGACTTGTTAACAAACTTGCCACTTAGGTAGGACTTGTTAACAAACTTGCCACCAAGGTAGGACTTGTTAACAAACTTGACAGGTAGGACTTGTTAACAAACTTGCCACCCAGGTAGGACTTGTTAACAAACTTGACAGGTAGGACTTGTTAACAAACTTGCGACTCAGGTAGGGTAGGACTTGTTAACAAACTTGCGACTCAGGTAGGGTAGGACTTGTTAACAAACTTGCCACCAAGGTAGGACTTGTTAACAAACTTGCCACTCAGGTAGGACTTGTTAACAAACTTGCCACTTAGGTAGGACTTGTTAACAAACTTGCCACCAAGGTAGGACTTGTTAACAAACTTGACAGGTAGGACTTGTTAACAAACTTGCCACCCAGGTAGGACTTGTTAACAAACTTGACAGGTAGGACTTGTTAACAAACTTGCTACTCAGGTAGGACTTGTTAACAAACTTGACAGGTAGGACTTGTTAATAAACTTGCTACTCAGGTAGGACTTGTTAACAAACTTGCCACCCAGTTAGGACTTGTTAACAAACTTGCGACTCAGGTAGGACTTGTTAACAAACTTGCCACCAAGGTAGGACTTGTTAACAAACTTGACAGGTAGGACTTGTTAACAAACTTGCCACCAAGGTAGGACTTGTTAACAAACTTGCCACCAAGGTAGTACTTGTTAACAAACTTGCCACTTAGGTAGGACTTGTTAACAAACTTGCCACCAAGGTAGGACTTGTTAACAAACTTGCCACTCAGGTAGGACTTGTTAACAAACTTGCCACTCAGGTAGGACTTGTTAACAAACTTGACACTCATTGTTAACAAACTTGCCACTCAGGTAGGACTTGTTAACAAACTTGACACTCATTGTTAACAAACTTGCCACTCAGGTAGGACTTGTTAACAAACTTGCCACCAAGGTAGGAAGAAACGTGTCACAAATATAGGACTAGTGAGAAACTTGTCACACAGCTAAATGTGCAGCAATTTTCAATGATAGTTTTTACGTATTTCAATCATTATTACCGCAAAACCAATTTTTACATTACCATACAAGCAAGCAAACAATGGGGGGGGGGGGGGGAAATTAAACAAAATTATTTAAATATACATCTACATTAGCTCTTTAATTGTATTAGGTGATTGTTATGTTGGATTGATTTGTGGGGATTGCCTTGGGGATTTTGACTTTTTGGAAGAGGCAGGTGGTTATGCCGTTTTCGGGTAAGAGCGATTTTTGGGAATGTTCTACTGTTTGGTAATGTTGCAGTTTTTAATTACTGCACTATTATGAAATAAAGAAACTTGTTGCATATTACTTGTTAGGTCTTGAACGTTGTTAGGAACAAACTCAGATGTTTTGAACGTTGTTTGGAAGTAACTCAGATGTTTTGAACGTTGCTAGGAACAAACTCAGATGTTTTGAGCTTTGTTAGAAACAAACTCAGATGTTTTGAATGTTGTTAGGAACAAACTCAGATGTTTTGAACGTTGTTTGGAAGTAACTCAGATGTTTTGACAGGTGAAGTTTTTCGCCAACATAGAGAACACCTTCCCCTTCTTGACTGGCCTGATCGCTGACACCTACACCGTCTACCCTAACGCCGACAACTACGATAATGGATATCTTGGCAGGGTAAGCTGTATAGGGCTAAATGACTTAAACGTGGTAGAATACAACGCACAGGTTAAATCTGGATAAAGTGAGAAGAAGAATATGGTCTGTGCTGATAAATCTGGATATAGTGAGAAGAATATGGCCTGTACTGATAAATCTGGATAAAGTGAGAAGATAATATGGTCTGTACTGATAAATCTGGATAAAGTAAGAATAATATGGCCTGTACTGATAAATCTGGATAAAGTGAGAAGATAATATGGTCTGTGCTGATAAATCTGGATATAGTGAGAATAATATGGCCTGTACTGATAAATCTGGATAAAGTGAGAAGAATAATATGGTCTGTACTGATAAATCTGGATAAAATAAAAATATTATGGTCTGTACTGATAAATCTGGATAAAGTGAGAAGAATAATATGGCCTGTACTGATAAATCTGGATAAAGTGAGAAGAATAATATGGTCTGTACTGATAAATCTGGATATAGTGAGAAGAATAATATGGTCTGTACTGATAAATCTGGATAAAGTAAGAATAATATGGTCTGTACTGATAAATCTGGATAAAGTGAGAAGAATAATATGGTCTGTACTGATAAATCTGGATAAAATAAAAATAATATGGTCTGTACTGATAAATCTGGATAAAGTTAGAAATATAATATGGTCTGTACTGATAAATCTGGATAAAGTAAGAATAATATGGTCTGTACTGATAAATCTGGATAAAGTGAGAAGAATAATATGGCCTGTACTGATAAATCTGGATAAAGTGAGAAGAATAATATGGCATGTACTAAATCTGATCAGTGGCGGAACTAGAAAAAAAGGGCCACCCCGCAAAAAAAAATTCTGGGCCCCACCCCTATACATATATATATATATATATATATATATATATATATATATATATATATATATATATATATATATATATATATGTATATATATATATATATATATATATATATATATATATATATATATATATATATATATATATATATATATATACAAACACGGGATACAAACATTGGATACTCATTACTGGCCTGATCGGGTTTTGAAAAAAATCTTTTTTTTTTCAATTTAAAATAATTTTATATTATGTCTTGTGTGTGAGAGCATTAGTCTGTTTAGACTTTTTTTTTTTTTAAAGATTTAGAACTAGTTTACTGTAATACTGCCCACCTTCAAAATTTAGGCCGGTCAAAAGAATATAAAACGTGAAAGTTTTGTATGTGTAATGGTTTCTCGTGTTATGTTTATTTTTATGTTTTTTTTGTTTTTATATCATTTGTTTTAAATATATTTCCTTTTTATTTCATTCTTTAGTATGTATTTTTTTAAAAATAATAATTAAGAGAAGTAATTGCTTTTTAATTTATTCAGTACAAATATATTAAAAGGAGCTTAAGAGCACCCCTATTTAACTACTCAAAAAAGGGAAATAAGTCATGGAAGTGTTTTGAACGTTTGCCCATCTTACACACTACAGCTCAGGCATATATTTTTTTTACGCAACAGCATGTGTTAGCTACTGTATAACATCACTACTGTAGTAGATCTGTTTGTTATTTACAAAAGCTTTTATCGTCAAGTCAAAAATGCAAGAAAATTATTTTTTTTACTGTAAAAAATGTATTATGGTCGGCTAAGGGCCCCTAAATGGCGTGGGCCCCCCCGCATTGCGGGGTCTGGCGGCACTGTAGTTCCGCCCCTGAATCTGATCATATCCAGCGCTTTGTTTAAATATTTTAGCCATCTGACCTTCATCCAACGGATATCGCGGGTTGTCCTATTAACCTTTCAAGTGAAAGTTTCTTTAGCGTGGTTTATGGGTTGTTACATAGTGTGGTTTATGGGTTGTTACACACCTGGCTTTTTCAGCCAACGCTCATATATATATATATATATATATATATATATATATATATATATATATATATATATATATATATATATATATATATATATATATATATATATATATATATATATATATATATATATATATATATATATATATATATATATATATATATATATATATATATATATATATATATATTTCCATTGAAACTAAACTGAATGAATTTTTCCAAAGTTACTGAAGCTGTATGCAATGAGTGAATCAAAGACAAATGAAAAATACACTACCGATATTTCGATGATTAGCAAGACGTAAGCTTTTTATTTTAGTTTTGTATTTCCTTTAACTCTTTGTGGCAGTTGGATTGCTCTTGTGTTCAGCCGGGTCGGCTCCCTTGTGCCCTGCCCATCATATGCCCCAAATATGGCGTCGTCCAGCCTTTACCTTACCCAGGGTCCAGCCTTTACCTTACCCAGGGTCCAGCCTTTACCTTACCCAGGGTCCAGCCTTTACCTTACCTAGGGTCCAGCCTTTACCTTACCCAGGGTCCAGCCTTTACCTTACCCACCCCCAGCCTTTACCTTACCCAGGGTCCAACCTTTACCTTACCCAGGGTCCAGTCTTTACCTTACCCAGGGTCCAGTCTTTACCTTACCCAGGGTCCAGTCTTTACCTTACCCAGGGTCCAGCCTTTACCTTACCCAGGGTCCAACCTTTACCTTACCCAGGGTCCAGTCTTTACCTTACCCAGGGTCCAACCTTTACCTTACCCAGGGTCCAGTCTTTACCTTACCCACCCCCAGCCTTTACCTTACCTAGGGTCCAGCCTTTACCTTACCCAGGGTCCAACCTTTACCTTACCCAGGGTCCAGCCTTTACCTTACCCAGGGTCCAGCCTTTACCTTACCCAGGGTCCAACCTTTACCTTACCCAGGGTCCAGCCTTTACCTTACCCAGGGTCCACTTTCAGCCTTTCCCTTCCCCAGGGTCCAATCTTTACCTTACCCAGGGTCCAGCCTTTACCTTACCCAGGGTCCAGCCTTTACCTTACCCACCCCCAGCCTTTACCTTACCCAGGGTCCAGCCTTTACCTTACCCAGGGTCCAGCCTTTACCTTACCCAGGCCCCAGCCTTTACCTTACCCAGGGTCCAACCTTTACCTTACCCAGGGTCCAGCCTTTACCTTACCCAGGGTCCACTTTCAGCCTTTCCCTTCCCCAGGGTCCAACCTTTACCTTACCCAGGGTCCAACCTTTACCTTACCCAGGGTCCAGCCTTTACCTTACCCAGGGTCCACTTTCAGCCTTTCCCTTCCCCAGGGTCCAACCTTTCCCTTCCCCAGGGTCCAACCTTTACCTTACCCAGGGTCCAGCCTTTACCTTACCCAGGGTCCAGCCTTTACCTTACCCAGGGTCCACTTTCAGCCTTTCCCTTCCCCAGGGTCCACTTTCAGCCTTTCCCTTCCCCAGGGTCCACTTTCAGCCTTTCCCTTCCCCAGGGTCCACTTTCAGCCTTTCCCTTACCCAGGGTCCAGCCTTTCCCTTCCCCAGGGTCCAGCCTTTACCTACCCCAGGGTCCACTTTCAGCCTTTCCCTTCCCCAGGGTCCACTTTCAGCCTTTCCCTTCCCCAGGGTCCACTTTCAGCCTTTCCCTTACCCAGGGTCCAGCCTTTCCCTTCCCCAGGGTCCAGCCTTTACCTACCCCAGGGTCCACTTTCAGCCTTTCCCTTCCCCAGGGTCCAGCCTTTCCCTACCCCAGGGTCCACTTCCAACCTTTCCCTTCCCCAGGGTCCAGATGTTGAGTGTAAAGATCCGGCAACAGAACCAGATGCTGCTTCAGATTGCCACCAAAATGAAGATCCAGCTGGAAGGTCACGACGTCCAGACAGAGGCCACCGTCAAGAAGATGATCGTTGGCATTTTATCAGAGGCCAAAATAGACTAGATATAGTCAGCTCTACGGCAGAGGCCAAAATAGACTAGATATTGTCAGCTCTACGGCAGAGGCCAAAATAGACTAAATATTGTCAGCTCTACGGCAGAGGATAAAATAGATAAGAATGGGCATTTTATTCTGGGGGATGCTGGACACGTTGGGTGAAAATATCGTCGATCTGGATGACGGCAAAACATTCATCACCTCAGTCTAATTGTAAAGTCTGTGATTTTTTTCGTCAGTTTGTTCAATAAATATTAAAGTGGTCCGCACCTTTGGGCATACGGATATGTCGGTGATAACATATTGCCTATAGTTTTAGCACATCTTATATGTAATTTAGTCGTAGGCGGGGTGGGGGGAGGTAACACGCCCTGTGGAAATCACACTACGTGTCACACGACCTAGTAACGCCACTGCTTATATTAGGCCAAAATAGACTAGAAATCCTCGGCATAATTTCAGAGGCAATTTAAAAGATATACTCGGCACTATATCAGAAAACAAAATGAACTAGTAGTCGTTGACATTATAATCACAAGCCAAAATAAAATCTTATCAGAAACTACAAGAGACCAGAAATTCTAGACAGTTATCGGGGACAAAAACGGCCTAATTCTAGCAAATTGTACAGTCTCGCGCTCAATACAATTGATCTGAATCAAGCAGGTCTATAAAAAAAAATGTCTTTCAACGACATAAAGTATTATCCATTCAGCAACTCGGTGAACTCATTTTAAACGTTTTTCGTCTTTATATTGTCCCAGTAAAATTGTTTATACCATTCTGTCTTTAAAGGTTGTAAAATTATAAAGTCACTGTGATTTAACATTGTATTTTTTTATGTGAGGTCATTCTAGCTTTTAATCTAGCTTTTAATTGAAAATGTTGTTACATTAATACTTCTAATAATGTAGAACTTTGTTTTTGCAAGATGTATATTTCAATCTGTATTAGCTGCTTAACGCCATTTCAAATTCGTTATGACATTTTAAAATAAATATTTGAATTGAAAAGCTAGAGGCGTTTATTGGTTTATTGCATGCATGAAGTTTATTTTAATATATTAATATATATATATATATATATATATATATATATATATATATATATATATATATATATATATATATATATATATATATATATATACCATAAATAATCGGATGAACAATAAAATCTTTATTTTCATTCCATGAGAATTATATTGAAAAGGGGGGGGGGGCTTATTATTGGTCAACCTACTTCTGGATCCACTTCTGGCTATTAGCTGTCTATTGTAAGCATACCGTGCGAGTCAACTCAATAAAAGAATTGAAAGTTTATATATTTTAAAAAATTGTTTGACATTACACCTCACGGGGAAAGTCATTTTGATCGGCGACACAAGACTTGATTATATAAATGGATTTCAAAAAGCTAACAAATGTTACCACCTCGACAATAGTTTTGTCTTTGTCACTTTACTCAAATGTTGAACACAATAGCAGACAAAATAAATAAGCCACAGTGGAGGGGGGGGGGACAGGTTCATCGCCTTTTATAACTTATATATTGAAATAAAAGTCAATGACCAAACCCCATAAAGCTGTGAGGTGTCATAGACCGAAGCTGCCTGGAAAATAATTCCCCTTCGGGAAAACCACGACATGTCGTTAAAACTGACCCTTGGCCGTATTTTGTTATATAAATATGTCAAATTAGCGTGAATATCTGAGGTGAATTTTCAAAATATGTTATGGCACTTTTAGGCTATACAAGGGGCATCAATCATCGATAAGTCACTAATCGATAAGTCTCTCGGCTGATAGGAAAAATTGCCGGTCAACCTCTACATCTTGCCCTTGCCTAAAAACTGACTGCTGGGGACCGCTTTTTCATATACGCTTATATATATATATATATATATATATATATATATATATATATATATATATATATATATATATATATATATATATATATATTGCTTACATATTTTTAAAATGTCCTTGACACCCCCCCCCCCCCCGTGAAACATCGTGAAGTAGTAGACCTAATGAATGGAGTAGAGTGTATCTGTTATGTAATATGATAAGCTTGATGCCCAGTAATATATATATATATATATATATATATATATATATATATATATATATATATATATAGGCCTATAGGGTCTCAACATCGTCAACGATATCAGTCGCCATACTGTATTGTCTAGTAGAGTCCACCCAGCTCTGATGGGTACCTAATTCACCTTAGGAAAATAGATATATACCGAGGTCTCTGGAGCAGATGAACTATTTCATCTGCCCTAAGTATCTTAGGCACGGTGGGGGGGGGGGGGGGGGAGGATAAAATGATACTGTTTTGTTTACCTACTACTATGATTATTAGTGATTAAAGATGTGACTCTTGCTTTTCTTTTTAGCTAGTTAAATAGTTGTTCATTATTAAATAAATATGGAAAGAAATCATTTTATTTTCTACTTTTAATGCATACTTATTTAAAAGCTTTTTATTTTTTTTTAAATTGTAAATTTCTTAAAAGTTAATTTTTGAAAAAGGCGCCAGCCTTGAAAATGACCTAAATATCAAATCCCCCCTTCCTCTCATATACATTAATTGATCTAGTAAAATTGTAATCCAGCTCACTTTATTTATAATGCAATATAATTTTAACCTTAATTTGTCAATATGGTAAGTCTGATCGAGATAAACATAAGGGCAAAATGATAATTTTCTGTAGATCTAAACTCTGGTTTGGAATATTTGGCTTTGCTAAAAATATTTATGATTATATAAATTAATTTCATAACATAAATAATTGTAAATAGATCTAAATTTAAATATGTGTTGCTTGCTCTAAATAAATTATCAACATCAAAAATAAAAAAATTGAAATAACATTTTACTCTGTAAAATTTTATTAAAATCATCCAGTTTTCTATTGTTGCTTAAATGTATTTCCGGTTTCCTTTCTGACAACTAACGCTTCATGTTACTGAGTTAGCCCATCAGACTGTTTTGATTAAATAACTTGTTAATAAAATATTTTTTAGCTGAGACTATAACATATCATTAGAACATGGGAGCAGAAGATGAAGTACTCAAAATTGGAAAGAAATTAGAAAAGCTTATTTCCAGCAATACGGCTGTAAGTTGTCTCGATATTTCGATAAGTTGAAAATAAAGTTGAAAAATTAAATTTGGGGCAATGGGCAGAATGGGGGAATTCCGAATTACCAAATTGAATTAGAATCTAGATTCTAATTAGTAGTTTTTCTTACTATTTGTGAAATCTACTTAATTCTCAATTTAAACATGACAACTGAATAAAAAACGTCCATACTTTATCCTCTAGGCACTAAATTTGGGGGTTGTAGCGAGTTTAGACTAAATTATTGAATTTTAAATTTATTTGTCACTCACAGCTATGATATGACGGATCATCCATGACAACCTGGTTAAAAGTTGAAAGGTTTAACTTTTTAAGTGACCGTGAAATAGATCTAATTTTTTTTCACAAGAGAGTTCCTAAAAGTAGAATTGGCCCGTCTATCGTCGGGTAATATTTTTAGAGGAAAAAAATTTAAGAGAATGTCATCAGAAAAGAATTTAAAAAAAGAAAAGACAGAAGTGATGTTTGAATTCTTTTATTTCTTTAATTTTATGACATTTTTTATTGTACAAAAGAGCAAAATAAAAAACCATGCCAGGTAAACGTATCCATTCAAATAGCGGTCACGTGGTCAAAAAAAATTTTAAAAATGTGGTTGTCATTTCTCGGTCGATCTTATAAAAAAACGGTTGAAGATATTTGATTTATTTTTTCATAGAATGATAAAACTAATAATGCTTTACTATGGAAATCAATTTTGTGAGAGGGAGATCTATATTTAAAAAGTTAAATTATTTTGAATGACACCGACTTTAAATTTAGCCTACATTCCCCAAAGCAATTTCTGAAAATGCTTTTCTGGCATATTTAACCTTGCCACCTATAGCATGTTTTTATAACGTGAAAACCCGCCATTTTACTCGTGATAAACATTTTTAAAAGTAATTCTAAGAAGGTCTCTCGAACTAAGTCGAAAAACTCGCCGGAAGTCATGGTCCGATCCTTACGCCATGTTCTGGTTAGCAACCAAGGACGCTTTTAAGTTAGCGAGCCTCCCTACTAATTAGCCTAACTAAATTTGTATATTCTTCTAGGCTATTGAAAATTATTGAGATCCATCTCAAACTAACCAGACACTAAATTTTAGGCAGATTCTAGACAGAAAAAGATGCGTAAAGCTCTACAATTACCTGGTTTTTCTTGTCATCTACATGATCGCTGTTTAGGTCTATGTTTTGTCTTGATGGCACAGGGATTAACACAATAAATACTTAAATAGTATATTTAAATAGGCTATTAAAATAGATTTTTTAAAAATATTTTATATTTAACTTATAGACTAGAATGCTTTGCTAACTATACTATACCTCAACCCCTGATGACCCGCCTGCAGCGTAACTGCTCGACCACACAGTATAGATAGTTTTGTCAGAAGAATTAAGCTAAAAGAGTAATTGATCCCATTGCGCAGCTATAAATCTATTAATTGAGTCAATGCGAAGCTATTAATAGTATTTAATTTGAGCCAATTGTGCATAGGCTTATATTTAGAACATTTTGTTTTGCATCTTTTGCCAGCCAGATTGTGCTTAGGGGAAAATCTTTTTCATAGAAGTCACTTCAAAAAAATAATTCATTTAATGAAAAGTATAGGCTATCATCCCATTGTTTTTCAAAACTTCCTCTGCTGATTTCAAGAAAAATTGGCTAATGTGAAGTACATGGTTTTGGAAATGTATAATACATAATTTAGTGGGGGTGGGACCTCTGATGTACCTGAACAGGTGATAACTGACCAAGTGATGCCGCTTATCATAAGTAAAAATTACAAAGAAGTTTTTAACATTGTGATTGGACATTGTCTGCTTTAAAATTTTAGCTCTGAAAAGTCTTTTTACATGCAATAACAATACTACTATATATTTGTTTTGCAGGACCATACTTCAGCATTAGACTTGCTCAAATCTTTGAGAGATTCAAAAATGACTCTTGAAGTCTTGCAGGTAATCAGTGCCTCATTCTCCAACGTATCATTTTTCAATTATTACAATGATATAAACATGACCACTTCTGACTTTAAAGTACTTTGTAGCTTGCTAATAAACTCTTTTTTGTTTGTTTAGAAAACTAGAATTGGTATGACGGTGAATAACCTCCGCAAAGCAAGCAGCAATGATGAAGTTGTAACTCTGGCAAAAACCTTAATTAAAAATTGGAAAAAACTTTTGCCAGCAGGTAGCCTTTATATTTTACTAAAAAAACTGAAAGTGGATACATTTGTTGTTTAGAATGAATGTATAAATTTTTAAATGTGATATAATACTTCACTATACTGTAGCATAACTAATTCATTATGCTTTTAACAAGTGGATATTCTATTTTTGTAACCATTGACATGGCTACTTCAATATTGTTTGCTTCAGAAAGTCCTAGTGGCCTCAGTAGATCTACCTCCCGCTCATCTGGAGATGCAAGCAGTCAGAGGATGGACGAAACTTCCAATGATGGCACAGACGAAGGGAAAAGTCAAGGGGAGAAAGATAGTTTAATTCAAAGTAAAACTCATAACACAACAGATGCTGTTCGTATAAAATGTAGAGATCTCTTATTGGCAGCTTTGAAAGTCAGCGGTAAGATTAGTGGCTGTGTGTTTATCATACATTTTGTCATACATAGGAAACATTTTTTGTTTTTTTTTGAGTCAAAATCAATTTTTCAAGCATAACTTAATATAAATGTGTGTGCATTTTTATTACAAAAAACTAATACAGAGTTATTGTAACAGAAATCCCAGAAGGTGCCCATGACCCAGAAGAGTTATCAGCGGCAATAGAAGATGGTAAATACATTTTTTTTATCTTGCCATATCAGCCTTGTGAATGAGTGTTTCTAGAGTGTAGCTCAAGGGATGTAAAGAATTACACCAAAATTTGGACATGGTGTTATTAGTATAAGTAAAATGTTATAAATCAATTAAATCAAGACAAATACTAAGTCTGAATTTCATAATGTATTTTTTAAAATAATATTTTGGTATTGATGCAGTGTTGTATGTTGTTTATCCTCAGCAATATTTGAAGAGTTTGGTAACACAGACATGAAGTATAAAAATCGGGTGAGAAGTCGAGTGGCCAACTTAAAAGACTCAAGAAATCCACAGCTGAGACAAAATGTCCTGATTGGACTCATCTCTGCACAGCACATCGCAGCGATGACCGCTGAGGTTTGTCTTTAAATATTCCTTTTAAACATATTGTTGTTGCTTACTAAAAGTGGTTCTAGGGATTTCTTTTTCATGTATTACCTAAACATTAAAATTTGACAACTTTCAACTCTTCTAGCTGTATTAGCAAACTTTTTTTTATTGGATGAAAAGCTTAGAAAAGAAATAATAAGTTAACGGCTATGTGTACACACGTCTCAGTGGTTTAAAAATGTCAGCTTGGTTTCTGGTTTGGTAAAATCTAGGGGATTTTGTTCAGGATTGACTAAAACATGAGTGGCACCCTGTTGACTGAACATCCCATATTGATTTGTATATTTTAGGAAATGGCAAGCAAAGAGATGAAACAATTGAGAGAAAAACTGACCAAAGAGGCCATCAATGACCACCAGATGGCTAAAACAGGAGGGACAACAACTGACCTGTTTAAATGTGGCAAATGTCATAAGAAGAACTGTACATACAACCAGGCAAGTTTATTGTCTGCTCATTGAACAGTGGGCATCAAATTATGTGAAGGGTTAAAATAATATTGGGCATTAAATTATGTGAACGGTTCAAATATGAATAGTGGGCATTAAATTGTGAGAAGGATTAAAATAATAGTGGACATTAAATTATGTGAAAGGTTAAAAAATAGTGGGCATTAAATTATGTGAAGGGATTGAATAAGAATCATCTTTTTCTGTTGGTGTTCAAGACACATGGGGCAGATAAAGTAGAGTTATGAAGGGATAGTGTGGTCAGCACTATACCCAGCTGCCTTTGCTTTCCCAGTACTGCTTTGGGCAGTAAAATATGTGAAGGGTTAAGATAAGAATCGTGGGCAAAAAAGTATGGACAGGTTTTTCTGATTGGCCTCAAGAAAATTGTTGGTTTGTTTTTGTATAACTGAACATGGCTAAAGGGTTCCTCTGATGTTATGTGTGTATGTTGGTGGATTGTGTGTGAAGGGTTGCTCTGATGATTTGTCATGTTTGTATGGTGTTGGGGTGTGTGTGAAAGGTTGCTCTTACATCATGGTGTTTGGTTGTTTGTGAAGGGTTTCTCTGATGATTTGTCATGTGGGTATGGTGTTGGGTTGTGTGTGAAGGGTTGCTCTGACTTCATGTCGTGTGTATATGTTGTTGTGTTGTGTGTGAAGGGTTGCTCTGACGTCATGTCATGTGTATATGTTGTTGTATTGGGTTGTGTGTGAAGGGTTGCTCTGACGACATGTCATGTGGGTATGTTGTTGTATTGGGTTGTGTGTGAAGGGTTGCTCTGACTTCATGTCATGTGGGTATGTTGTTGTATTGGGTTGTGTGTGAAGGGTTGCTCCTGACGTCATGTCATGTGTATATGTTGTTGTGTTGTGTGTGAAGGGTTGCTCCTGACGTCATGTCATGTGTATATGTTGTTGTGTTGTGTATGAAGGGTTGCTCTGATGTCATGTGTATATGGTATTGGGTTGTGTGTGAAGGGTTGCTCCTGACGTCATGTCATGTGTATATGTTGTTGTGTTGTGTATGAAGGGTTGCTCTGATGTCATGTGTATATGTTGTTGTGTTGTGTGTGAAGGGTTGCTCTGACGTCATGTCATGTGTATATGTTGTTGCCCATAGGTCCAGACAAGAAGTGCTGATGAGCCTATGACCACCTTTGTGTATTGTAATGAGTGTGGCAACAGATGGAAGGTAAGCTGCCATAATTTAACTTCTTCTTTACCAGTTTTAAACTCTTGCTTCTAGGTTGGACCTCTTAGGTTAGGACACTTTACAAAAACACAGGTTGAAATTTTGTATATCAGTCTGAAAATAATTTGTAACTACATGATTTCACATTTATTTTTGTTTAAAAACTTAATATTCAGTAACAGTTTGAGATACATAATGAGAAGCTTAGAGGCTTTGAATACTCTGTATTATCATTTCTTCACTATTTAAATATTTTGTGCAGAAACTTTACAAAATCATATTTTGTACCTGCACTTTTTTTCTGACTGGTAAAAGTTAACCCTGTGCCCACACCACCTTTCCTGGTCTGACTAAAAAATTAAAATGTGACTTTGTTGTATCAGATGTCAATGCTTGATTTTATTTTTCCCTCTAGTTTTGCTGATCCACCTGGTGTGCTATGGAGGAAGAAGTACTGGATGTATCCATCTCCACTATGTTGTGTGACACACAGTTGTCCAATGTGTATAGGCTGCTTGCACACCTATATTTTCCACATTTGATATGGAAACATTGTGAACAATCCCTGAGAAAACAAGGAAGATTTTATCAGTTATCTCTTTAGGATAGATAGGATTGGACGTTGATTCAAAGTTCGTCGACTTCAAATTTAGGACTTTAATTACAAAGTGTGTGCAAGTGGTTTTGTTTTCATTTGTTTCTAAGATGCACTCTACAGTAAGTCTTTGAATGAATTAAAATATCTTAAGAATACAATTTGTTGCATAAAAATTGTCATGTTTGCATATTAACTAGCTCAGTACAGATTTTTTTATAACTGGCATGCAAGTTGGGTTGCAGGACTGGATAAAGTTTATGAACCTTTACTTAAGGCAATATTTGACTGTTCAAATATCTATTTTCTTTGGCTAAATGCTGAAATAAGTTCTGAGTTTTAGTTCTTGGAGAAAAATATTCTGGTGATATAGTAGAACTGGTTTTTTTTTAGATTTCCTGCAACATGTTTAGTTGAAACATGTATGACATGCTTCTGTCAACACATAAGCCCCTACCCAACATTTAACTTTTGCATTTATGTTTTATAAGCTTCATATGTGTTTGAGGAACTAGATTTCTTCAAGGAAAAAAATGTTTTTCTCCCCTCAAAATAATTTCTAGAAGGAATGATGATAGGTTTTATTCTGTAACATGTCTGACTCTATCAGGTTAAAGTTTTCTTTCTTAGCCAATTCAGTTTTTGAATCACTAGACTAACGTCTATATGTCTGGGGGCTCTTTCACCCATCACAAGATGGGGCTAGTCTAGACCATCACAAGGTGGGGCTAGTCTAGTCCATCAAAAGGTAGGTCTAGTCTAGTCCATCTTGTTACCAGTCAAACGTACACCCTAATGTTTTCATTGTCAAACAGGAATGTTGATCCCCTGTAACAGTGAGACCTAGACATTTTCATGTAAATAACCTTTTCTTCGTATTTCTGTTCTTTTGTAGCAGATACTCAAATGGATTGTTCTTAACTGTAGCATGTCTATTCACTATATTTGTAATTAGTTTCACTTAAAGTGCTTGTTAGGATTACTTCATGCACACACTGATGAGGTTTTTGGGCAGTCCTAAACCCCTTACACACAGAACAAAACTATAACATTTTGGACAGTCCCTGCCCTACAGACCAAAGCTATAACATTTCGGACAGTCCCTGCCCTACAGACCAAAACTAAAACATTTTGGACAGTCCCTTCCCTACAGACCAAAACTATAACATTTTGGACAGTCCCTGCCCTACAGACCAAAGCTATAACATTTTGGACAGTCCCTTCCCTACAGACCAAAGCTATAACATTTTGGACAGTCCGTGCCCTACAGACCAAACTATAACATTTTGGACAGTCCCTTCCCTACAGACCAAAACTATAACATTTTGGACAGTCCCTTCCCTACAGACCAAAGCTATAACATTTTGGACAGTCCCTGCCCTACAGACCAAAGCTATAACATTTTGGACAGACCCTGCCCTACAGACCAAAGCTATAACATTTTGGACAGTCCCTGCCCTACAGACCAAAACTAAAACATTTTGGACAGTCCCTTCCCTACAGACCAAAACTAAAACATTTTGGACAGTCCCTGCCCTACAGACCAAAACTAAAACATTTTGGACAGTCCTAAACCCCTTACACACAGAACAAAACTATAACATTTTGGACAGTCCCTGCCCTACAGACCAAAACTAAAACATTTTGGACAGTCCCTGCCCTACAGACCAAAACTAAAACATTTTGGACAGTCCCTGCCCTACAGACCAAAACTAAAACATTTTGGACAGTCCCTGCCCTACAGACCAAAACTAAAACATTTTGGACAGTCCCTGCCCTACAGACCAAAACTAAAACATTTCGGACAGTCCCTTCCCTACAGACCAAAACTACAACATTTTGGACAGTCCCTGCCCTACAGACCAAAACTAAAACATTTTGGACAGTCCCTTCCCTACAAGACAAAACTAAAACATTTTGGACAGTCCCTGCCCTACATCCACCATTCCCCATATGATTGCTAGCTTCGGAAAAGTAAATCAGTAGGTTAAGGGTATATCAATACTTCTAAATTCTAGCATGAGAAGATGTTGATAGTATTAGATTAATCCTACCTAGACAATATAATAATATCACCATGCAGGATGTTGTACATACACAATTGTTTTATTCTGTTGAATGTGATGTTGAGCTGCTAGATAATTAGTTCATTAATTAATTACAGCTCATTCATTTTGTTTTCTTAAAATTTTTAAAAAGTAATTTTGTATGTAAATACTAAATCAAATTAAATGGAAAGATTAAATATTTCTATAATTTGAACTTGATGTTGCATTAAAAATAAAGGAGTAAAAAAGATGTTGTTTCCTTTGTTGATAGTAATAATAATAAAAACTGGTCATTTTCTATGTACTTTTGTGCTTGTTTTCTCTGTTCATAGCTGTAAAAAAAAATAAACTTCCGGTCATACGGAATCACTCAAAATTTGACTACGTCAAGGGTAAAGAGTTAAATACCTATGTATAAAATTTCGTTTACTTAACTGAACCGATAATAGTGTTTTGTTTTTTAGAAACCGGAAATACACTTCCGGATATTACAGGTCGCTCAATATTTGAGAGTAATTCTTAAAAATTACTCAAGCTATCGTTTTGCCACGGCAATAAAATATCACTTCCTTTTAACAGAAATCGTTCATAATATGAAAGAAAATGTAGCATACAATCCAATACTTACATTTCAAATGCCGTCGACCTAGCTTTATAAAAGTTACTTGTCTTGACTTTTTTAGAAAACGAAAGCAAACTTCCTCTTCCTGTTACCGGAAATCTTGCAAAAGTTGATAGAAATCAACAGTATAACATAATACTTTTTAAATGAAATTTGTCGCTACCTAATTGAAGAGGTACACAAGTTATTGCCTTGGAGTACAGACGGACAGGATTGGAAAACTTTTCCGGTTACGGAAGGTTGTGAAACGTTAAAATTTGTCAAAATCTCGATTTAGTCTTTTGCACGATTACAGTGTATTCTTTATATTCTATATACGGTAAAGTGAGAAGGCGTAGTGCGGCGAAAACTGACAGATTATCATTTTTGTTGGAACCGTTTACCTCATTCACATAATTGTCAGATAACTGAACACTTCACCACAAGACAATTGTCGCAACTACGTAGTTTTCTCAGCTAAAAATTAATTGAACCCATCTTTAATTACGCATTCGTAAATTATTAAGTTTTTGTCATCCAAGATACACTAATCTGATCAAGAATGACTGAATGCATTCGAAAAATTCAGTGTTATTTGTTAAAATATTATTTGACCACAAAAACGTTTTTTTTTTAAAGATGCGTGTTTGCTTTTTACTTTCTCCTATATACAAAGTCTTGTAATCGTGCAAAAAAAAAAAAAACGAGATTTTTTTCAAATCTCGATGTTTTACACCTCCCTGAGTTGGAAAAACATTTTTTGCAATCTTGTCCGTATGTCTGTGTGTGTCTGTAAACACGATAACTTGAGTACCGTTACAGCTAGGTTGATGAAATTTTATATATAAGTATTTTATCAAAATCGCAGATCCGTATCAACTTTTGAGCGATTTCCGATAACCGGAATGGGTACGTTTTCTACTTTGAATTTTTCAAAATCCTATAACTTGAGTACTATTTCAGATAGATAAATGAAATTTCACATGTAAGTAAAAGATCTAATCCTCTACCTTCTCAAATTTTGAGTAATTTCCGTTGACCGGAAGTACTAATTTACGCTATTTCCGATTTCTCAAAAAACACATATAAAGTTATAAAATACTAATAATATTCCGCACTATTAATAATAGTATTATGCACATTTTGTTTTGGCGTTCGCTTGGTGCGCAATTCTTTTTTTCTACGAGATTCTATTCTATTTTTAAAAGTTTAAGTAATTAAAAGTCTATATTCCGAGTTGCCATCCCACGTAGTGTTATATAAGAATATTCGAGGAAGTTTAGGGACAGTGCCGGCGCCAGGTTATTAAGCGCCCTAGGCAAAACTTATTTTAAAAAAGTCCCCCCCCCACCCCCGCAATTTTTTTCGTGCCCCCGGGGACAAACTTTCGATGTGCACCCCCACCCCCCTCCTCAAACTTTCGATCTGCCCCCCCCCCCCCTCCAACTTTCAATTTGTTTTTCCAACTCATTTTGGCGCCCCCCTACGGCCAGCGCCCTAGGCGACCGCCTAGTTCGCCTTATAGGTAGCGCCGGTCCTGTGGGGAGATCACTCCCGGTTTATTTTCTATTGGATAGATCTAGCAGATAACAATGTTTTTTTTTTTAAATTTCGTTTGCATTGTGTGAGTTTCAGAGTTGCATCGGGAGGGGAGAACGCACTGAAAATAGCAATCTTAAGACGGAGTTAGCACTGTTGCGGTAATTAAAAAAACAAGACTGATTGTGGATAGATAAATAAAATATGTAATGAATACAGTTTTTAGCCAATAAAAGTAACAACAAATGTGGGTAATGTTTTAGTCTATCACAAAAGCTTCATTAATTGCTTTCTGCTCTTTAGCTTGATCCATTTTCTCGTCTGACGCCGAAGAACCAATCGCTTTCTTTATACTCTCCATGATTTGTCGGTTATCGTCACATACAGTAAAAAGATTGTCAAGCCTAGCATTGGAATAAAATAATTATACATAATTATATATATATATATATATATATATATATATATATATATATATATATATATATATATATATATATATATATATATATATATATATATAAACACATGACCTTATTTTATTCATTACTACACATTTCCGTGATACTTTAGAATGTTGTTAAGAATATCCCTTGGAAGGTTTCTGCCATATGATTAAAGATCGCATGGACGGCGCCCCGCCTCTAGTGTACGGTTTGGCGCCCAGAGTACCGTAGAGGCTATCTTAGCACCTGTGGTCTCTCATCGGGCGTCCTGCCCGGGGTCAAGGGGACCTTATGCTAAGAACTTACGTGGACCTTATGCTAAGAACTTACAGGACTTTATGCTAAGAACTTACGTGGACTTTATGCTAAGAACTTACGTGGACTTTATGCTAAGAACTTACGTGGACTTTATGCTAAGAACTTACGTGGACTTTATGCTAAGAACTTACGTGGACCTTATGCTAAGAACTTACAGGACTTTATGCTAAGAACTTACGTGGACCTTATGCTAAGAACTTACTGGACTTTATGCTTAGAACTTACGTGGACTTTATGCTAAGAACTTACGTGGACCTTATGCTAAGAACTTACAGGACTTTATGCTTAGAACTTACGTGGACTTTATGCTAAGAACTTACGTGGACCTTATGCTAAGAACTTACAGGACTTTATGCTTAGAACTTACGTGGACTTTATGCTAAGAACTTACAGGACTTTATGCTAAGAACTTACGTGGACTTTATGCTTAGAACTTACGTGGACTTTATGCTAAGAACTTACGTGGACCTTATGCTAAGGACTTACCTGGACTTTATGCTAAGAACTTACGTGGACCTTATGCTAAGAACTTACAGGACTTTATGCTAAGAACTTACGTGGACCTTATGCTAAGAACTTACAGGACTTTATGCTTAGAACTTACGTGGACTTTATGCTAAGAACTTACGTGGACCTTATGCTAAGAACTTACAGGACTTTATGCTTAAAACTTACCTGGACTTTATGCTAAGAACTTACGTGGACTTTATGCTAAGAACTTACGTGGACCTTATGCTAAGAACTTACAGGACTTTATGCTAAGAACTTACGTGGACCTTATGCTAAGAACTTACAGGACTTTATGCTAAGAACTTACGTGGACTTTATGCTAAGAACTTACGTGGACTTTATGCTTAGAACTTACGTGGACTTTATGCTAAGAACTTACGTGGACCTTATGCTAAGAACTTACAGGACTTTATGCTTAGAACTTACGTGGACTTTATGCTAAGAACTTACGTGGACCTTATGCTAAGGACTTACCTGGACTTTATGCTAAGAACTTACGTGGACCTTATGCTAAGAACTTACAGGACTTTATGCTAAGAACTTACGTGGACCTTATGCTAAGAACTTACGTGGACTTTATGCTAAGGACTTACCTGGACTTTATGCTAAGAACTTACGTGGACCTTATGCTAAGAACTTACAGGACTTTATGCTAAGAACTTACGTGGACCTTATGCTAAGAACTTACAGGACTTTATGCTTAGAACTTACGTGGACTTAATGCTAAGAACTTACGTGGACTTTATGCTAAGGACTTACCAGGACTTTATGCTAAGAACTTACGTGGACTTTATGCTAAGAACTTACGTGGACCTTATGCTAAGAACTTACGTGGACTTTATGCTAAGAACTTACGTGGACTTTATGCTAAGGACTTACCAGGACTTTATGCTAAGAACTTACGTGGACTTTATGCTAAGAACTTACGTGGACTTTATGCTTAGAACTTACGTGGACTTTATGCTAAGAACTTACGTGGACTTTATGCTAAGGACTTACCAGGACTTTATGCTAAGAACTTACGTGGACTTTATGCTAAGAACTTAAGTGGACCTTATGCTAAGAACTTACAGGACTTTATGCTAAGAACTTACGTGGACTTTATGCTAAGAACTTCTTTTTTGATAGCGCTCTCCTCTGACTTCTGTCCCTCTTCTCTGGCGAGGGTTTTAACTCGTGTCGTCTTTTTGTCCAATGGGAAACAGACAAGCGATAAACGAATTAAACTTCCACCCACCCCGAATTATTGACATTTACAAACCCATCTCCTTAAATTACCCCTCCCTTTCCAGATAAGGTCCCTTTCCAGATGAAATATTCAGCCAATTAAACCCCACCCCCTCTGTTTACGATAGCTAGAGTAGGGACATTGCCCTATCAATAACAACATGCCCTTAAATAAATCATAAAATTAAATCGAATTGTCATGCAACTATTAGAGTCAATGTTGTATGGTTTACTAAATAACAGACTTGCAATAGAACGGAATGTCAAGCAACTATTAGAGTCAATGTTGTATGGTTTACTAAATAACAGACTTGCAATAGCACGGAATGTCATGCAACTATTAGAGTCAATGTTGTATGGTTTACTAAATAACAGACTTGCAATAGCACGGAATAGCAAGCGAGTATCCCAGAAGCTTTATTTGACAAGACGTCTGTATTCTTACCCCTCGGCTGGAGTATCCTGTCTTCTTTGGGTAGTTTTTGAAATCGTCTTTAAGTTGGGAGAGGAATGGAGCAATGCCCTCCACCACTATGTGAAAGTTGACCTGTTCATAACAATAGAAATCTTGCTCACATTCTGTCAGAGCTACAGCAAAATCAAAACCCACGGGTCAGGTACCACCCACAGGGCAAGGACCTAGTCCCACCCACAGGGCAAGGACCTAGTCCCACCTACAGGGCAAGGACCTAGTCCCACCCACAGGACAAGGACCTAGTCCCACCCACAGGGCAAGGACCTAGTCCCACCCTCAAAGCCAGGATCTCTCAAACACTGAGCAAGGACGACCCACCCGCTGAGTGGACCTATCGTCACACCCCCCCCCCCCACTACCAACCGACGACGACAACAACGTCCCCAGATGGGTTCACCTGTGTCGCTAGCCTCTGTTGTTTGGCGTCTCGCTGTACTGATGCGATGTCCCCGACAGCTAACCCGATCTGAGGAGAAATGAATCGTTGCTTCAACACCAGCTCATACAATAGTGGACGTGGGACATACACCAACAGGCTGACCATCAACACACCAACAGGCTGACCATCAACACACCAACAGGCTGACCATCAACACACCAACAGGCTGACCATCAACACACCAACAGGCTGACCATCAACACACCAACAGGCTGACCATCAACACACCAACAGGCTGACCATCAACACACCAACAGGCTGACCATCAACACACCAACAGGCTGACCATCAACACACCAACAGGCTGACCATCAACACTTCAACATGCAGACCAACCAACACACCAACAGACTGACCACCCCACACACCAAGACACTACCCACCCCACACACCAACAGACTGACCACCCCACACACCAAGAGACTGCCCACCCCACACACCAAGAGACTGCCCACCCCACACACCAAGAGACTGCCCACCCCACACACCAAGAGACTGCCCACCCCACACACCAAGAGACTGCCCACCCCACACACCAACAGACTGACCACCCCACACACAAAGAGACTGATTACCCCACACACCAAGAGACTGCCCACCCCACACACCAAGAGACTACCCACCCCACACACCAAGAGACTACCCACCCCACACACCAAGAGACTGCCCACCCCACACACCAAGAGACTGACCACCCCACACACTAACAAACTGCCCACCACACACACCAAGAGACTGCCCACCCCACACACCAAGAGACTGCCCACCCCACACACCAACAGACTGCCCACCCCACACACCAACAGACTGACCACCCCACACATCAAGAGACTGCCCACCCCACACACCAAGAGACTGTCCACCCCACACACCAAGAGACTGCCCACCCACACACCAAGAGACTGCATTCCCCACACACCAACAGACTGCCCACCCACAACTTACTAAAAGATTAACAAGCAACAACGGCATGAAGAAGAGAAACAGGGCGAGAAAGAAGAAGGTGAGGTGACTGAAATGGAGAGTTTCGGGGTCGTTGTCAAGGTACACAGTGTTGACCGTCAACAGGTACTCGATCTCAAAGGTAAGGATGAACGTTCGATACAGCGACATGAACGGGGTACTGTGGGCTTTCGAGGGCTGGAACAACAAGATGATTGGCTTGAAAATATCATGGGGACATACACACAATGATAGGGATGCATTTCTTAATACATTTCTACAATACTATATTAAACGTGTGTATCTAATGTTACCTCTTCTTGCAAGAGCACATAATATAAACGTGTGTATCTAATGTTACCTCTTCTTGCAAGAGCATATTTTATAAACGTGTGTATCTAATGTTACCTCTTCTTGCAAGAGCATATTATATAAACGTGTGTATCTAATGTTACCTCTTCCTGCATGAGCACATAAAAGGCGAGACCAAACGCTGTGACCAGGATGACGAAAATGAGGAACACCTGCATTAATGTTTTCATAATGGCAAGGAACATGATGATGTAGATACCAACGTAGTCAAACCTAGAGGGGTCAAAACAAGAATTTTTACATAGATACGAACTTAGTCGAACCTAGAGGGGTCAAAAACAACAATTTTTACTTAGATACGACTTGTTTACATCACCAACCTTTTCTCCTGATTTAAGAAAGATACAAATTCTAAATTGTCTGCAGAACATATGCGAGTGGCTGAATTAAACTGCTAAACCAGAGGAAGAACCCACCTCTGTATCTGAACTAGACAGTTAAACCAGGCAAGAACCCACCTCTTTATCTAAACTAGACAGTTCAACCAGAGGAAGAACCCACCTCTGTATCTGAGCTAAGTTAAACCAGAGGAAGAACCCACCTCTGTATCTGAACTAAGTTAAACCAGAGGAAGAACCCACCTCTGTATCTGAACTAAGTTAAACCAGAGGAAGAACCCACCTCTGTATCTGAACTAAGTTAAACCAGAGGAAGAACCCACCTCTGTATCTGAACTAAGTTAAACCAGAGGAAGAACCCACCTCTGTATCTGAACTAAGTTAAACCAGAGGAAGAACCCACCTCTGTATCTGAACTAGACAGTTAAACCAGGCAAGGAACACTGCAATAGCTCCACATTCCCACTGTAGATGCGTTGAGTAGCCGAAGATGAAGGGGATGGCGAAGATCAGTGACGAAATATATGTTGCATCTTCCAGAATATTCCTCATATCTAAGAAATAATACTTTATCTAGAGAAAAAAAAATCATGTATGTATTAATCCTGAAGTTCCCACACTCGAGTTTAACTAGTCCTCATATATAATTTATAACAATATGACCTAACAAATATGAAGTATCTACAAGACCTTACATGAAGGTCCATATAATAAAATAAACAGAGCTCCTCCGTTATTTGACCCCCACATATGAAGTAATTGTGATCAGCTTCTTAGTCTTATATCCAACGTGACAATTCTTACACATGAACTAGTCTATACAACTAAACCTGCTTACATTTTGAAAAAGTTGAAACATTTCTTTACATAGATGAAAGCCACAGAAAAAAACAATCATCCAAAGTACGATGAGGTCCGTGGTGGCGAACTGAATCAAAAAACAAAAGAGCCATTTTACTTCACGACACATTTCAAGGGGGGGGGGGGGTGAGGAGAAGGGGGCATCATATATGAGATTCGTCACTGCGGCAGAAATACCTTATTTCTACCGGCTTCCGGCGGAAACCAGGTGTCAGTAATTTCCCAGATTTTTCTCTGCGGAACGCGGATACTGGCCAGACGATCTGTGAAGTTGGGGTCGGTGGAGAAGTCGTCGAAGTTGCGCAGGTCCCATGAGGACACGCCGCCCAACTCCACCTTCTCGTAGTGCAAGAGGCTGCGTTTGGTGACGATGAAGTAGGTCAGGCTGACCAGATACAGCGAGTACATGACTAGGTCACACACGGTGATGATCCGTCCGTACTTTCTCCTGACGACAAAACAAGCAAGTTGTAGACATAACATAACAGCTTGTCGCAACTCAAAATATCAAACGAAAACGCTTAACTTTTGTACATTCTTTATATTCCACTTATCAAATATTTTACAAAAAGTAAAGGACAGTTTTCCGTTGTGTTGATGTTTTGTTTAAAAAATTTTTTAATGATTTTTAAGTGGACAAACTGCCATTCTGCCTTTTAGCCTACATTCAACACGGTGAACCTATTTGACCAATCAACACGGTGAACCTATTTGACCAATCAACACGGTGAACCTATTTGACCAATCAACACGGTGAACCTATTTGACCAATCAACACGGTGAACCTATTTGACCAATCAACACGGTGAACCTATTTGACCAATCAACACGGTGAACCTATTTGACCACGGATGTACATTACCATTTGACCCACAAGAAGGTCACGGTCAGTGGGTGAGCCATACAGTCCACACGCTTGTAGTCCATCATGACCTGTGGAGCATAGAGGAACATGGACCTATAGAACATACAGAAACATTAGAACATAGAGGAACATGACCTATAGAACATACAGAAACATTAGAACATAGAGGAACATGACCTATAGAACATACAGAAACATTAGAACATAGAGGAACATGACCTATAGAACATACAGAAACATTAGAACATAGAGGAACATGACCTATAGAACATACAGAAACATTAGAACATAGAGGAACATGACCTATAGAACATACAGAAACATTAGAACATAGAGGAACATGACCTATAGAACATACAGAAACATTAGAACATAGAGGAACATGACCTATAGAACATACAGAAACATTAGAACATAGAGGAACATGACCTATAGAACATACAGAAACATTAGAACATAGAGGAACATGACCTATAGAACATACAGAAACATTAGAACATAGAGGAACATGACCTATAGAACATACAGAAACATTAGAACATAGAGGAACATGACCTATAGAACATACAGAAACATTAGAACATAGAGGAACATGACCTATAGAACATACAGAAACATTAGAACATAGAGGAACATGACCTATAGAACATACAGAAACATTAGAACATAGAGGAACATGACCTATAGAACATACAGAAAAATGACCTATAGAACATACAGAAACATGACCTATAGAACATACAGAAACATGACCTATAGAACATACAGAAACATGACCTATAGAACATACAGAAACATGACCTATAGAACATACAGAAACATGACCTATAGAACATACAGAAAAATGGACCTATAGTCCAGAATCAAAGAGACAAAAATTCAACAAACACAGTTGATACAGTAATAGAAAGTCTCTAGATTTCGACCAATACGATAAACAGGAAGTATACCAAATTCTCTTGCACGAGAGATTTATCTAAAAAATGCCAGAAACTGTCTAAGAAGTTTAGCCTTATTTCAGCTCATTTACTGCATTTGCCATACAAGGATTCAAATACCATTCGGCTGACGACGTTAATTCGTTCGCTAACCGAAACGTTCGAAAACCGAAACGTTCGCTAATCGAAACGTTCGCTAATCGAAACGTTCGCTAACCGAAACGTTCGCTAACCGAAACGTTAGCTAATCGAAACGTTCGCTAATCGAAACGTTCGCTAAACGAAACGTTCGCTAACCGAAACGTTCTCTAACCGAAACGTTCGCTAACCGAAACGCTCGTGACAGAAACGCGAATTCTGCCGCATGATTTGCACCGATGAGTGTACCCAACGATATCAGGGAAGGCGTACGTGCTACATGGAGAGAGAGTGGCGGGGGGGGGGGGTCCGAACTAGGGACTCTGGTATTTATCATTTGGTTACACTACTAGGCCAAGCCGTCCCAACTGTATACGTGAAAATCTAAATACTACTAAAACTCAAGTTTGTTTACATGTTTGAATATTTATTTGTTTTTTTTTTTTTTGTCTGATTGACTACTGGAGAAAATCTGCTCTATGTGTAGGCCTGTAAAATAGTATGTAGGTAGAGAAAATTTTTTCTTTTCAGACAGACTGTTAATCACAAATTTATTTAAAGACGTTAATTAATTTATTGATTTATTCATTGGTAGATTAACCACATGAATCATAATACATATTTTTAGTCCTTAAATATTTGATATAAATCTTTGTGATTTATCTATCTAGATCTATCTAGCTAGAATAGGTCTAATGATTAGATCTAGATCTAGATCTAGCAAGAGTTACGCAAAAACTAGACTCAAGACTTAAAAGCAAACGAGTCGTAGAATCTAGATCTAGATAATTCTATCTAGATCTAGATAATTTCAGACCATCATTATTTTATATAAATCTTTGTTTGTTTAGCTATGTAATTGGCTAATTTAAGATAAAATTTAATTTGAAAGTTACTACCACTAGACTTAGATCTATATCTATGCGCGTAAATCAAGTTGCATAAGGAGACTCAAAGTATTAAACTATACTATAAAAAAACATTTATGACGTCACGCGTTAAATAGCTAAGTTGTTGGTGTAATCGGCTTTCATGCGGGTGGCACAGGTTCTAGACCAATACGTCAATGTTAATTTTTTTTTCAATTTTTTTTTATTTTTTAGATGTGAATGATAAAGTTGCCTATCTGAACTTGGCGGGATACAGGGCAGGTGAAGTAGAGTTCATCTGTTTCTTTGTCCTAAGCATATGAAGGGATAGTGTGGTCAGAGACATGCTCGACTGGAATCGTTTTTTTAAACGATAAAAACATGTTGTCTGAGATTGGCGGGACACTGGGCAGGTGAAGTAGAGTTGAGTAGGTCACCTGTGACGTCAGTATATGAAGGGATAGTCCGAAATCGGTGTTTTCGGTGTTTTTAAAAGATAAAAAACATCTTTTTGAATGCGGGGGTCTGGTTTTTTGTGACGATAAGTGACAGACGTGATGTTTTTTTTATGGATGACCCCCGAAACTCACAGTTATCCAAGGGATGACGGGTAGTCTAGTATTTGTTTAAAATTTGTCTGTGTTTTCGTGGTTGAAACGACTGCCACGTTCAAAGCAAAATAACAGCGGTATCAAGGTGTAACAGTTACTTGTAAAGGTAGAAGGGACATAACATTTACCTTCAAAGGTAGCAGTGACGTATTCGCAAACTTGTTCTGCATTGCAAAGTCTTTGAATGAGTCGGGTAAATGGAGATATCGAAAGTTGAAATGTTCCTAAAACACAAAAAACAGATGTTAAAACGGTTCAAGGACATTACACCTGGTCAATTATAGACATTTTATAGCTCCACTTCCTCACCCCCCCCCCCATTCCACTATATGAATTCTACAATTCTAGATATAAAACCCCAGGTTTTGCCTTGACCCCGACCCGTGTTGTAGACTTACGTAATACTCTTCACTCTCCTCGTCATTTTCGGAGTAAATCACACACCGGTCCAGAACATGCTAGAACAAATTGTTATGGTTCATGTGGGAAAAACGCAACAAAATAATGAAAGAAACATGACACTTATTGCAATCGTCACTTAGCATTACAATACATTAGTTATGACAGATGTGTGACAGTTGTGTGACACATGTGTGAGAGTGACAGATGAGACTATGATAGCTCTCTGACAGTCACAGATCTACGGCTTGCAGATTGTGACAGTGGAAGATTCGAACAGTAGTGGATCTGACACTGTGACAGATATGACCCTGACAGATGTGACACTGACATATGTGACACTGACAGATGTGAAACTGACAGATGTGACACGTGACAGATTCTACCTGGCAGATGTGACACGTGACAGATGTGACCTGACAGATGTGACACTGACATGTGACACTAACATGTGACACTAACAGATGTGACAGTGACAGATGTGACACTGACAGATGTGACACTGACAGATGTGACACTGACAGATTTGACCCTGACAGATGTGACGCTGACATGTGACACCGACATATGTGACACTGACAGATGTGACACTGACAGATGTGACACTGACAGATGTGACCCTGAAAGACGTGACACTGACAGATGTGACACGTGACACTGATAGATGTGACACTGACATATTTGACCCTGACAGATGTGACACTGACATATGTGACACTTACAGATGTGAAACTGACAGATGTGACACTGACAGATGTTACACTGACAGATTTGACCCTGACAGATTTGACCCTGACAGGTGTGACACGGACAGATGTGACACTGACATGTGACACTGACAGGTGTGACACTAACATATGTGACACTGACAGATGTGACACTAACAGATGTGACACTGCCAGATGTGACACTGACAGGTGTGACACGAGACACTGACAGATGTGACACGGACAGATGTGAATGTGGCAACATGTATGACATGACCAGCTCACCACGAACACCGAAGGCAGCTGTTGAATCAAGCCGAGAATGGGAAGACCAAACTTTTTAGACGTCCTCTGTAGACACTCTTCCCACCTGCCACAAGAGGGAAGCATTAGATAACATCATCTTCCCACACTACTTCACCCTCAGGTGTAGTACAAACAAGACAAGAGTCAACTGCCGTGCGTGTTTGCAGTCATGTTAATGCGTGTTTGTAGTCTTGTTAGTGTGTGTTTGTAGTCATGTTAGTGTGTGTTTGTAGTCATGTTACTGTGTGTTTGTAGTCATGTTAGTGTGTGTTTGTAGTCATGTTAGTGTGTGGAATGGAGTGGCACCCGTGTTGTTGGATCAGCCTCTAAAAATGATTGTGTTCATTGTTTCATTCAGGCTTAAGCAAAAATCTACTACAATCAGCCTCAAGTAAAAAAGGATTGTGTTACGTGTTTCAATCAGTTTCAAACAATTATGATTGTGTCACCTGGTACAATCAGCTTCAAACAACCATGATTGTGTCACCTGTTACAATCAGCCTCAAACAATCATGATTGTGTCACCTGTTATGATTGATTACCACCTCCGCCACTGCCAGGTGACAGTTGGAGATGACCTCGTCAAGAAACGTCAGGCCGTACATGTTCTCCGTGATGGCCGCTTTGGCCGTCAGAAGGACATCGACCACCGTGGCATGGTTCATGCTGGCCGCTAGGTGGAGGGCTGTGTTCTGGGGAAACAAAGGTTACACACACACACATATATATATATATATATATATATATATATATATATATATATATATATATATATATATATATATATATATATATATATATATATATACATATATATATATATATATATATGTATACATATATATATACATGTATATATATGTATGTATATGTATATATGTATGTGTATATGTATATGTATATGTATATGTATATGTATATGTATATGTATATGTATATGTATATGTATATGTATATGTATATGTATATGTACAGGTTAGAGAATAAGAAGAAGAACTGACCCCCTCGTTGTTGGCTGAGTCCAGCAGATAGCCGTGCACGGCGAGTATCCTCGAGACACAGGACCGGTGTCCCTTCATGGCGGCTAGGTGGAGGGGCGTGTTGTCTTTGTTGTCTCTAGTGGGAGGGGGGGGGAGAGAAATGAATTTAACGTTGGTGAACTAACGGTTGAACAGGGGGTGGCGACGTCATGGTGTAACAGTTGTGATGTCATAATTTTAACAGAGTGGAATTAATGCAGCAGTTCCCAAACTTTTCGTCATTGTGACCTTATAAATAACCAAAATATATCGGTGCCTTTTTTTACCCCTCTGATCTCATACATTATTTCCCTTTACCCAAATGTTTATTAGTATTGCAATAACCATGGTTAGGTGGTAGAGCGTACAGCTTCTAACCCTAAAGTGTCGAGCAGGGATCCTTGACTCCCTTAGCTCTAATCTAGTTTGGAAACTGCTGAATGCATGATTCTTATGGGTGATTTAGTTGTTTAATAGTCTGAAACATCCGTATGGAATTATTTAGGGTCTCCAAAATAAGTTTTATACAGTTCAACATGGATATTATACAGTTCAACATGGATATTATACAGTTCAACATGGATGTTATACAGTTCAACATGGATGTTATACAGTTCAATGTGGATGTCATACAGTTCAACATGGATGTTATACAGTTCAACATGGATGTTATACAGTTCAACATGGATGTTATACAGTTCAATGTGGATGTTATACAGTTCAACATGGATATTAGACAGTTCAACATGGATGTTATACAGTTCAACATGGATGTTATACAATTCAACATGGATGTTATACAGTTCAATGTGGATGTTATACAGTTCAATGTGGATGTTATACAGTTCAACATGGATGTTATACAGTTCAACATGGATGTTATACAGTTCAACATGGATGTTATACAGTTCAATGTGGATGTTATACAGTTCAACATGGATGTTATACAGTTCAATGTGGATGTTATACAGTTCAACATGTATGTTATACAGTTCAACGTGGATGTTATACAGTTCAACATGTATGTTATACAGTTCAACGTGGATGTTATACAGTTCAACATGGATGTTATACAGTTCAACATGGATGTTATACAGTTCAACATGGATGTTATACAGTTCAACATGGATGTTATACAGTTTAACATGGATATTATACAGTTCAACATGTATGTTATACAGCTCAGCTGTTGATGTAAACAAATGAGATGTTGATGTAAACAAATGAGATGTTGATGTAAACAAATGAGATGTTGATGTAAACAAATGAGATGTTGATGTAAACAAATGAGATGTTGATGTAAACAAATGAGATGTACTTTGTGACGAGGACGCCATTCTGTATGAGGAAGTTGAGGATCCGTAGGTGACCCTCCTGGGCGGCGTAGTGTAGGGCGGTCATGCCAGCCAGGTCGGTGTCGTTCTTCAAGACGGCACCGTTGGCACTCTGGAGCAGAATTTGACAGGTGAATGGTCGATCGAACCTGTAGTGGGGATTATAGCAGGTGATAGGTCGGTCAAGTGTGGATTATAGCAGGTGATAGGTCGGTATAGTGTGGATTATAACAGGTGATAGGTCGGTCAAGTGTGGATTATAACAGGATTATAACAGGTAAAAGGTCGGTCAAGTGTGGATTATAGCAGGTGATAGGTCGGTAAAAGGTGGATTATAGCAGGTGATAGGTCGGTCAAGTGTGGATTATAGCAGGTGATAGGTCGGTAAAAGGTGGATTATAGCAGGTGGTAGGTCGGTCAAGTGTGGATTATAGCAGGTGATAGGTCGGTAAAAGGTGGATTATAGCAGGTGGTAGGTCGGTCAAGTGTGGATTATAGCAGGGTATAGAAGCATGTAATGTAAGGTTAACATCAAGGTTTTGGACTTCACTAGGTATGGTAAACATGCGGGTGTGCTGACGTCACTAGGTAAGGTTAACATGCGGGTAAGCTGACGTCACTAGGTAAGGTTAACATGCGGGTAAGCTGACGTCACTAGGTAAGGTTAACATGCGGGTGTGCTGACGTCACTAGGTAAGCTTAACATCAAGGTGTTTTGACGTCACTAGGTAAGGTTAACATGCGGGTGTGCCGACGTCACTAGGTAAGGTTAACATCAAGGTGTTCTGGCGTCTCTAGGTAAGGTTAACATGCGGGTGTTCTGACGTCACTAGGTAAGGTTAACATCAAGGTGTGCTGGCGTCTCTAGGTAAGGTTAACATCAAGGTGTGCTGGCGTCTCTAGGTAAGGTTAACATGCGGGTGTTCTGACGTCACTAGGTAAGGTTAGCATTCAGGTGTGCTGACGTCACTAGGTAAGGTTAAAACTCGGGTGTGCTGACGTCACTAGGTAAGGTTAACACGCGGGTGTGCTGACGTCACTAGGTAAGGTTAACATCAAGGTGTGCTGACGTCACTAGGTAAGGTTAACATGCAGGTGTGTTGACGTCACTAGGTAAGGTTAACATGCGGGTGTGCTAACTTCACTAGGTAAGGTTAACATCAAGGTGTGCTGGCGTCTCTAGGTAAGGTTAACATGCGGGTGTTCTGACGTCACTATGTAAGGTTAACATCAAGGTGTGCTGGCGTCTCTAGGTAAGGTTAACATGCGGGTGTGCTGACGTCACTAGGTAAGGTTAACACGCGGGTGTGCTGACGTCACTAGGTAAGGTTAACACGCGGGTGTGCTGACGTCACTAGGTAAGGTTAACACGCGGGTGTGCTGACGTCACTAGGTAAGGTTAACACGCGGGTGTGCTGACGTCACTAGGTAAGGTTAACACGCGGGTGTGCTGACGTCACTAGGTAAGGTTAACATGCAGGTGTGCTGACGTCACTAGGTAAGGTTAACACGCGGGTGTGCTGACGTGACTAGGTAAGGTTAACACGCGGGTGTGCTGACGTGACTAGTACTCACTTGGCCGCCAGGTGGAAGGCCGTCTGACGGTACCTGTTCCTGTGAGTGACCGAGGCCCCCAGTGAGATGATGTTCTTGACCACCAACTGCAGCCCCTCCTCTGCGGCGTAGTGTAGGGGCGTGTAGCCCGCTATGTCCTTCTCGTTACATCTGGCACTGATGTTCTTGATGTACTGGCGAGTGTACAGGTGGCGTTACAGTCAAGGAACAGGGTGGATATTACAAGGGAACAGGGTGGACATTATAGTGAGGGAACAGGGTGGACATTACAAGGGAACAGGGTGGATATTACAAGGGAACAGGGTGGACATTACAGGGGAACAGGGTGGACATTACAGGGGAACAGGGTGAACATTACAAGGGAACAGGGTGGACATTACAAGGGAACAGGGTGGACATTACAAGGGAACAGGGTGGACATTACAAGGGAATAGGGTGGATATTACAAGGGAATAGGGTGGATATTACAAGGGAATAGGGTGGATATTACAAGGGAATAGGGTGGATATTACAAGGGAATAGGGTGGATATTATAGTGAGGGAACAGATTGGACATTTCAAGGGAACAGGGTGGACATTACAAGGGAATAGAGTGGACATTATAAGGGAACAGGGTGAACATTATAGTAAGGGAACAGGGTGGACATTACAGTAAGGGAACAGAGTGGACATTTCAAGGGAAAAGGGTGGACATTATAGTAAGGGATCAGGGTGGACATTTCAAGGGAAAAGGGTGGACATTACAAGGGAAAAGGGTGGACATTATAGTGAGGGAACAGGGTGGACATTACAAGGGAACAAGGTGGACATTACAAGGGAACAGGGTGGACATTATAAGGGAACAGGGTGGACATTATAAGGGAACAGGGTGGACATTACAAGGGAACAAGGTGGACATTATAAGGGAACAGGGTGGACATTACAAGGCAACAGGGTGGACTGTGGACATTACAAGGGAACACAATAAACGTCAGACTAATGGAACACAATATAAGTTCCAATAGGGGAGAGAACGAACCTTGAGGGCTTTGAACGTCTCATTCAATTCCATGCCGTTGATGACAGCTAGGTGCAAGAAGTTCCTCTTGGAGGAGTTGGTCAGGGAGGTGTCGGCGCCGTAGCTGAGGAGGACGTTCAGGGCCGCCCATGAACTATTGGTGGCGGCCGCCAACAGAGGCGTCAGCTTCATGGAGTCAAACGCGTTCATGTCTGATGGCTAGGGGGGGGGGGGGGCAGTTGAAACAGTTCACAAAGGGAATCTATTGTCGACTATACACTAACTAGCATCAAATCCCGTATATATATATATATATATATATATATATATATATATATATATATATATATATATATATATATATATATATATATATATATATATATGTATATATATATATATATATATATGTATGTATATATATATATATATATATATATATATATATATATATATATATATATATATATATATATATATATATATATATATAAAGAAAGAGAGAGAGAGAGATCATCTGTAAGAAAAACGAGTGTATAATTATGTTTGCTTAAATGGGCAATAAATGCAGCTTTACCAAGTCGATCAAGTATTTGGTGACGCTGGCGTGGTTAAAAATGGCCGCCCAGTGAAGTGGTGTGCGTCCCTGGACGTCTACGGAGTCCGCAGCGAACAGGGTCGATTTCCTGTTGAGGTTGTTCATGGCCTGTAGCATTTCCAGGCTGCCCTGGATAGCGGCGTAGTGGACAGCGGTCAACCCATCGTCCTGCAGTACAAGATTGTTTTAATGCTCAGGTGGAAATATTTCATATCACGCAAACTTTTTAAAAAAAGGAATAAGTTGTAATTTTATAAACTGCTCAACGCGGAGTAAAATTATAATTTTCAATGTCAATTATAAAACATGTAATTAATTGTCTAATTTCTAATCGATCGGAAAACTAAATATTTCTTCCATCCAGCAACAACAAAAGGTGGCTAAAACAATGTATCTGACCTGTTTGCAGCTAGGATCTGCGCCATACTTTAAAAACTGTTTGAGAACCTATGGAAAATCGGAAAACGCAAATTAGAGAGGCAAATGATTGAGGTAGACAACAAAACATTGAACAATACATCGCTCTAACTGAGAAGATTAACACAAAACATTGAACAATACATCGCTCTAACTGAGAAGATTAACACAAAAGATTCAATAATACATCGCTCTAACTGAGAAGTATAACACAAAACATTGAACAATACATCGCTCTAACTGAGAAGATTAACACAAAACATTGAAGAATACATCGCTCTAACTGAGAAGATTAACACAAAACGATAAACTCAACTGCCCACTAAAGAGCACACTGACCTCTCTACGACCAACTTACTGCATAACTACAATGACCACTGGACAACCACAGCAACCACTGAACGACCACTGAACGACCACTGAACGACCACTGAACGACCACAGTGTCCACTGGATGACCACTGGACAACCACAGGACGACACAGTGACCACTGGACAACCACAGGACGACACAGCGACCACTGGACAACCACAGGACGACACAGTGACCAATGAACGACCACAGTGACCACTGGACAACCACAGGACGACACAGTGACCAATGGACAACCACAGGACGACACAGTGACCACTGGACAACCACAGGACGACACAGTGACCAATGGACAACCACAGGACGACACAGTGACTACTGGACAACCACAGGACGACACAGCGACCACTGGACAATGACCAACCTCTACGTTACCACCGCCGACTGCTGAGTGTATGGGTCGCTGATTCTCTCGGTCTTTAACGTCCAGCAGAAGTAAGGGGGTGATGGCACAAAACATGGGTGCTACAAGAGAGATGGCACAAAACAAGAGAGATGTTAACACATGGGAGCTACAAGAGAGATGTTAACACATGGGTGCTACAAGAGAGATGTTAACACATGGCTGCTACAAGAGAGATGTTAACATATGGGTGCTACAAGAGAGATGTTAACACATGGGTGCTACAAGAGAGATGTTAACACATGGGTGCTAAAAGAGAGATGTTATCACATGGGTGCTAAAGGAGAGATGTTAACACATGGGTGCTACAAGAGAGATGTTAATACATGGGTGCTACAAGCGAGATGTTAACACATGGGTGCTACAAGAGAGATGTTAACACATGGGTGCTAAAAGAGAGATGTTAACACATGGGTGCTACAAGAGAGATGTTAATACATGGGTGCTAAAGGAGAGATGTTAACACATGGGTGCTACAAGAGAGATGTTAACACATGGGTGCTAAAGGAGAGATGTTAACACATGGGTGCTAAAGGAGAGATGTTAACACATGGGTGCTACAAGAGAGATGTTAACACATGGGTGCTACAAGAGAGATGTTAACACATGGGTGCTACAAGAGAGATGTTAACACATGGGTGCTACAAGAGAGATGTTAACACATGGGTGCTAAAGGAGAGATGTTAACACATGGGTGCTACAAGAGAGATGTTAACACATGGGTGCTACAAGAGAGATGTTAACACATGGGTGCTACAAGAGAGATGTTAACACATGGGTGCTACAAGAGAGATGTTAACACATGGGTGCTACAAGAGAGATGTTAACACATGGGTGCTACAAGAGAGATGTTAACACATGGGTGCTACAAGCGAGATGTTAACACATGGGTGCTACAAGAGAGATGTTAACACATGGGTGCTAAAGGAGAGATGTTAACACATGGGTGCTACAAGAGAGATGTTAACACATGGGTGCTACAAGAGAGATGTTAACACATGGGTGCTACAAGAGAGATGTTAACACATGGGTGCTACAAGAGAGATGTTAAAACATGGGTGCTACAAGAGAGATGTTAACACATGGGTGCTACAAGAGAGATGTTAACACATGGGTGCTACAAGAGATGTTAACACATGGGTGCTACAAGAGAGATGTTAACACATGGGTGCTACAAGAGAGATGTTATAAAACATGGGTGCTACAAGAGAGATGTTAACACATGGGTGCTAAAGGAGAGATGTTAACACATGGGTGCTACAAGAGAGATGTTATAAAACATGGGTGCTACAAGAGAGATGTTAACATATGGGTGCTACAAGAGAGATGTTAACACATGGGTGCTACAAGAGAGATGTTAACACATGGGTGCTACAAGTGAGATGTTAACACATGGGTGCTACAAGAGAGATGTTAACACATGGGTGCTACAAGAGAGATGTTAACACATGGGTGCTACAAGAGAGATGTTATAAAACATGGGTGCTACAAGAGAGATGTTAACACATGGGTGCTAAAGTAGAGATGTTAACACATGGGTGCTACAAGAGAGATGTTAACACATGGGTGCTACAAGAGAGATGTTAACACATGGGTGCTACAAGAGAGATGTTAAAACATGGGTGCTACAAGAGAGATGTGAACACATGGGTGCTAAAGGAGAGATGTTAACACATGGGTGCTACAAGAGAGATGTTAGCACATGGGTGCTACAAGAGAGATGTTATAAAACATGGGTGCTACAAGAGAGATGTTAACACATGGGTGCTACAAGAGAGATGTTAACACATGGGTGCTACAAGAGAGATGTTAACACATGGGTGCTACAAGAGAGATGTTAACACATGGGTGCTACAAGAGAGATGTTAACACATGGGTGCTACAAGAGAGATGTTAACATATGGGTGCTACAGGAGAGATGTTAACACATGGGTGCTACAAGAGAGATGTTAACACATGGGTGCTACAAGAGAGATGTTAACACATGGGTGCTACAAGAGATGTAATAATACATGGGTGCTACAAGAGAGATGTTAACACATGGGTGCTACAAGAGAGATGTTAACATATGGGTGCTACAAGAGAGATGTTAACACATGGGTGCTACAAGAGAGATGTTAACACATGGGTGCTACAAGAGAGATGTTAACATATGGGTGCTTCAAGAGAGATGTTAACACATGGGTGCTACAAGAGAGATGTTAACACATGGGTTCTACAAGATAGATTTTAACACATGGGTGCTACAAGATAGATGTTAACACATGGGTGCTACAAGAGAGATGTCAACACATGGGTGCTACAAGAGAGATGTTAACACATGGGTGCTACAAGAGAGATGTTAACACATATGTGCTACAAGAGAGATGTTAACACATGGGTGCTACAAGAGATGTAATAATACATGGGTGCTACAAGAGAGATGTTAACACATGGGTGCTACAAGAGAGATGTTAACACATGGGTGCTACAAGAGAGATGTTAACACATGGGTGCTACAAGAGAGATGTTAACACATGGGTGCTACAAGAGAGATGTTAACACATGGGTGCTAAAGGAGAGATGTTATAAAACATGGGTGCTACAAGAGAGATGTTAACACATGGGTGCTAAAGGAGAGATGTTAACACATGGGTGCTACAAGAGAGATGTTAACACATATGTGCTACAAGAGAGATGCTAACACATGGGTGCTACAAGAGAGATGTTAACACATGGGTGCTAAAGGAGAGATGTTAACACATGGGTGCTAAAGGAGAGATGTTAACACATGGGTGCTACAAGAGAGATGTTAACACATGGGTGCTACAAGAGAGATGTTAACACATGGGTGCTAAAGGAGAGATGTTAACACATGGGTGCTAAAGGAGAGATGTTAACACATGGGTGCTACAAGAGAGATGTTAACACATGGGTGCTAAAGGAGAGATGTTAACACATGGGTGCTACAAGAGATGTAATAATACATGGGTGCTACAAGAGAGATGTTAACACATGGGTGCTACAAGAGAGATGTTAACACATGGGTGCTACAAGAGAGATGTTAACATATGGGTGCTACAAGAGAGATGTTAACACATGGGTGCTACAAGAGAGATGTTAACACATGGGTGCTACAAGAGAGATGTTAACATATGGGTGCTACAAGAGAGATGTTAACACATGGGTGCTACAAGAGAGATGTTATAAAACATGGGTGCTACAAGAGAGATGTTAACACATGGGTGCTACAAGAGAGATGTTAACACATGGGTGCTACAAGAGAGATGTTAACACATGGGTGCTACAAGAGAGATGTTAACATATGGGTGCTTGAAGAGAGATGTTAATACATGGGTGCTACAAGAGAGATGTTAACACATGGGTGCTACAAGAGATATATTATAATACACCAAACTGAAAATGCACAATTGTTGTAGGGGCTGGGGTGCCACCCAACCTGGAGCAACAACTTTCTCTGTACGACACACGGAACACAAATCATGAACTGTCCTAACTTCTCTACCAAACAAGCCCTTGACCTAGACCTTGATTACACATAGAACGACCCTGACCTTCTCTGAGGATGGTGAGCACAGCATCGAGAGATCCGCACTTGGCTGCCATATGGAGCGGTGTTGAGCCGTTATGACAGGTCATTGTGATGTCCGCCCCCTTCTCCAGCTGAAAAACTTGACACTATTACATCTCAGCCACGTGGCTAAACGAGCTACATAATTTAACTTAGATCCTATTGAATTGAGACACCTAACCCCAGCGTATTTGCATTTTATTTCAACATTTTTTGGCGTTTTTATTTTAATGGTGTATTGTTTTGTTTGTTGTTCACTTACAGATTTTGGATATCAAGTTCGAATCGTATTTTTCCCATAGCTGATTATAATTCATAATTATAAATAAAATCTTTCACTTCTCACTCTGTTCAATGACTACCACGCCAACGTAATAAGTGTTTCTTCCAGACTTTTTTTCTCCGGAGGAGAGAGGCGGGGGCTAAAATTTTCGGGGGGGGGGTGGACACTTGTAAAAGTATATATTTTATATATAGATCCTATCTCGTTCGGATGGAGAGGATGGGGGTGGATATGAGATACATGGAAGAAACTCTGGACGTAATCTTATCGTGAAGTTAATGTGCCAACCTTCTACCTTTAGAAGCATGGACGTATCGAACCAATCTTCCTCCTTAAGACTCCGATTATGGTAACGTAACAGGATTCGACATCTCAATCCTCCCGTAACTTATCCACATCTCAAATCTCAAGTAACGTATCCACATCTCAACCCTCACGTAACTTATCCACATCTCAAATCTCAAGTAACTTATCAACATCTCAAATCTCACGTAACTTATCCACATCCCAACCCTCCCGTAACTTATCCACATCTCAAATCTCACGTAACTTATCCACATCTCAACCCTCACGTAACTTATCCACATCTCAACACTCACATAACTTATCCACATCTCAACACTCACGTAACTTATCCACATCTCAACACTCACGTAACTTATCCACATCTCAACACTCACGTAACTTATCCACATCTCAACACTCACGTAACTTATCCACATCTCAACCCTCCCGTAACTTATCCACATCCCTCAAGTATCAACTTACAAGAATGGAGACCGAGTTGCCGTTGTTAGAGACGGCGGCGTAATGAAGGGGTGTGAATGCCGACTCTCCACGGATGTTGGGGTCTAGACCATTGTCCAGCAACTTCTGTTGTGGAAAATAAATTATTTCATTCCTAGGGGCTGCATCACGTCTGTGAATATATTGTCTGAGCCTTTTTGTAAAATAAACATACACATACATACATACTAACAAGTTCGCCCACATCAGCGCAACAACAAGCAACCAACAACTACCCTACAACAACTGCCATACAACAACAACTACCATATAACAACTACCCTACAACAGCCTCCATACAACAACTATCATACAACAACTACGCTACAACAACTACCCTACAACAACTACCCTACAACAACTACGCTACAACAACTACCCTACAACAACTACCATACAACAACTACCATACAACAACTACCCTACAACAACTACCATACAACAACAACAACTACCCTACAACTACCCTACAACAACTACCCTACAACAACAACAACTACCCTACAACAACTACCCTACAACAACTACCCTACAACAACAACAACTACCATACAACAACTACCCTACAACAACTACCCTACAACAACTACCCTACAACAACTACCATACAACAACTACCCTACAACAACTACCCTACAACAACTACCCTACAACAACAACAACTACCCTACAACTACCCTACAACAACAACAACTACCCTACAACAACTACCATACAAAACTACCCTACAACAAGTCCAACTACCCTACAACAACTACCCTACAACAACTACCCTACAACTACCCTACAACAACTACCATACAACAAGTCCAACTACCCTACAACAACTACCCTACAACAACTACCATACAACAACAACAACTACCCTACAACTACCCTACAACAACTACCCTACAACAACTACCCTATAACAACTACACTACAACAACTACCATACAACTTCCATATAACAACTACCCTACAACAACTACCCTATAACAACTACCCTACAACAACTACCCTACAACAACTACCCTACAACAACTACCCTACAACAACTACCCTACAACAACTACCCTACAACTACCCTACAACAACTACCATACAACAAGTCCAACTACCCTACAACAACTACCCTACAACAACTACCCTACAACAACTACCCTACAACAACTACCCTACAACAACTACCCTACAACAACTACCCTACAACAAGTCCAACTACCCTACAACAACTACCCTACAACAACTACCCTACAACAACTACCCTACAACAACTACCCTACAACAACTACCCTACAACAACTACCCTACAACAACTACCCTACAACAACTACCCTACAACAACTACCCTACAACAACTACCCTACAACAACTACCCTACAACAACTACCCTACAACAACTACCCTACAACAACTACCCTACAACAACTACCCTACAACAACTACCATACAACAACTTCCCTACAACAACAACAACTACCCTACAACAACTACCCTACAACAACTACCCTACAACAACTACCCTACAACAACTACCCTACAACAACTACCATACAACAACTACCATACAACAACTACCATACAACAACTTCCCTACAACAACAACAACTACCCTACAACAACTACCATACAACAACTACCATACAACAACTTCCCTACAACAACAACAACTACCCTACAACAACTACCATACAACAACTACCCTACAACAACAACAACTACCCTACAACAACTACCATACAACAACTACCATACAACAACTACCATACAACAACTTCCCTACAACAACAACAACTACCCTACAACAACTACCATACAACAACTACCCTACAACAACAACAACTACCATACAACAACTACCCTACAACAACTACCCTACAACAACTACCCTACAACAACTACCCTACAACAACTACCATACAACAACTACCCTACAACAAGTACCCTACAACAACTACCATACAACAACAACAACTACCCTACAACTACCCTACAACAACTACAATACAACAACAACAACTACCCTACAACTACCCTACAACAACTACCTTACAACTACCCTACAACTACCCTACAACAACTACCCTACAACTACCCTACAACAACTACCTTACAACTACCCTACAACAACTACCCTACAACAACTACCCTACAACAACTAGCAACCAACAACTACCCTACAACAACTACCCTACAACAACTACCCTCAACAACTACCCTACAACAACTACCCTACAACAACTACCCTACAACAACTACCCTACAACAACTACCCTACAACAACTACCCTACAACAACTACCCTACAACAACTACCCTACAACAACTACCCTACAACTACCCTACAACAACTACCCTACAACAACTACCCTACAACTACCCTACAACAACTACCCTACAACAACTACCCTACAACAACTACCCTACAACAACTACCCTACAACAACTACCCTACAACAACTACCCTACAACAACTACCCTACAACAACTACCCTACAACAACTACCCTACAACAACTACCATACAACAACTACCCTACAACAACTACCCTACAACAACTAACCTACAACAACTACCATACAACAACTACCCTACAACAACTACCATACAACAACTACCCTACAACAACTACCATACAACTACCCTACAACAACTACCCTACAACTACCCTACAACAACAACAACTACCCTACAACAACTACCCTACAACAACTACCCTACAACAACTACCCTACAACAACTACCATACAACAACTACCCTACAACAACTACCCTACAACAACAACAACTACCCTAAAACAACTACCCTACAACAACTACCCTACAAAAACTACCATACAACAACTACGCTACAACAACTACCCTACAACAACTACCCTACAACAACTACCCTACAACAACTACCCTACAACAACTACCCTACAACAACTACCATACAACAACTACCCTACAACAACTACCCTACAACAACTACCCTACAACAACTACCCTACAACAACTACCCTACAACAACTACCCTACAACAACTACCCTACAACAACTACCATACAACAACTACCCTACAACAACTACCATACAACTACCCTACAACAACTACCCTACAACTACCCTACAACAACAACAACTACCCTACAACAACTACCCTACAACAACTACCCTACAACAACTACCCTACAACAACTACCCTACAACTACAATACAACAACTACCCTAAACAACTACCCTACAACAACTACCCTACAACAACTACCCTACAACAACTACCCTACAACAACTACCCTACAACAACTACCCTACAACAACTAGCCTACAACAACTAGCCTACAACAACTACCCTACAACAACTACCCTACAACAACTACCCTACAACAACTACCCTACAACAACTACCCTACAACAACTACCCTACAACAACTACCCTACAACAACTACCCTACAACAACTACCCTACAACAACTACCCTACAACAACTACCCTACAACAACTACCCTACAACAACTACCCTACAACAACTACCCTACAACAACTACCCTACAACAACTACCCTACAACAACTACCCTACAACAACTACCCTACAACAACTACCCTACAACAACTACCATACAACAACTACCATACAACAACAACAACTACCCTACAACAACTACCCTACAACAACTACCCTACAACAACTACCCTACAACAACTACCCTACAACAACTACCATACAACAACTAGCAACCAACAGTCCCATCAGCTGACCCTCAGGATAGTGGGATTGCCCACGTAGGCGGCCACGTGCAGGGCGGTCATCTCGGAGTCATCCTTGATGTTGACGTAGGCCTTGTAGTCCAGGAGCAGCTGGACAATGTCCTCAAAGCCCAGGGCTACGGCCAGATGGAGCGGGGTGTTGCGGTGACTGTCTACAGCATTTAGCTCCCCTTGTCCTGAAGTTTGAAAAAACTTAACTGGCTGAATATATTTTAATAACAGTAGTGTCTTAAATGAATAGGAAAACATAGAACAGATTTGCTGATTTTAGAAATAGCTTGGTACGTTTCATTTATTTTTTTTGGAGCTCGTTTGTAGTTTTACTTTCTCGTATATACGTAGTATAGAGAAAGTATTGTAATCGTGCAAAAAAAAAATCGAGATTTTTACAAATCTCGACGTTTTACACCTCACTGAATCGGAAAAACATAATTTTGCAATCTTGTCCGTATGTCTGTGTGTGTGTGTGTGTCTGTGTGTCTGTCTGTGTGTAAACACGATTACTTGAGTACCGTTACAGCTAGGTTGATGAAATTTCATATATAAGTATTATATCAAAATCGTAGATCCGTATCAACTTTTGAGCGATTTCCGATAACCGGAAGTGGTACTTTTTCTACTTTGAATTTTTCAAAAGCCTATAACTTGAGTACTAATTCAGATAGATAAATGAAATTTCACATGTAAGTAAAAGATCTAATTCTCTACCTTCTATCAAATTTTGAGTAATTTCCGTTGACCGGAAGTACTAATTTACGCTATTTCCGATTTCTCAAAAAACGCATATAAATTTATAAAGTACTAATAATACTGCGCACTATTACGCACATTTGGTTTTGGTGCTCGCTTGGTGCGCAATTTTTTTTCTACTAGATTTTATTCTATTTTTAAAAGTTTAAGTAAACAAAAATCATGTCTATATTCCGAGTTGACATCCCACGTAGTGTTATATTAGAATATTCGAGAAAGTTTAGGAGAGATCACTCCCGGTTTATTTTAAACTATTGTTATATTCTTCAAATTAAATAATTTAATGTATTTATTTTTATTACTTCAAGCTATCTGTCGTCCTCTTGATTTACACAGTTCCTAAAGGCAAACTTTCTAAAGTTTCTCTATCACTGCCGCGACACACACTTTTTGACCATTGGCTTTTATACATTTCTCAAAACGTGCCGACAATCGCCTAGCATCCCCCTTCCTTGCCACTCCGCCCACCTCTGCCTATTGAATCACATTAAACTGTCCCCCCCCCCCCCCAAACAACTTACCGAAGATGGTTTCGAGGATTCTCTTGACGATGCTGCAGCGGTTGTAGTTGACGGCGACGTGGATGAGGTGGTTGCCCGACTGGTCGATCAGCAGGGCGTTCATCGGGTCGTCGGAGAAGATGAGCACCAGCTTGTGTTCCACGCCCTTCGCTGTCAGCTGCCGGAGGTTAACGCAGGTAAATACAGGTGTATACAGGTAAATACAGGTAAATACAGGTACATGTATATACAGGTTAATACAAGTAAATACAAGTGAATACAGGTAAATACAGGTAAATACAGGTAAATACAGATAAATACAGGTAAATACAGGTATATACAGGTAAATACAGGTAAATACAGTTAAATACAGGTATATACAGGTAAATACAGTTAAATACAGGTAAATACATGTACTGGTATATACAGGTATATACAGGTTAATACAAGTAAATACTGGTTAATACGGGTAAATACAGGTATATACAGGTTAATACAGGTACGGGTATATACAGGTATATACAGGTTAATACAAGTAAATACAGGTAAATACAGATATATACAGGTAAATACAGGTACAGGTATATACAGGTATACATAGGTTAATACAAGTAAATACAGGTAAATACGGGGGAAATATAGGTAAATACAGGTATATACAGGTTAATACAAGTAAATACAGGTAAATACAAGAAAATATGGTAAATACATGTAAATATGGTAAATACATGTAAATATGGTAAATACATGTAAAAATTGTAAATACATGTAAATATACGTAAAAAAGGTAAAAATAAATATAGGTATATTCAGGTACATGCAGGTAAATACTATACATACACACATCATTTCATTTTACTCAAAGCTAGGGTAAAGTCCGTCAGCCACAGATTCAAAGTCATGTGACTTCAAAATTGCAAGTGTATGACTTCAATGTTGAATGGATGGAACTTAAACTTAAGTTTGACAGCTTGCATTTTTTATTGCTTGAACATTTGGGAGTCGGGCATATTAAATAGACTAAGCATTTTGACTTATCGTGGCACGTGATAGACAGAACGTGAACAAGACAAAACTGAACCATGGCTAGAACTTGACCAAGAGCAAACTTGACCATGAGAGAACTTGACCAACCTCGAACACATCATCCACGTTTATCCTCTTGTCGGAGTCCACAAAAGAATCGGATGTGGACATCTTCAAGTCTTCTGTCTGACCTCAAGCTGATCGCTGACTGACAGCTAGCTCAGCGCTAGCTGACCGCTAGCTGACCGACGTTTTGGCTATCTACAGCATCTTCAAGTATGTTACTTAACTCGTGTTTTTGCTGTCTACAGCAGCGTGTTTTCTGGCTACTAGTGTTTTGGCTATCTAAAGCAGCTTTATATCGAGCGAATTGGTGTTTGGCTGTCTAAAGCAGCTTTTTATCTGGCTAACTGGAGTTTTGGCTATCTACAGTAGCTTTTTATATGGCTAACTGGAGTTTTGGCTATCTACAGTAGCTTTTTGTCTGGCTAACTGGAGTTTTGGCTATCTACAGTAGCTTTTTATCTGGCTAACTGGAGTTTTGGCTATCTACAGCAATTTTGTGGCTTCATAAAGATTCGTACGACCTGAGGAAGGTTTGGGCAAAACAGCGTTAATGCGTTGGTTAAACAAAGAATTGTGTTAGCCGTACCCCATAAGTAAACTGAAGCGCTAATTTTCTTGAAAAATTAATGGGAGGGAGTAAGAGCCAATCAAATGTTTATAATAATATTTTTTCAAAACGTATTTAATTGTGTGTAAGGGTTACGACCAAAGCCTGAATTTCGCTAGTTCCGGGAAATTCTTGGCCGTCTATTACCCGAAGTGTCAGGACTAGCTTGGCCGTCTATTACCCGAAGTGTCAGGACTACCTTGGCCGTCTATTACCCGAAGTGTCAGGGCTACCTTGGCCGTCTATTACCCGAAGTGTCAGGACTACCTTGGCCGTCTATTACCCGAAGTGTCAGGACTACCCTGGCCGTCTATTACCCGAAGTGTCAGGACTACCCTGGCCGTCTATTACACGAAGTAGCAGGAAACCTTTTGGCAAAATTTGGCCGTAGTGATGCCAGGAACACGTGTTAGCTTATGGTTCGCTGGTGCTTAGGATTAGTAGTTTGCAGGGACAGGGGTAAAACAAGTTAATAAAAAGTCTAGTGACAATTTAAGCGCAATTTCCTTATGTTATCCATAACAATTTTTAATTTTTTGTGACCAAACGAAAGGATATTTTTTTGCGCTAAAAAAAAGACAACTATATTAACCTATATCAACGGAAATAGTTTTATTTTAACGAGTAGGCCTACACGATGCTCAGTTTAAAAAGTAGTGAAGATCATCCTATAAATATAAACTTATTTGTTCTTAATTAATTTTTTGTGACCGAACGAAAGGATATTTTTTGAAAACTTTCTAAGGCAATATTGTTCTAAATTATGGGAGAAATCGATTGGTAAATGTTTCAAGTCGCTAAGTGGTCTGGTTGCCGAGATATGGGCCAAAAACTGCATTTTTTCGAGGGTTTTTTTTTGGCTTTTCCGGGGAAACCAGGAAGGAATTCCGGGAATTTTTTTGGCCCACAATCATCCTCGGAACTTGCTTAACATAATTCTTTTGGAACTAGTCCTCGATATTGCTTCGTTGAGGAGGAGATACGACTCAAAGCTGCGCACATCCATCCATCCAGAAATGACGAGTTAATAATCGCAATTCCGGTAAGGAAATTGCGCTAAAAACGATGTTAAATGTTTACTAGCTTACTATGCCATTTTTTTTAAAATGAGAGCCAAATTTTGAAATAAAGATAATCTCGGACATTTGGCCAGTAAAGTTACAGCGTCAGTGGTCACCCTCAAATTTTTAGTTTTGGCCGAACACATAGCTTACGTTAATAAAGTGACTTATGTATAGATCCAGTGCTATCATTATACGTAGCCTATACAACTAGTGAGACGGGGAAAAAAGGTTCCCAGAACAACTGTCGCCTCGCCACGTCTGCTGGACTACCTCGTAGAACGAAACAGTTTCATAGAACGAACGGCGCGCCATAATGCCACAATAGCCACACACACAAATTGTGGAGGAGGGTGGGGGGTAAGATGGAAGTGAGTTGGCGGGGGAACACGAGAAAAACAATTAAACCAGGGCCTCACCAAGCTTCACTAAACCTCACTTTGAGTTGTTTCTCTACCTATCTAGACCCTTTTGCATGGTGGTATTAGATCTAATTATTTTAAAATTAAACAACAAATTAATTGTAATCATATTACCGTTTACGAATGTCAGCGATTTTCGTATTTTTGAATTATACTTTTTTTTCGAGCGAACATCTCAAAGAATGTACACCTCATAGAACGAACGCCTCATTGAACGAATGCCTCGTTGAACGAACGGATTTCATTCGTTCTACGAAGTAGCGGTGCGAGCGTATAGCTATAATAATTAATGATATAGACACTGGTTAAATTTTTAAAAAATCAGTTCATAGTTTGTTTAAGGCTACTCTGAAGGAAAGATATGGCTTTTGTCCTAATAAGCCCCGCCACTCATGTAAGAACCGCACGGGAGAAAAGTTAAGCCCCGCCCTTTTTTAGCCAGCTCCAGTTTAATGCACGCACGCAACCTTGGCCTAGTTATGATGTCTTGACATTTGAATACTTAACTTTAAACGCACGCCATAAAAACAACTAGGATTAGGGTCGGGGTTTGGAGTAAGAGTTAGGGTTGGGGTTAGGGTGGGGGTTGGGTTAAGAATAAGAGTAAGGGTTAGGGTCAGTGTTACTTCCAGACTTTTTTCACTTGAAATTTTCAGGGGGGGGGGGGGGGGGGGCGGTTGACTTTCTTCGAGGGGGGGGGGGGGCGGACACAGTTAAAAGTATATCTTTTCTATATAAATTTCATTTCGAAGAGATGCCTGGAAGAAACTCTGGTTAGGATAAGGCCAAGGGCTTAGGTTAAAAGTAAAACCAATAAATAAGTTTCAAATCCTCTTTTTATGATTTTTTTGGGTGGCGGGGGTTAACTTTTTGGTGAGACTTATCTGGACAAGATCTCGAGATATTAAGAACTGTGAGTAATGTGCGCTTATTTGATTGCGACAACGCCCGATCAATGCTTGTGTAGATCTAGTAGAATCTAGAGCTATTTACCTCGGCAGTGAAATGTGCCGCCATCATTGTTTTCCTGGTTGTCATTTTATATATTTATGTTTCAGGGTTTATTGAAAAATGGGAATTTGTGCATTCAAAAAAACAAAACATGTTTGCAACAAACATAAAAGATAACTTTAATTCAAAACCTAAGCGTATGCTAATTCTAAGCCTAGTTACAGCATTAAGTATAATACCAGACGACCGTATCTTTACTCTTAGGCATTACTCAAACGCAAAGGGTTAAAGTATCGATATTAGCGATACTATAGATATAAACGATACGCGGTGAATCGAATCTCACTTAAACACAGCAAACGTAGCTTAGAGGCTTTGTGTGGGAAAACATTTTACGAAAACATTACTTCCGTTTAGTCAATTAAAATCGTGGGATTTTACATCAAATAACGCAGGAGTGAGCTCCCCTAAATTTTCTTTTTTATCCATAAATAAACAGTAAGGTTATGGATGGCACCTCCTGTGGAATAGGACTATAGATTAGAATTGGTAGGTTGAAAGCACATAGAGGCGAATAGTTCTTACAGTATGATAGTTAAGGCTTTTGAGAAAAGAGTTTAGAATCTAGTACCACGTTCTCGGTAACCGGAAATCGCTCATAAGTTGATAAAAACCTGCAAACGGAACGAATATGTGTTGCCTACTTGTATGGAATTTCATCCACCTAACTGAAACAGTACTAAAGTTATCGTGTTTACATTCGCACACACTCACGCACACAAACACACACAGAAATAAGACACACACACAGAGGATTTTTTGCACCATTGCTGCAATACTTCTCCTATTCTTCGTTTACAAAAATAAAGTAAAATGGGATCACAGAATTTCGCTGATATCAAAGTTGTCACTACTTAGTGAGTCATCTCTCTGGATATAGGGGGGGGGGGGATTGACTGCTAGGATTACGTCCGTTATTCTGGTTCACTGTATGTACCATAATATCAAAACACTGGAGTCATGATTCGTCTTATGATGTGTAGTGTTATTCAGGCACCATCAGTTATATGATATATTATGTACCTTAACAACAACATGAACAGCAAAAGGCAACTAATCAACACAATTAAGACAATTATCGACTCGCGTGATCATAAGTAAGTTAATTCGGAAACCAGGGAATCTACAAGACAGCAGTTGTTTGATTTTGGAGTTTTCTCTCCTAGATGGGTTAAAGGGAAAAAATGTTTGTAGGCTAATTAAGAACTTGTACGTTGATTGACATGGGTTTATCATACAAATTGTAAGTGATTGTACATGATGTGAACTTAAATATTATTTTATTTATTTTAACGGCTTGCATGGTAGATTACATCGGGGGTTAGCCTACTTCCTGTTTCGGTTTGAAGTGGCTTACCGTATCCCTCGAGTAGGACACCCTTTTACAGTTTGTGAGCGCCATAATGCTCTTAGGCTTAGGGGAGTCAGGGGCACGACAGTCAGGGCGCTGTAGTACGCTGTAGTAACTCAACCTTGGGAAACTCGGGGCGCCCAATCGTACTCTACCACCTGGACTCCGAAGGTCGCCACTGATGCAGTTTGATTATTAATTGAAGTTGACGTAATAGCCCTGACCTCCTGAGTACACAGTCGACGGGGTGCCGCCCTTCAAAAATCAGATAAAAAAATTAGGCTATGCCGTAAACTTCAAATAAATGATAAAGGGAAACAACTCAATTAATATTTTGCAACGTTATAAAAGGCTGGTTATATTCCCTTCATTTTTCAAAATATTCTGAGGGCTCGAGATCCGACGTTTAAAAACATTTTCTTTTTATGGCAGAAATTTTCGCTAGGAAGAAATTAACAGCTTTCCAAAGTATCATGGCAATTAGATAAATAAAGTAGTAGTGAATAAAAGAGAGAACAAAAAAACATTCGTTTATATAGGCCTATGTATAATGTAGGCTATATATATATATATATATATATATATATATATATATATATATATATATATATATATATATATATATATATATATATATATATATATATATATATATTTATATATATATATATATATATATATATATATATATATATGCGTAAAGTGCGGTTTAATGAGTCAGTGACATTGACAAGTTAGAAACTATAAACTATAAGAGGCACTATCGCGCAGTTTATACTCAAATATAATCTTTAGCTTATGGTGAGACCGCTGTTGATGGTAGGCAACTTTAATACATTGGACGATTACTGTCAAAAGTCAGTCAGTTTTTAGCATTCTGGAAAACTACCAAAAACGAGTCAACAAAACATCTGTTACGTAGAACGCTAAAAATTTAGTATTGTTCTCCTACTCTTATGATTTGACTTTTTAAATGTTCCAACCCGAAAGTTTGCGTTGCTAGAAGTAGTATAGCAGTGTAGTCCCAAACCAAACTTGACTAACTTACTTACATACATTACGAATTAGTAGATCTAGATCTACATACATTCTATTTGGATTTAAACTTGTACTAGTAATTCTAGTGTAATGGTTAGCCGATAAGGGTTAGATCTATATTCTTGATTTCTTGATCTAGATTTCTATATCACTCATCAACTATCACTGTATCATGTAGAAATCTAGATCTAGAATTAGAATTCTAGATCTATCACTTGGAGTCTCTAGTCACTAAACTAAACCGATAGATATTATAATTTATAGATAATTATATAAATATAGATCTAATACTAGATCTAGTTACTAGAGATCTAATAATAACTACTATAGAGATCTAGATCTAGTCATCCACTCATTCATAGTGATACACATTCATATTGATAGACGGTTAATTTAATTATTTTAATGAGTTGATAGACCTTATACTTGACTGATAGCTGCAGTGATAGCAGGATAGAGAGTTCGATAGAGACTAGAGTTTTAAGTATGTAAAATCGGCTGAGACTAGTAATGTGAAAAAAAGATGATACATTAAATTTTAGTAATTATTTAACATTTTCAAGAAGATGTAGGGTATGTTTTGAAAGTTACTAAAATGTTTCAAGGTTTCATTCATGTACCTGTTTTTAATTTATTGTAAGTGTATAAAAACTTTTTAGCAATAAATAAATAGTCTTTATTTAAGATTATCAATGATTGAATCAATGTTTTCATCTGATGCACTCAAGCTTATATTTATTTTTACTAGCGGACCCGCACCGTAAGCATATGATTATGACGCTATTTATTTATTTTATTTTCTACTTTTCAGTAATACATAATTTGTGAATTCGACATTACCCTCTCTTCCCCTCTTTAGCACATTACTAGCCTCAGCCGAATTTAAGCACCTAAAATGATAGATTACCGAAATTTGATTAGTTCATAATTATAATGATTAATGAATGCCTACTAGACCTAGATGTAACTAATCTACATACAATCTGATGTAACCATAAGGCTTATGGTTACATCGTATAAGTATACATAACAGTATTTGTCTATCTATAAAATCTAGTATAGATTTAGTAATATTACTTAATACTTAGGCCTACTACTAAAATTAAACTATTTACTACTCACTACTAGTAGATCTATTTACTATTCTAATTACTAGCTAGATTTTAGTCTAAACTGCTACTCAAATTTGAATAATAGATCTAATAATGCATCTAGTCGTATCCTAATTACTTTAGATCATGTTGCATTCATGTTTTAATCTTTTCTATTTTTCAATTATTTTACAGAATAAGTGAATGAAGTCTCACATACTACAAGATGTTGAAAGGAAACAAACTAGTTTATTCATTAACTTCAGTTATAGTTCCATCTCTTCTCTTGGCATTGTGGCTGTTCCAGTTGTACAGATGCAGAGGAATCCTAAGACTGAGAAACTCATATTTGTTGGAAACCCTACCTGAAACCTCAGAGTGGATATGGGATGTCCTCAGTGGCTATCAAAATATAGTGGAACAACAAACTATAAATAACTCAAGCTATGACGCTACTGCTTTAGCACAGCATGATTACCATAATTCCGCTTTACTACCTGGAATACCATCCTTAACTGTTCACTACTTATGGTGTGTAGACAGCCATTTTGAAATCAGCCACTATATATCTGTATTAAGTGTAATACATCAGTTAAGGCCTGATAAAATTGTCATTCATTATCGCATGAAGCCACGATCCGACCCACAAGGCTATTGGAGATGGCTGGAAGATCTCCAAAGAAATGTAGCAATGTTAAGTCTAAGACCTCTTAAAAATTCAAGGCACTGTAGCCATGATCTCTCTGCAGGAGTTATCAAAGATGATTTTGATTTTGTAGACCCTTACGGAGTGTTCATTCTAGGTGACATAGCAGTAACTAACTTAACCCGTTTAGATGTTATTGAGATAGTAACCTTATCTTTTCAAGAGACTACAACTTCTCATATCAACGGCAAACCATCATTAAGTGAAGAACAACTAAGCATGAGCCAGGTGTTTCTTGTAGCGGATACAGACCCTTACCATGTGAGCCAGGGGCCTGGTAGAAGAGTCATCACTTGTCCCGCAACTACTCACATCAATTCATATAAAGCAAGTAGCGTCCACTGTTTAAGTATGAATTCATTTATAAATCCGGAGTTTTTATTTAAACAGGACACAGTGTTTCATCGTTTCTCAAGATTAATGATGTATGGATCTCCTAGCCCAATAAACATTCAGACTAGCAACACAGCACAAATACCCAATATAGTACATATTATTTTAATGAATGGAAAAGGTGATATCTCACCTCTATTATACGCTAGTATTAAAAGTGCTTATGTTGTAGGAAAAGCAGATCTAGTGTTAGTGCACGGATCTGTACCGCCAAGTGGTGACTTATGGGAAAAACTTCATTCGCATGATGAGCTAAACGTTCATTACATTCCAGCCTCTTTTGAGCAGTATAGTTCTAAACATGCAGCAATGATTTATGGTCTGTATGCACTACTTCAGTATGGTGGCATTATGCATTTTGGTGATGTTATTTTTATTAGTCCCATTCCTGCTCATGTTAGACAGTACCCTGCAATTGCAACTCTGCATTACAGCCAGTATAGGCTGCGTCATCGGTCAACCAACACAGCCATTCTGGCCGCTGCCAAAGGCTCTGACTTTGTTGAATCTATGTTAGGAATGTTAAAACATGGAGAAGGCACCTGGCCAGATCTAAGAGCAGATGATGTAGCCACTCATGTTGGGGAGATGAAACCACAGTCTCTTCTGCTTGATTCTAAATTAACAGCTCATCAGAACTGTGAAGGTCAGGTGTGTCTAGTAGCTGGCGGTCATGAACATCCCAAGCATTCATACACAACTCGGTTAATATGGAAGGGAGTTCAGCCAGATACATTAACAAAACTAAAAAGTGTTCAGGGACCTACCAGAGGTGAACTGAACAGTATTATTGACAATCCTCATATAATGCCAGTAAAAAATTATGTCAGCAGAAAAAGACTTGTACATAAAGATGGAAGTTAGTAAAAACTGTACAAGTTTTATTTTTAATCTGGATTTTTGTAGTGCTGCTTTTTATCCAAGTTTAAGTAAAGAATATGAAAATTTTTAATGAAAATGTGTTGATACATTAGAATTGGTTGAACACTGCGATCCTTGAGTGTACATATTTTGTTATGTAACTATTGTGAACAGTGTCTAACTGCACTTTATCATTTTGTTTGTTAAATTCATTGTATTCACATTTTATTTATCTGTGATAAACGGATTTTTTTAAATAACTGAGAAAGTCACTCAGTGCATTATCAGGAAGTAGTAAAAGCCTGATGATAAAATCTACTGGGGGAAAGAACATTATTTGATTCATCTTTAATAAATTTATACCCACATTGATTGAAGAGTGATTTTGTTTGCTTCTTAATCAATGCTTGTTTATTTTTACAGTTGTAGGAATAAAATTAAACTAATCAAAATTTAATATTACAGAGCTTAGAGTGTTTATTTTGATATATTTTTTGTGTGTAACTGACTTGTAATTTTAATGTTACTCCAGCATTTACAGTTAATTCAGTGTTATATATACATTTATCAATGCTTATAAAATTATATTAAGTTAAGACATACAGTTGGTTGTTTTTTATACATGTCACTATGATACAATGATGAGAGATACAAAAAAATAAAACAGAAAAACATTCCTTTTTTTTTAATTAAACATATATCCAATATACCTATATACAAATTTTTAACTCCAAAAAATTATTTTTTGTTGTCAGTCTGGGACTTCAGACATTATATTGTCTAATGGCTGCCACCTTGACTGCTCCAATGATGCAAAGAATGACTGCAATGTTGAGTAAATCATTTTTAAATAGTATATTGAATATGTTTTTTAAATATGTGTTGATAGATTTGTCCAAAGAATTAAAAGGTATATACCTCACTAGATTCTATAAATTCTCTGTTTTCTTTGCCAACGTTAATTTCAAGCTCTGGGTCTAAAAAAGCAAGAAAATGTGTTTAAGGATTTTTTTTTTTAAATTCACTAAAACATTTAAATATGAGTAACATACACATGACATAGTAATGTGTTAAAATTTTACCTTCTAATACTTCAGAATCATCTTCTAATGCTGTGTTACATCCCTCATATCCTCCAGGATTCGCCTATATATCAAAACAATAACACAGCTTAAAGACTCATGTGTAATTGCAAAGATAGCTAATTGCAAAACAGAATAATTTTTTTAAATGAATGCCAAGTAAACAATGACAAAAAATGGTATTTGTTTAGAAAAAAAATCATTTTTTTAACAAGTTATTAACAAACAAAAATTGTAAATAAAAGAGAAACTAACTCCATATTCCATTGAAGATTGAGAATATGGTTGGTTATAATGGTAACCATAACCTCCCCAAGAATAGTGGCCAGCATAGTAACTGTTATGAGAAGGTAGGGCTACTGGTGGAGGAATCAAAGAGGGAGAATCATTTGGCCTAAAAATAAAATGTCAAATTCAGAAAAAAAAACATTTTAAAATGGCAAACAGAATGATCAACACAAACTCATCTAATATTTTGACATTCTCAGGTAATTATTAACGCAGGTGTTTTGTAAAAACAACAAAAACAATTTACTTTTTTATGGATGCTAGGCTAACTTTGATAGGTCTGCGTCCTAAACCTGTCATGTGCTGCATTTCAATTAATGCTCTTTGCTGATCACTTTCTTCTGAGAATCGTATGAATCCAAAGCCCTTACTTTTCCCACTTTGATCCATAACAACTACAAATACACATTCCATATTATTAGTAATTGAATTTTACTTTTATGTAAACATTTATAATACAATTAAATATAAAAAAATTTTAAGACTTCTTGTTTTGATGCGAGATGAGGACAGGGTCGACAATGAACCAACACAAAGTCTGTGTATGATTTACTTCTTTAGTACTTGAAAGTACGAAGGACCTAGGCTGCCTATTAGAGAATGGACCCCCTAACTTTCCTAACCCAACCATTTATACCCTACCTAACCTTTAAGTTTCCTGCACTATATGTTACTTCCCTCCCAATCGTTCCAATGCTACAGAATTGTGTGAACTATTTATTTACATTCTTTAATCTCAATATAACTAAAATAGACAATAGTTTGAGGGTAATGAAAACATGTAAACAAAAGGGACACTACTCTAAATCTATGCTAATAAATTATGTAACAATTCTAACACTTCTTCTAAGGCAATAGGTAAATCAAATTAAAGATGAACCTTTTGCTCCTCTGACTGATTTGTATCTTTTTTGAAAAAATGAGAATAAGTCATAATCATCAATATTCCATGACAGATCTCCAACATAGAGAGAGAACTCTGGCCTGTGAAATAAGAACAATAGTCAGTTTTTTTCTTTTCTATACAACATCAAGGGCTGAAAAGTATCACAATGTGAAAGAGCAGCAGGCTGAAAGGTGGCAAAACAATTTCAAGCTTCTTTAATTGCATTGAAGGCAGCACAACTAATTTGACTGATCTAACTATACTTATAATGCATGTTACTTACAAAAGTTCATGTTCTCTGCCAAAGCTGGCTGGATTTAATTTAAAGCGTTTCTGTCAAAAATAAAAACGTGGTACAAAAGTTTTAATTAGGTTGGATGCTAATATCATGACTATGTTATACATTTTTGCATAAAAAATTACAACTACCAACATTGGCAATAAAAATTTTACCCCTGTCTTTCCTGGTATGTATTTTCCATTTAGCCTATGCAATACTCTTTGGGCACAATCAACATCAGGAAATTCTATGAAGCAGTAATTGCCAGGTTTCAAACTATTTTTAAAAAATGCACAGAATTTTAAATGTGTAATGAGGATAAGTAAAAGAATAAACAAAGATAAACAAAATGTCACATTAATACATTAATAATGCCAATATCTCTAAGTCTACTCACGAGCCACTGTCTTTGACATCAGACATCATTTTGATATTAACCACAACTTCTCCAAGTTGAGCAAATGCATTTATTATTGACTGCTCATCAAAATCATCATCAAGCTAAAGCAGATAAACATTATTAATGATTAGGACTATAATTATTGCTGGCAAGTGTATAATCATGTCAGCATCAATAATGTACATGTTTTTAAACAATTGTTTTAAAATTTTTCAGTAAAATACAATGACTAGCGATGTTTTTATCAGATGCAGCCAAGATCATTTACTTTTAGCAGCCATCAAGTTCTTTTTTTTTGGGTAAAATTATAGTTAGAGATTCAGGGGAACCACTCTTACTTACAGATGGCCGATGTTTATATAGCAAATCTTGCTCGCAAACACTGGTGTTTAAAGTTAATTTCTGGCCCATATTGATATTATTTAGCCATTGATTTTGGTTTATTATTCAGTAGGCATTTTGATGAAAATCTCCAAAAATTTAACACAATCAATAAACAATTTAAAAAAAAAAAAAATGCCTATAGTATTGTTTAGGCCAAGGGGTGGCGGATAGTGGTAGTGAAAAAAATCGATCTTTGTATTTTTGTTTTATGACAATATTTGTACATAATTAACATGCCATGCTTTTTATATTCACAGAGGGTAAGTATACCATGTTAACTGCAGTCTTAAGTAATAATTCATATTTTACTTTAAAAAATGATAAAAACTATCATAAATTAAGAAAATGCTACACATTCTGTTTTAAGATATGACGCGACATGACTAATAAATCTAACCAATTTTGGATTTTGGCGCGGCACACATTTTTTCGCGCTTTGTTTACGGCAAAAGATTATAATATATGTCTGACATAGTGATCCAAGTACAAACGTGAGAATAATTCCCAGACGTTGTCATTTATAAAAAGAAAAGACCGATCCGTTGGTACCTCACAGCAGGTTAAGATGTTAAGCGTAGTTTTAAAGTTTTTTGATGTTAAGTTCACGTTAACACAAGAATAAAAGGAGCTACTTTCAATAAAGCACAGCTCGTGAGATAAAAAGCACACCTTACTATTCTTGATTAACAGACTTAATTAGAAACAGGTGATTCCGTTTACTAAAATTGACGATGGCTTCAAAATCATTGGTTTTATCCCTCTACCCCTTAATTAAAAGGACACCGCACCACCATCTTAGTACATCACTTTGAGAGCTTGTGCCTTGAGCTAATATAAACAAACAAACCAGGAAGCCGTGAACCAAACGGCCTATAATTCAGTTATCTCTAATATTTGACGACATATATCACAATACCCTTCTATTAAAGCATTAACAATAAGGCAGCTTTTTCGCACATTACTAGCCTCGACCTTCTTCTTCTTCTTTTTCTTCGTTCTTAATTTTCAGTGTTGGAAGGGTTCGAGCCTTATCTGCCAGAGGGTTTGAACTCAAGACTTTTTTCGAATTTATCAACCATGTGTTTTTGCCGACTCAACCACGCCTCCATCACAATTAAGGATACGTGTCAACTGGTTATGCGCCATTGAGGCCATTGACTCCGATTTCAGCCTGCTTTTCTTTTTGGATTTGCTTCCATAGCCTTTGTCCAACCAAGAACAAACTACAAGGCAGCAGTTGTTTGATTTTGGAGTTGTCTCTCCTAGAAGAGTGGCTGTCCCCAGCTAACGAGCCTCATCTGCCCGAGAGTTCGAACTTGAGTTTTTTGGTTTAGCAACCATGAGCTTTACCGACTCGACCACGCTGACCCCTAACCTCGACTAATTTTACGCACCTAAAACGATAGATAGATAGCCTAATTAAAACTTAACTGAAAATAGAAATAATAGCTTAATTTAATAAGCATAGGTCTAAGGCGGCCTACGGCTACTGAACTGAAAATAATGGCCAAAATAATCGAGTGTACTCTCAACTCTCAAGTGTACTCGGAACTCTCAGTCATTTTCAGTGTACTGTTAGTAGGGTGTGGGGAAATTGCGAGACGCGAAAAGCGAAATGGCGAGGCGGGAAAATGCGAGAAGGGCGCGAAAATGGTCGGTCACGTGACTTTTTTGTCTCGCATTTTACCACAAGCCGATACTTACGCTGGGTGGTGTTGAAATGCGAAGATTTCTGCGAAAAATTTACCGCACCCAATTTTCAGTGGTATTTGGTCCAGACTTCAAAGACGTTTCGTTTACATTGTTAAAACTTCCAATTTTTCCGTCGCTAGACATACTGATGATTTGTCAACTCCCCCCATCTTTTGTGTCGACTTAGAATACCACCTTGTTCTAAACCGACGGAAATACCGCCGACGATAGATCATTTTCTGTCTTTTGTGTGGAACGCCGAGGCCGCCTGATTTACCGTCTTTGAGGTTCACCGTGCCCGGATCCGCTGCCGCCGCAAACATATTTTCTATTGTTGCATAGAAATTTTGTATTATAGCCGCCGCCTACGATTTTTTTCTAATTTTTTTTTACCATATAAATCTAAGCACAGGGAAATGCCTACATCATTTGGATACAACAAAATAAAGTGACGTCACCGATATTATCAGTTGCTCGTGCTATATCGTAAGCTATGGGCCTACTTCAAATATTTTTAAAACCAAGTTGAACTTGTCTGAATTTTTTGGTTTTGGTGGTGGTGTTATTTGGGGTCTTCCATAAATGACGTCACACTCGTAGGGGGGGGGGTCTGTAATTTTATGACGATGTGTGATGAGGGGGAGGAGGAGGGGGGTGGGTTAGATGTGAAGTCCCACTATAAAAAAGCAATGTTAGAAAAAGAATTTTAGAAGTTTTTTCGCGTTTTAGAAAACTGTTTTAATACATTGTAATAGGAATTGATTAAAATACTCTATTTTGACCGAAATTAGACAAGATTTTGGGAAAATATCGATGTTTTAAAAAAACTCAACTGCTGGTGACAACAATGAGCAAGACATTGCCAAAATTACAGAAATGATAAAAAATACAAATTATAAAAAACGGAAAACAGATGTTGAGCGTGCGGATGATGATGATGAGAACATGGGTGCCAGTGTTGTTTGTGGGATGAACGAGGAGGTCAACTGTGATGAGAATGTGAAATGTTGTGAATGTGGATTGGAAGAAGTAGCAAAAGAAAAATGTATAAATCATTAAATGGGAGTCTAATGAACTGGGTTGGGTGTACTATGTGTGAAAGATGGTGTCACGAGGTGTGTTTGAGTAGTGCTAGGACTGTTTCAGAAGATTTTGTTTGTAATTAAAATTACTTAATAAAAAAATAAATTGCACTTTTTAGAATTGTTTATACTTTTACACTTTTTGCAAGTACAAAAATCCATAAATAGATGTTGCAAAATATCTCTCCAGCTGACAAGATTATACCAATTCACAATGACACAGCTTTCGTTTGTATAAACATGAGCGGGCTAGATTTTTAAATTAATGCCGACTGAAACGGGATTTTCCTCTCGCTAACAAGAGCGGGCGATGACAGTAGCACAGCAACGATGTTAGGATTTTTAAATAGATAGATCTAGATATAGATCTATCTTCTTAGTATCTAGATAAAAAATAACAACATACAACACTCGTGTTAAAGGGTATGGCTAAATGCTTGTTTATTTTAAAACAAAAAAATAATTGAAATAAATAAAGATGGAAAAAAAAGGAAAAAACTTTTTTCGCAAAAAGTGTCTCGCCATTTACCCTTAATTCCGCAGGTATGTCTCGCATTACCTTCTCGCAATTTCCCGCCTCGCCATTTCGCTTTTCGCGTCTCGCAATTTCCTCACACCCCTGTTAGTAAGTGTTAGTGTACTCACATCTCCCATCCATAAAGATGTACTTAAAGCAGTATGAAACATCTTGTTGCTATTTTATTTCAGTAAAGTATAAAAGCGATTTGATGTAGACTAGTAAAACTGAACAAATACTAAAAGCAAACAAGCATAAAATTTTCCAATGTTTATATTTACTCTCGGGAGCACAGCCATGACAGTAAAATAAGGACAAGCTTCCGGTAAAAAAAATCATCCAGAGAACAATTTATTTTTATTTTATTTTTACCGCCACTTAAAATCTAAAAAATAACAATTTTTATCAGTAATACTTAGAATGATTTTTTTTTTACATCAGTAGTATTTTTACTTAGGCTAGGATGTGCCACTTTATTAATTCATTGTTTTTTACATATTTCTTGTTTTGTTTGGCAATAAAATTGTGTAGTTTTTTTAAAAACACGATTTCTTCGTCTGATATTCTGCTAGGCCTAGTCTAGTTCCTTGGCTATCACTAAGACTGTCTTCTAACTTGACTGCTAGCAATATATATTTACCTTTTATTATCTAAGCTAATATTAGAGTATTTGATCTGATTACTTATGTACACTCTTACAAGTTTTATTTTTTATCTCTAAATGGACTGTTACTGTTATTATGCACAGCAAAGTCGTCTGATTTAAAAGTTAGTACTAAAAAAAAAAGGTAGCCCTAACTAAAATCTATCGTTTTGGGTACGTAAAATCGCTCGCGGCTTTTAATGTACGAAAACATTACCTCATTGTCAAGGCTTTAATAGATGTATATTGTCATATGTTTGTGTCAAATATTATAGATAAATGAATAATAAACCTAAATCAATGGCTAACTATATCGATATACTCAGATAAAGGCCAGAAATTAACTTTAAACAACAGTGTCTGAGAGCAAGATTTGCTATATATATATAAACAGCAGCCATTTGTAAAATAGAGTGGCTCCCCCTGAATCTTGCGCTATAAGCTTATAAAAATAAATCTTAAACAAGAAGGCTGCTATAGTAAATGAGCATGGTTGCATCTGTTGGAAACATCGCTAGTCTTCATTTATAACGGAAAAGTTTTAAATCAATTGTTTAAAAACAGGTACATAAATGAAACAAGGAAACATTTTTGTATTTTAAAAAACATGAATCCTCCTCAAAATGTGAAATAATTATTAAAATTTAAGGAGTCACCTGTTTTTCACATTACAAGTCGCGGGCGATTTTACGTACCCAAAACGATAGATTACCAAAAAAAGTACGGTTAGTAGATCTAGTAGAATTCTAAGTACTATCTAGTTACTAGATCTATAGATCTAGGCCTACTATTTAACTAATGCACTTAAATTAGTAATACTAATGACTAATTTAATTAGTATCTAGATCTACTAATAGGACCATGACTTGAGTGTTTATTAATAATAAGTAATTAAGTAGCATAATACTCGGCATTGCACGGATCTAGATCTAGGAAATATATTTAATTACTTTTCAAATTTAATGTCTATAGGCCTAACTGTATAACTATAACTATAGGCCTAATAGTCTACTATATTATATGCAAATATGGACGCATAACCTTTATCCTAACTCTAAACTCATAACCAATCACAACACAAATGCAAACATAATGCACACAGAAAAGCAAACATCAAAACAAACTTTTTTTTAAAAGTTGTTTTTTGTAATGTAAGTCATAGATCTATACTCTATAGTATAGAATCTATACCTATGTAATTGGTACCAAGGGACATAATTTGTATACTTTTTTCAAACAATATTTTGGAATTTTTGTGGGGGGTTATACATTTAGTTAGTTTAAGTTTGTTCATTGCACATGATGTTGCTTTTTTTGACGATTTTTACCTCCCTCCCCCCCCCTCCCCTCTGTCACACGTCACAAAAAGCCAGACCCCCCCCCCCCCTAAAATGGCATCACATCTCAACCTACAACCCCCCTCAAAATTGCAGTTGAATTTTTTTAAAACATCAATATTTTTCATAAATCTTGTCTAAACTATTACAATTTATTAAAACAGTTATCTAAAAAGCGAAATAACGTCTAAAATTTGTTTTCTAACAATGCTTTTTTATAATGCAAAAGTGTCACGTCGCAACATCTTAACCCTCCCCCTCATCACACATCATCACAAAATTACGGACCCTCCCCCCTACGAGTGTGACGTCATTTATGGATGACCCCTATGATGTAAAATGAAAATTTAGTTTGAAAATCATCAACATTAAGTTTTTTAACCATCAGTTTAGATTTTAGAACAAAAATTTTAAAATATTATATAATGGCGATGAAATCGAGTTTTTTACTATATGCATTTAATCCACGCATCCGTCCGCCTGCCACAGAGACACAGAGTCAATTTCATCTTTATATATTAGATTAGATTACTTCTAACTAAAAACTAGATCTTGAACGCTGAATAGATCTCAGTAGCTATAACTAGATCTAGTGCTAGTGACTAGATTAATACCATTAGTAGACTAGGAGTTTGGAAATGAAAAAATGATGATAATCTATTGTTTTAGGACCCTAAAATCTGCCAAAGCTATGAATCTATTAATAATATAAATGTGTAAGAAAGGTGACAAAATAAATAAAGTATATTGTGATATATTTGTGTCAAATTAATTTTAATAAATTAATTAGGCCCCTTATAGATAATTGAATAATAAACCTAAAGTGCTTAATTTGAAATCTGCCAATTATAGAGGAAATTCACAACATGCTTAGATCCTCTCACATCTATAGTTAGCTTTTATTTAAAGACATACATATTTTTAGAATTTTTTAACAGAAGTGTTATTTATCAAAACCTGTCTCAATTGTGTGTTTTTTTTTAAATTAGGCTTAAAGTTAGGGCTGGGATAGTCTAAGAAAATAATATTAATGGGTTTTTTTTTTTCAGAATTTTAGCTGAATTAATTAAATTAGTACCTTTTGACAATTTGATCTACATTTTATATAGAAGTGTTTTTGTTTTTCCTCAGACAATTTCGTCATACTGTAGAGGAAATACAAATTCGCTTATATCCTTCTATATCCTGTCAAGGAAATAAACACTGTCTTTATTTCCTCTCAACCGGAAGAAGATAAAATATACCATAAATCAGATGTCAGTGGATCTTAGCACGTTGCATATATCCTCTATCGTTTTCTAATAAGCACTACCTAATAAACTAAATGCAATATCTACAAATTGTATCAATTTTGTAAGACATCCTACTATGGATGTCTTCATGCATGTACTTTTTTCTCAAAATTCACTAGTTTGGTTTTGAAAAGAAATTGCATATACTTCTCTGTAAATGAATTGTTTCAATAGAAATATCTGTAATAACTGGGAGATCATGGATTTGAGAAGGCCATTCAATTTTTAAATGCCCCAAGTAGTTTTGGTCAAGAATGCTAATGGAAAAACCCATAATTTTTAATTAAGCAAAAAAGTTGCAAATATTTCTGACAGACTGGAAAAGCATCAATTTCTTCATAGTCTTGCACTAAATTTCAGTTACCATAATTATTATATTTGTAGAAGTCAAACAGACTTGGAGTTATGTCATTTATCCTATTGTTGTTGTGTTTGCATTAGTGTTATGTTTAGGTTCTTTTTTTTTTGGTTTTGGTTGGTTGTGGTTAGGGTGGGCAATGCGGGTATAAGCTGATTACTAAATACACAAGTCATGGTCCTTTACAGATAGGTTTTTCACAGAGGCCAGTTCAGGGCCTGGCCGGGACTACTAGTATATATATATATATATATATATATATATATATATATATATATATATATATATATATGTATATATATATATATACACATATATATATATACATATATTTATATATATATATTTATATATATATATATATATATATATATATATATATATATATATATATATATATATATATATATATATATATATATATATATATAAAACCAGCAGTTGTCTGTAAAATAGTTTCCCCTGAAATTCTAACTAAAATTTATTTAAAAAAATAACTTCAAAAAGATGGCTGCTAAGTTAACAAGCTTGGTCACATCTGATGAAAACATCACTAATCTTTTTATTTATTACTGAAAAGTTTTAATAAAACTGTGTTAAAAATAAGTATGTGAAACATTCTGTAACTAATACTATTAAAACATAAATCCCCTTAAAATAACTGCTAATATTTAATTAATCGCCTTTTATTCACATTACTAAATTTGGCAAAATTTGCCGTCTAAAATTGATAGATTACCAGTACTTTTGAGTAGAACTAAGATTAGGATTCTACTCTACTAGTGAGTACTGGATTTGATAACCTATCGACTCATTCCAGTGTTGGGGTGGAGTATCACTTGTGCGTCCTCAATATATAAACATATAGCTCAAAATTAGGTTTTTAAGATTTTTATCGACTATTTTGTCTCCCCAATATATATTATATAGGCCTATAGTTAAATATAGTTGGTGGTCCATTATACAGCATAATGATTTAGTTACTTTTGCACTGACCTACGTAATAATAAGGTATAAAGATCAGAACCGTAAAGCATTGTTTTATTATCATTACACCTTGATATTTGAATATTGTTTGTACTCAGTTAGTATAAATACAAGTATTGCAGCATAGTTTTAAACAACTATGTTTGTCAAAGAAACTCAAAGAGTAAAGAGTGTTTTCTAAATTAAGCAGGGAGACATCACTACCCTATGCCATCTAATATGTGCATTGCTATGAAGACCTATTATCAATAACTTCAAATTATTAAGAAATTTATCATGATTCATCCAACAGATGAAATTTAATTCTCTTTGTCTTTTTACTTTCTAGACTTTTTGTGTAATTACAACATTAATGGCTAGTGCCAATTGTCCTGCTGGTGATCCAGCTGCTAGTCCAAAGCATTCTAATGGTCATGCTAGTCCATTAGATTTGATCAGAAGATTTCACAAGCTGCAAACTAAGAGAGTTGAAGGATATAGTCAGTTTGAAGAGTAGGTATTGCATACATGTGTTGGAATTTCTTTATTCAATGAAGTAAAATTTCTCTTTTTTTTTTAGAATTTAGCCTACATTGATAACTTTATTATATTACTAAGAAATTAAAAACATATTTTGTTAACACTAACACACATTGCTTTATGTTTGTTAATGCCAAGAAATTAGAAATAGATTAACTTAATATTTGTACTATTACCACATTAGTTTTTAAATGGTAAATGTTATGTCAATTAGTTGCTGTTGATTTATTTATTTTTAATTGTATTTTAACTATAGAGCATTCAATACTTTCCTCGGAGGAGCTCCAGTATATGATTTCAATGCATACAAACAACGTGTTGCAGAAATAACTGTTGCTTTTCGTCAGATATCAGAAGAAATAATTCATATTAAAAACTCATTGAAAGATACCCATAATAAAGGAGAGATATCAGCTATAATTGAAAAGATTCAGGATCTTGAAGAAGTGAAGCTAAAATCAGTAAGTTATATTTTTGATGTTGGGAAAAAAATATTTACTGTATATACCCATGTTGGATGGTTAAGTTAAAAATGAATATTACATTGTTAGTTGAGCAACATCACAAATTCATACTTAATAAAGTCAGAATCATCTCCACTAAACTTTTTTTTTAATGAGAAAACACACTGAGGTGCAAATTTCTTGGACTATTCATTATGAAAAAATGATTAAAATTATCAAATTTGAAAGGTTTTTTAGAAATCAGAAAAAGAGTGAAATATTCCTAAGTAAAGCACTAATTTTCTGTTCTCTTCTACAGATTTTAAATAGAACAAAATTGTAAAATAAAATAATTTTGCGCCAAAAGTGATAAAAATAATAAATTCGTACGATTTTTGAGAAATCTGAAATAGCATAAAGCACTACTTCCAGTTTTCAGAAGTCATTCAAAAATTAATAGAAACGTGTGCATACAAACAAATAAGTACCACTTACGGTTACTGGAAATGGCTCAGAACTTGATAGAAAACTACAAATTTGATGTAATTTTGTTAACATAATTGAAACGGTACTTAAATTAATGTGATTACATACACACAACAAACACAGATGGACATGGTTGCTCCAGAGGTTGTAAAACATAAAAATATGTCAACATCTCAATTAAGATTTTTTTGCATGATTTCAGTTTTTCTTTTATATATTATATTTGGCATACCATAAAATAGGGAGGTGTAAAAAGTCAAAAACTGTCAAAATCTCATTAATTTTTTTAGCATGATTACAATACCTCCTATATATTCTGTATATAAGAAAGTAAAAAGTGTGATAAAAAAATTTTGTACTGTTTATTGCAGACAGCTGATTTACAGATAGCCCGTAAAAATGCATCGGATGAGCCTGAAAGTGATGCTATTCAACAAGAAATTTCACATCTGCATCAAAAGTAAGTGTGGGATGTTGTGGCAGATTACTTGACTGCTAACATGACTGTCTCGAGTTCAGATATCAGTCACGTATAACCTAGCAGCTGACGACAGTTCAAATGTGGCAGTGCAAAAGCATGACATAGTGATAAAGTGTGCCAGAGTTAGATCTGTATCATGATATTTCTAAATCATGGAACTATTGCCATTTGTCACTCTTACGTAAAGAATCGTGTCAACCCCCACAATGTGTATCTTTGAGGGGTGAGCTTGCATGAATTGTGTATAAGGATGCTGTGACAAATATATTTCATATATTTCTTAATCATGGCCCAGTAGTAGGCTTGTGACTATCACACAATGAATAATATTACACTGGCTAAGTTTTTGTGTGAAAATTTTAACAGTTCTGTTCTTTAAGCACAATTTTGTGGATGCACTATTCATTTTGTACAACGGTAATATAATATACCCCAGAAAAATATATACCTATGCTTTGAATTTTTTTTTTTTTTTCCCTTTTAAAAAGGGTTATGTGAAAGTGCTTGTGGGGTTCAGTACGTCCTAAATTGTTACAAACCACTGGCTTAAACAATTGATTGAATTATTTTTGTTAGGTATAAGTTAGCAATTTGGTTATCTATTATTATTATAATTAGTGTTTTTAATTACTGTTGTATACTAGTAGCCCCATTTATTTATGTTGCATGGTATATTATTGCTAGACAGGCAGTTGAAGAGCCTAAGAAGCTGTTTGATAAATAGTTGCTTTCTTTAGTATTCAGTTGATTCTATAATTTATAATTATTTTGTTTTGCCATTGACAATTCATTATCATATGACCATTTAGAACTAGACATTTTTCTTCTATTGGCAATTTTCAAACAAATTGCATCAAAATCACTCTTTTTGTAATGTTACTAATATTAGCATATTTCATAGCAATGCCTTGTACTTGTAGTGTAGTTATTCCCACGTTTTCTTTAACTTGCTTTCTCTGTGTCTGAGTTTCTGTGTTTGTCTTTCCAATCAAATCTTGCGATCGAAATTTCTGGCACTTCCCAGTTAGCTAGCGCGCTGAAATTTTCAGGGAAGCTTTCTTTTGGATGACCATTGAATATTCAATTGTTATTATTACTAAATTGATCAATGGAAACATTTTATTGAGCATTTTAGACCGCTATATAATCTATATATATAATTCTCCTCTGCGAGCCATTAGAAAAAAAACGAGCGACGCGTACCTCGCGCGCAGTGAAGCGAACGATCCCACATCGCCACAGGCTTAGGGGCAGATAATTTAGTTTGAACCGAGTTTAAACTTACAGGAGGTAGGCCAGTTAGGGGGAGACGATATGGTCGAGTGGTTGGGCACACGATTGCTATCCCACTCGACACGGGTTCAAATCTATGTGTTAACACAACGTGTTTTTTCTTAGGGGCAGATAATTTAGTTTGAACCGAGTTTAAACTTACAGGAGGTAGGCCAGTTAGGGGGAGACGATATGGTCGAGTGGTTGGGCACACGATTGCTATCCCACTCGACACGGGTTCAAATCTATGTGTTAACACAACGTGTTTTTTCTTAGGGGCAGATAATTTAGTTTGAACCGAGTTTAAACTTACAGGAGGTAGGCCAGTTAGGGGGAGACGATATGGTCGAGTGGTTGGGCACACGATTGCTATCCCACTCGACACGGGTTCAAATCTATGTGTTAACACAACGTGTTTTTTACGAGTTGTCTTTTTACGAGTTGTCTTCGTTTACCCAAAAAAAGTGAAAAGATAAAATCGATAGCAAGATTTTAATGCAAACAAACAGACTAAAAAGTAGAAAATAATAATCATTAAAAAAGTTTTTAAAAAAACCACGTTTTCTGATTGAACAAAAAAGTAGAAAATAAACGCTATACATCACAATAATGCAAGCGATCACTCTACTATAAGCGATCAAAAACGTGGGGCGCCGTCATTTTCTTAGTTTCTAATACTGTTGACTCTCTACAAGCTCCCTAATAAAAGTCAATAGTATTATCTAATCAATAGTAATATAACTTTTACTTCGGCGCCCCACGTTTTTCATCGCTTATAGTAGAGTGATCGCTTGCATTATTGTGATGTATAGCGTTTATTTTCTACTTTTTAGTTCAATCAGAAAACGTGGGTTTTTTTTAAAACTTTTTTAATGATTATTATTTAATATCTCAAAGCATGTTTAAATAGAACATTCCAAATTTATTTTTAGTTAGCTACAATAAGTGAATTATAATTTTTGTAGTACATTCTTTTATATAATTAAAAAAGCATTTTTCTTACCAAGGTCACCTACTAAATAGTCAAGTAATTGTTCACTAGATTGTTTCAACCTCTGGTCTTATTTAGCTAATTTAGTCCTAATTTGGTTAGTACTAGGATCATAAATTATTCCTTACAGTTACAGCTCATGCAAAGAACTAATTTTTAAAATAAATTATCTTGACAGATTGGATGACCTTGCACAAGAAATAACGGATTCTCTTGAAGATTTGAAATTTGAGTCAGAAGACTTGTATGCCCAGGAAATTGAAGATGAGACATCAAGATGACATGGTTCCATACTAAAAAGTGACTGCAGATTGCACATACTCAGAAATTTTGCCTGTAAATATTCTGAAACCTCTAGCTAGCATATTGAGGCCAACTAAATAACTGGAAAAATGCTGGTCTGCATCAAAAGGTAGTTTGACTGTACAGTCACTTGGTTCCATTACCAGCTGTAATATTTCAATGGTCATTCTTCTAATACTGGTATTTTTTCCAATAAATCTTTGTATACCCTCAATGTTGAATTTGTTTTTAAATTTTCAAAAGCACATAGACCTACATAATTATGGCTACAAAGTTTTTATCATTCCCTACTGATGCCACTAGACAATATTGGGTGAGTCAAAATTTGGAAATCTCAGCAAAGGTACCTTATTACAAAATTACAGCTATAGTTCCAATACTAAAAAGAACTTATCAATATGTATAATTCTCTTTATGGCCAAGACAATGCAGCTATTCTCTGAACATTCTGCAACCACCCACACCAGTAGAGCCTGGTCTAATTTAGTTTTGAAACTAAGGAGAGGTAAGACTGTGCTTTATCTTTTCTTTGGCTATAAAACTCGTCACGGAGGGTTGTTTCTAATTCACAAATTGTGAATTACTTTTAAAAAAAGTAGGAAATAAAACAGCAGGTGATTAATATTTTTTATATAATTGCAAAGTTGAAGAAAAATTCATTAAGCACCCCAAAATAGTCATTCAGATCAGATAAATTAACAAACAAGGCAACTAATAAAATAAGACAATCTGAAATAAATGAAAACTTTGAAAATCGGGTGTCTTTTAATTAGATTACATTGACATTTAAAATAAGTGTAAAAAAAAAACCAGCTCAAAAACTCATCTAGTAAATGAAAAATGGAGATAGTTTATTACAAGACAAGCACTTGCTACAATTTGATATTTCTCTTGCATCACAATCAAACCAGCTGGACCAAGGTGCAGCAACGTAAAAAGTTAACTATGCACAAACGGGCACTTTTGAGTCTTTGTGGTGTGTATATTTTTAATGCAAAATAAAGCTGTACACATTGGATTTGTGCCAGCTTTGAGGTTAGCCCCTGGCACAAAACAATCATGGGTCCTTTACACATTCTCATCTTTGGACGCTTCATCAAAGTTCTCAACAAGCTCTGTTGGAAAGAAGAAATTAACATAGGCTAGTAAATAATTGTGAACACAAGCACAAAACATGCTTGTTTTTCTCACTCTACCTGGCTTTGTTTTTTAATGTAACTATAAAAAAAAGGTTATTGTTACTACATTGAAAGACAGATAGGCATTTTCAATAATGTATGTTTTAGGCTTGACATTTATATCATGCTATAGATATAAGTATAATTTTCCAATACAATTTGTTTTATTAATTTTGAAGTAGGTAGGTATATAATATGACAAACGATTTGAGGGAAAAGGGAAATTTTTTCAGTCTCAAATTGCAATGGTACTAATAGTTTAATTAACATTGCTTATGTTTCAAATAAAAGAAGTTGCTGTTACTCAAAAATAAAATTACTTTCTAAATGCTTTCAATGTTCTCCTATAAGCAACTTTTAAATATTTTTTAAAATATAAATGATGATTTTCAATAAAAATTGAGATGAAATTTTCAACCAACATCACATCACTGAATTTAAAATTGTCATGGCTGAAAATGTATTCTACTTGGATGAAGGGAAGTCAAAATATTTTATATGCTAACAGTAAAACTGTTATTTGATTTTTACCAACAATTACAATATTTTAGACAAGGTATTTTAAAAATGTAAAAAAAACTCAACCGAAGTGGAGATTAGTAGTTTTTATTCTTATTCACATTACCAAACTTATAATGCATCTGTTAAGTATAGCAAGTAGCACTAACCTGGGACATCATCATCATCATCAACATCTGCTGTTGTTTGCTTATTGCTGTCAGCAGCTGAGAAAACAAAACCAGGTATGAAATGAAAATGGCATATACAAAATTAAACAAAATGCACAAATATTACTTAAAATGAGAATAATATTACTTTGCTGCTTCAAGTGATGTTCACAGCATGTTCTAGGGCCATTAAATTTAGCCTTAAAATTCCAAAACATTGCACCAGGTCAATTAATGGAGTAGGGTAGGACCAGTGATATATTTTTGCATAAATTTACTAACCCATCAATTAGTTTGTAAGACTTAATTCTAGTTATTGATTCACTAGGGAGTTGATCAACAATTCCTTCTTACCACTAGCTACAGTTGATGCTAATTTTTTCAAGCTGTTTAAACTCTCTGCTCCAAGTTGATTCAAGATACCAGGAAGCATCTCTGCTATTTCTGAAATTGAATTGTTTTTTGTAAAGTGAACTGGACACAACAAAGTGCTACTTTGATAAATGTTAATTGAAATGCTAACATTTACAACTACAAAAAACAACTTACGTTTGTTCTCTGCATGACCAGTAATTGCAAAGGTGTTTGCAGCCAAAGAAGCTTGAACTTTAGGGTTATTAAAATGAATCACTTGTCCATCTTCCTTAATCATATTGACCTACATATGCAAAATAGAGATATTCACAACACTTAACAAGTCTAAGAGAATGTGTGAACTACCTAAGGCAGCTTGAGTCCAAAAAGACAACAGGCTAGCTTTAAGTGAAACTAGAAGAAAAAGACCAAAGTAACCGTGAACTGTATAGCCATAGGGATGGATATTGATGAAGTCTACTTTAATGCTTAAACTGAATTTGAGTGGTACAAAATTTACCTCCTCAATCCCTGGAATTATGTTTACAGACAACTTTTTCAGAGAGAACTGTATCTTCTTATCATCTGTAGTAGCAGTGCGATGAATAACCTTCTTCTTTCTTCTGGCTGAACCCTACAAAAAAAAAGTTACATTGTTATGTGCAAAAGAGTAGCCGACAACGATCACACTGCCTGGATAAAGCATTAACTCTTACCTTCCCACCAATACGAACAACATCAGCTTTGGCTTGCAGCGCCTTTAATTTCTCTGGATTCATTGTTAGTAGCTGAGAAGATAATTGAATAATTAATAACGTAGTACTTTATCATATAAATGAAGTCTCATTTAAAAATTGTTTGGTAATTAGATGAATAATACTGATAAGATAAACAATGACCAATTTGAAAAGTTAACAGGAATCCTGATTGTTTGCTAAAAATAAAAAACTACTTGGTATGTGACCCAAAAAATTTTTTTTTTTAGAATAAGACATTTTTTAACACCTGTACATTTGGAAACATTTTTACTAAACCAAGTATTTTCTAATATTGTAAATATTGCACAATTATTTTAACACATCTTACACAATATAAAAATAATAACAAAGGCCATTAAATTTACTTAAATTGGTTTAATGTAGCATTTATAGCAATACCCCCAAAATCAGCATTTGGGGCATATGAAACTGGGCCATGGGGCATTATATATCTCCTGGTTTAGACTAACTCTGTAATAAAAAACATTTTCTTGCCCCCAAAATATTTAATGATGTATACACACAACAGCATTCACTAGGCCACACTAGACCCAGTTCACAATTTATACAATTGTAGGTCTAAATAGGGTCTACCATCTTGTAGTTTACAGTAGACTTAGTAAACCTAGTGTGTTTCTATTCTGAGTTAACCCTTTACAAGCTTATGTGCCCGCAAAAGTTTGTGTGGTACAATCTGGTGCACCCGGGGTCGTCCTACAATGTATAGTATGTTCACTTATGCGTAGCAGTGATATGTCTCGATAACAGATTTTGAAGATGTTGGCGGAAGCCGGAAATAATTACTTTGGTTAACATTTTGCTAGTCCTATCACCAGCAGTCATTTTCTGTGATTTTTCTAAAATTAAAATTTTCTAGCGAAATTACGGGCAATATAATTAGCTAAATTCAATCTAAAATACATAAGCCGTTGAATCTGGCTTGTTATAATGTAACTATTGGAAAAGAAAGCAGCACCAGGGACTACATCGAATTTTTTTTAGTATTCAAAATTTCATAGAAATATTAGGAGTGTTTTGATGTTTTTTGGGACTAGTGTTATTTTTTTTATATAAATTGTTAGTAGGCCTAAAGAATTAAGCTATTTAGCCTCATGCATAAATAAACTTGGACCAGTATTGTGTAAATTACTTTTGATTTTATTAAGTGTAGGCCTATTTCTTTTTTAAATTATTTTCAAAAAGTACCATGGTTGAAAAATTAGTTGTCTTTTCGCCCAGACATAGGGGAAGTAAAATAGTTTTGATGTCCAGGCCGGTAAATGGTTAAGATTCTTGCATGTAAAGAGGAGTGGTACTAACTAATCTGCCTTTATGCTTTCACTAGATAAGCCATGTGTGCTATAAATTACACAACATGACATAAAGGTGAGAAATGTTGAGGGGAGAGCAGTGGTACTGATTTACCCTTGATCTCCCTGCTGGACCGGGGGGGGGGGGGGGCATAAATTATATAACAGATGCAATCTCTGGTTGGCTGAGATCTAAGAGCAGCAATCTATTTTACCTACAAACGGATTAAAAGTTTCATGGTGATTACATAATGGTTTTTAAGGAGGAGCGGAAGGTTGAGGGGACGGTAGTGGTAGGCCTAGTGATTCCTTAGATCTTTCTGGACCATGATTGTCCCAGACAAATGGCCATTTTGTTTTGGCAACCAACGCTAGAAGACTCGAACAAAGAATGGTATTGAAAAAGTCATGTGGTTTATTACTCACATAGTCTGGTTTGATATGGAAGTGTGTTATCTTAGAGTTATTTGATTTGAAAGACAAGAATACATAGAACTATTTTCACTTAGGCGGCGCTTGCGAGACAAAGAAATTAGGTCAAAAGTACACCTGACAATTCTTAAATAACAGACTGAAATAGAAACGGATAGGCCCTAGTTACGATTTCTAAAATTAACGATGGCCACATAATCATTAGTTTTATCCCTCTACCGATTAGTGAAAGCGAAACTGTTCGACATTTTAGTAACTGCAGGAGCCGTGAGATGCCACGAAAATGACAAACCCTGAAGCGTTAAATCAAACGGCCTACTCTTAGACCTTAGTGAAGTGCTCTACTTTACCCAACTTCTCAATTGCTTTAAATTGAAGGTAAAAATTCCATTCTGACAAAATCTGGTGGTCATTTGTTGTGTGTCCTGACCTCTGCCAAACCACGGATTCAACGAACCCAGGATAAGAAGAAACCCTGGTCTGTCTAATTTTTAAATCATGCTTTTTCTTGTATTTGTATTAATAAAAAAGTAGGCATTTCGACTTCCGCTGTTTCGATTCGGTACGATCACATCCTGACTTTTTCAGCGTACTTGTTGAAATTCGCCATTTTTTAACATGTTAATTCTCGCCATCGGAATCGAAGAATAAAATGTATTCGATGTGAATATTTGAGTTGAATTTCATCTTTTATACATACTAATAAATGAATTAGCCCCCGTTTTACATTGTCCGATACCGAAAGCGATCACCGATATTAGCAAATATTTGTCGAAATGCCGACGCTACCGAACTGGCGCATTGACAACTAAATTTCAGATATAAATAATCCTTTAAGTTGCATGAAAATAGGCTTAAATAGCATGCCAACCATTTGGATAAATAGAAATGTCGATTTGAAGGGTTTTTAAGCACGGGCCAATGAGGAGTCGCGCGATAAAACTCGTAGGGGTAGGAACGAGAAAGCGTGCGTAATTTCATCATGGCGGCCGGGTTACGAGATATTAATAGATATGCGCATACGATGTTTTTTAATAGCTGTTTGTTTTTAAATGGACTGTTACAATAAAATGGGCTTTAAAATAAATATACTGTAGATCTAAATTATTAGATTAAAAATGGAAAGAATGTAATTAGGCCTAATTGCTGCCTAAACAAATTATAAAATTTTAAATTAGCCAGATTTTTATTAACCTTCTTAATACCAGGTTAACTAGATCTAGCAAACTAGCATTAACGAATTGCAGATAAATAGATTATAAAGGCATTTTCAAGTAGAAAAAATCAATATTTATTGTAATCAGTTTTAAAAAAAATAGAATCTAGATCTAAATGGAAATGAAAACACTAAAACAATAATGGGTCTAGAGATGTGTAATAATATATATAGATCTATAAACTATTAGGCCTTAATGTAAATACTGACAGGCCTATCTGTAGTATCTAGATCTATAAAGTACTATAAAGGGCCTAAATTAAAAATAATAATGCCCAATTTTATAAGCTGCACTGCATTACAGTTTTAGTTATAGGCAACTATAATAGAAAGAAAACATGAACACTTTAATTAATGTCATTTAAGAATTTATCAAAGGATACGTCAACTTCACTAAACATTTTATAAATAAGAATACTGTGAAATGTCAATCTTTGAGTTTTAGCACACCTCAACACTTTTCATCAGAAACATTACAAGAACCAAAATTTTCTAAATTAATAATAACATTTTTACCATGTTATACACGGACACAAATCCAATATTTATGGCAAATCGTTAAGTATCTTGATCATATTGTGCTGTATTTGACTTGTAAGTTCTAACTCTATACATTACCTGTACAATATGTATACTAGCATTCTTATTACTAACACCAGAATCAATATGTAAAGTTTAATCTTTATTTTTATAGTAGCAACAAAGAAGTGCAACATATTAGCCTGTAGTTAATCATCAGAGTCTAATTGCGCTGTACCATATTCAAGTTCACTATTTATAGTTTTCCTCTAGCTATGTTTATTTTACTTGCATGATTGTATTTTTTACATGCTCTAGTCCTAATATATAAAGTTTCATGATGGTATATGGAATAGCAACCTAGCTGTGCAGTCTGGAAATCCTCTTATGGCAGTCACTATAGAACAGTGCCACACCCCTTAATTTAACTTCATTATTTCTAGTTACCTCTTTTCTAATTTTTATTTTATTTGTAGACTTCTATTGCCTATATCATTGAGTACAAATGTGCAAAGTTTTATCATTATATCTTTAATAGCAACATTGGTATGCAAGTTTAAAGCCAATCACACGTCTGGAATGCAGGTTACAAGGAAACATAACAAGTTAAACACATAACTTTGAAAATTCATATAAAAAAAACTATTAGGCCTAGAATGATAAATTTGATATTTTTATCAATGGGGTATATTATAGGATTAATCTGGGTCCATTTTATCATTCTATGATAATTAGGAAAAAATTCCCAATAGGCCTAATAAAAAAGGGACAATGAGAGTGCCAGACTACCAGGCGCAGCTAACAGAATTAGTGCTAGTATTAGAATATGAGATGTAGATCTAGAATCTATTTAGATCTAGACTCCAGAACTAGACCTAGATTTCTAGAATCCTGACTCAAGCTAGATCTAGACTCTAAATCTAGACTAGACCTAGAGTTAGAGTCTAGTGACTAGATTCTGGAAATAGATCAAGTCTTCAGCAGTCAAAAGTCATGATTTTTTTACTAGAGGAAAGGCTCTGGCTTTTTTAATTAACACGCTAGAATATACAGAACCGGTGCACAAAATAAAACAAATAACAATATTCCTTAACGAAGAAACAATACAATTAATAATCTCTACAGTATATTAAGCTGTTAAAAACAGAATTTACCTTAAAATATGTGGGAATATTTCCCACGAGGTATACAATATTATGATGGCCGCTGCGGAAAAGGCAGTGACGTCAAAAAAATTTGCGTACTTCTATTTTTGTTTTTGGTGGTAAAACTCTCGATCACAAACGTGATCGAAAGAAATTCTTAAACTTTGTGAGTAAATTCTTTATATTGATTAGAAATAGCACTAATATTTCCGAAGTTTTTAGGGAACGATAAACTTATTTAACAAAATTACACAATAGTTTCTACGTTAATATAACTTTATTCAGTATATTCTTTTTGGTATCGATACCTCACAAAATCAAGTAGTGTTCTGCCAGATTTTTTACTTAAGGGGTCTTAGGGGTCATCCATTTATGACGTCCACAATTTTTTTGGATTTTGGACCCCCCCCCCCCCCCCCCCACAAAAATCAACTTATTTCCCTTATAAAAGTCCATACGCGTCCGCAAAAGTCATTTTTTTTCGGACCCCCCCCCCCCTCCGGCGTGTGGACGTCATAAAAGGATGACCCCTAACAATCTGAAAGTCTACCGCCTCTCGAACGAGATGGAATTTATATAGTTAACATAATTATACTTTTACTAGTGTCCGCCCCCCCCCCCCCCCCCGAAAATATCAAGTCTGGAAGAAACACTGATAGGTAGCTTAATGACTACAAATGCTGTTTCATGCCTATTAGACAGTGAAATGTGTGTATGAACTGCTTGTAGTCTATGATTTGTGTAATGTATTAAACGTATAAACATCATTACATAAATGTCCTTAACTACACACTTTAAAACCGTTAGCGACTATTCCGAGTTTGTGATTCCCCATCTCCATAATCTATTGGTATTCTAGTCACTTATTAATAATTAATTCCACAGAATGTGGATGACCCCAAAATTTTAGTAGTCCTCGTTGACTATAATATAGGGATCTATGTTTTTCAATAATTTCTCTCATTTAGCCTAAATATTCAAAGTAGAACAAAAAATATGTTGAGAATTTGTATACATTTTATTTTAGCTTTTTATCTGTTCTAAAAATGTGAATATTTCAATGTAAAATTTAATATATGAACTTCCGCATGGAACCCCACCCCTAGTTCACTCAAGTCGATTTTCTTTAAACCCCCCCCCCCCCAACCTCCCCGCTTAGTGTGGACGTCATTATTGGATGATTACACTAAGGTTAAATTTAATTAATCATATCTAAAGGGGAGTAAAGGATTAAGTAATAAAATAGATTAAAATCGTAGAGGCTAATGTTCACAATTAACATTTATATTAACATTAAACAATGAGAAAATAATTTGCCAACCTCCGGCAAATGTTTCTAGTATCGGCTTTCTGTAAGAGTATCGATACTTCCGCCATCTAGTTTGAGAGTACTTGGTCGTCGTAAGAAAATACGGCGCGAAATAAACATAATCTACATTGCATATGTAATAGTCAAAGGTATCTCCATAAGTCAAACACTAGCCCAAGCAATCAACTAGTCTAGTTCTAAGTCTGCTGCACGGGAAAGACAGTTCACCTGTGTAAACCTCCTAAGTAAAATGGCGTCCGAAGGTTCTTCGTCTTCTACCATGGATTCTATCGAAAAGTATGGTGACATTTTGTTTTTTGGGAGTTCACTTTCTTTGTCACACTCCTTGTGCAAACTAAAAATAGAATAGCTAGCCTAATCTAGCTAAAATTTTGGTGTTTCTCTAGATCTACAATTCTACATTCTAGATTAGATTTCTACAATCTCTACATTTAAGTACATTAACATTTAAAATAAATCTAGATCTATAATTTCTAGAGTCAAGCTAGATCTAGATTAAGAATAGATCTAGTCTAGAATCTAGATATTCTCACTAGGCCTAAATCTTAAATTATTTATTTTTTTACCAATAGGCCTACCAATAAAAACTAGATCTAGAATCTAGATCTAAAGTCTAGAGATATAGATCTATTTCTAACTAAGGGGTCATCCATTTTTTATGACGTCCAACCACGGGGGGGGGGGGGGGGGGGGGGGGTCCGAAAAAAATTGACTTTTGTGGACGCATATGGACTTGTATAAGGAAGAAAGTGGATTTTTGTGGACGGGGTGGGGGGTTCCAAAATCTGAAAAATTGTGGACGTCATAAATGGATGACCCCTAACCACTGGGATTAGATCTCATCTACATTAAACATTTGATGATTCTAGCTCATTAGGGGCTAAAATACATGATTTTAATTATTGGTGCCTTACGGCCTAGCTGAGAAATGTTTTTCCATGACAACCATTCAGAGATCTGGTTCCTAAAGTTGGATCATGTGTGGGGAGGGGGAAGCGGAGGTAGAAAACCTTACTGAAGCGTGAACATGTCGTCTGTTTTTGGCTCATAGAAACATTAATTAGCATGTCTCATGCGAAACCTTGGCACCTGCACGTAAACTGTTCATTTATGAACACTTCCGAGTCAAGTACTTCAGTTTTCTCTCTCAAGAATTGTTTTTAGATCTAGAAATTTACCGTTGCATGGTACCCTCATTTCTATTTTTACATCAGCCGGATGAAGTGGCCTAGTGTTGGCAAAACTTGAACCAATCAACAAAGCTTCGTAAATATTTATTAGGGCCTAGGCCTATATAATAATTGGGTTGCAAAATGAAATATACTACAGATTCTGCTAAATATCAGATACTGCTTAGTCAGTACTGCTTTCATTAGGTACTAGGATAAATTTTGAAAATTGGTTTAATAGGGAAACAACCACTACAGTTAAAAGGAGCAAAAAATTACAATAACAGAACAGTTTTCCTTTTTGATGTAGCTCAAACGGTTAAATAGTTATGATTTTTTTTCGTATTAAAAAAGGTGATTTTTTTAACATAAGTTTTTTCCCAATTTCTGTGATAGTTTTTTTAAGCGTTTACTAAAATTGTCCTGCCTTGTAAATCATATGGTCAAATTGGTTATAACTTTGCAATATCTTTATCTATCATATATGCAAGGATAATAAACAATAAAATTAGAAATTTATGGGCAGAGTTAACCAAAAACAGAAGTAGAACAGGGTACCCCCCCTATTTTTTCATATACAGTGCATTCATAAAATCTCAGTTAGAATTTTAACACTTTGAAAAATTAAGCTCAAACTTGCTGAGAATGATGAGCTATGGATGTGTCAGTTATTACAATCAAAATAATATTCATAACTGAAAAGATTTTTGTTTTAACTGCTACAAAGCTGATAAATTATACAATTTCGCAAAACCGAAGTCTTGTTGATGTGAAATGCAACATGATGGCAAATTTGAGTTATTAAGCACTTAAGTCTCAAAATTTGCCTGGCTCTAGATGACTCTATTCTCAAACAGAAACAATCAAAATATGTATTTAAGTCTATCTGTTTGGCAAAAAATAAGGGGTGGAACAGGGTACACCCCCTATTTTTAAATATGAAATTTGTTCATACACTATTTGTTTACGCTCAATCTATTTGAATCTAAAGCTAACAGCTAACTAGAGTGAAGCTCTAAAATAAGTGTGTGTGATGGTTCTATCTAAATAGTTGACAAATAGGTAAAGGATGGTAAAAATGTAAAATGCTGAGTCATCGACACACCTGACATCATTGAAAAACTGAGCGCATATATTTAAATTTTAAAAAAAAAAAAGGCAAATTATATCTATTAGAAATGTAAGGTGTTTTATTCGTATAAATGTAATAAACTTGTTGGTATACTTATATATCTAATATATAAAGCTCAATTCTGTAACGCATATGTTTGTCGTTGGCATTTCTACGGATTTAAGTGTTAGATCAATTATCGTGCGCGTTTGTCTAAATTTATGAGTTAAAAAATTACTATTAAAAGTGTTGGGAAATCATTTTCATTTTTCAAATTATAGTAATAATTGTCGGCATGTTCATTAAACACAAGTTTTAAAAAAATATCATCTTTTACAAAAATTCTAATTATGTTTTTATTTAGTCCTATAGCGCTTACTTCCCTTTGATAAATTAGGCAAAACACAATTACTTCCCTTTATGAATCCATTGCATTAGTTGAAAAGCATTTACTTTTTAATTACTTTGTTTTGGTGTTGGGAAAAAAATAATTACATAATTAGCGGGGATTGATCAAGTGCAAATGTTTTAGGTATTTTACGGATAAGCTTGGAGTATTATAATTGTTCATTAAATTGAAACAGGCGCGTTCGTTTAAGTGAGTGCAAAAACTATGAATAAGTTGGGGTACTATAGTCGTTTATTAAGCTAAAACAGGCGATTCTGCCCCGGGCGTTTATGTTCGCGTTAGTGTTTTCTTTGTGTTTAGGTGGGTTTGCGTTAGTGGTTGCGTTTTGATTTGGTTCGTTTTTGTTCTTTCTTTTTTCGTTTTTGTTTGTGTTTTTTTTTGTTTGGGTTTGTATTTGTGTTTTTGGTTGGTTTTGCGTTTGGATTTGGTTTGTTTTCGTTTGCTTTTTCGTTTTTTTTTTTTTGGTATTGGTGTTTGTGGTTGGGTTTGTTGTTAGGTTTTTGTTTTCGTTTGTTTTTTCTTTGTGTTTGTATTGGTGTTTGTGGTTGTGGTTGGGTTTGTTGTTAGGTTTTTGTTTTCGTTTGTATTTCTAATTGTGTTAGCGTTATGTTTGCGTTTTGTTGTTTTGGTTGGTTGTGGTTTGGGTGGGCAATGCCGGGTTTATGATGATTACTAAACACACAGGTAATGGTCTTTAACGGAAAGGTTTTTCACAGAAGCCAGAGCAGGGCCTGGCCGGGACGGCTAGTATAGTTTAATTTAAAAAGATGTGTTTCTGCTTATTCGTTAATATATTACATTTCAGGAGAAGTTCAACATTGGTTGGTTTTTGAAGGAAATAGTTCATATCACAAATTAATTAGTTTGCCTAAATAAAAGATAAACACATTATTTATTTTAATAGTTTTAATTTCTCGTTTACATAGTGTTCCATCATTAGACCATATAACTGACATTAGGCCATATAACTGCTTATCATATTGTAGAGATGTGCTGGTTTTAGAAGTGTAGGTTCTACCTGGAAAAGTAAACAGTACAAGTACATTATTTGCCTTCCCATCAAAATAAAGAGGTTTTCTGAATACACCAAATATTTAATGTGTATTAATACCAGACCTTCCTTTCTCCCCCCCCCCCCCCCCCCTTCACTACCGTCAATATCAAAACAACGCTCGCCACTATCGTCGGCGTCAAAACAACGATCGTCGGCGTCAAAACAACGTTCGCCACTATCACGGCGTCAAAACAACGTTCGCCACTATCAAAACAACGCTCGGCGGCGGCAAAACAACGTTCGCCACTATCACCGGCATCAAAACAGCGTTCGCCACTATCAAAACAACGCTCGTCGGCGTCAAAACAACGTTCGCCACTATCACCGGCGTCAAAACAGCGTTCGCCACTATCAAAACAACGCTCGTCGGCGTCAAAACAACGCTCGCCACTATCACTATCGCCGGCATCAAAACAACGCTCGCCACTATCGCCGGCATCAAAACAACGCTCGCCACTATCAAAACTACGCTCGTCGGCATCAAAACAACGCTCGCCACTATCGCGGGCGTCAAAACAAAGCTCGACATAATGGCCAGCATCAACACAGCGCTCGCCAATATCGCCTGCGTAAAACAGCGTTTCCCACTATCGCCAGAGTCAAAACAACGATCGCTATTGTCAAAACATCGCCCGCCACCAACGCCCGAGTCAAAAATGCCTTCGGTACTATCACCAGTGTCGAAACAGCGTTCGCCGTAAGCGCCAGAGTCAAAACAGTATTCGCCACTAACGCTCGAATAAAAAAGGCGTTCGCTACTTTTGCCGGCGTCAAAACAGCGTTCGCCATTATCGCCCGAGTCAAAACAGCGTTTGTCACTATTGCCCGAATCAAAACAGCATTCGCCACTATCGCCCGAATCAAAACAGCGTTCGCCACTATCGCCCGAGTCAAAACAATGATCGCCACTATCGTAAATACAGTAATACAAGCATATCAGCTAGACTAAGTCACACAAGTGTTAGCAGCGAGACCCGACAACTTCCGGTTCACTTTCACTTCCAGTCTGTAAACAGTTAAAGTCCCAAACAGTACACCAAACTGTGAAGCGTTTTGCAGCTAAGAGACACATCCAATCATTATGATTTTTTACAGTAATAGAGAAAAATGGATAATAATGGAGATTATGCAATAAAATTTCAAGTAGAGCCCATAGAGAAGTTTAGGGAATAAGTCAAACTTACCTTATTTTCAATGAAACACTCCATAAAAAATAGTCCATGAAAATATTTTAAAAAATATATAATACGCTAAGTCCATTTTTCTTCAAAATAATACTCCTCGCAATAAAATTGACCAGGCAAAAACGGAGAATAATAAAAATTTCGAAACACTCGCACTCGCGCGTCCGCCAACTCTCGATATTTGGGTAACGGGAGGAAAATCTCGCCGCGCATCGTAAAACGGGAGCCAAATCCTAGTACCTAGCTTTCATAGTTAAAACAGGCATGATAATTAGGTATACCAACGTCTTTTAGTAGACTTCCGAACTGGTTTCTAGATCTTGTGTTGTAACCTAGTCTATTTTTATGGTTAGAAATTAGGGGTAGGTTTTTGAGTATTTTATCCCAAAACCATAAGTACATTTTTACAATGACTAAATTATATTGGTAAAAACAATATGGCTGATGGTTTGAATCTTCAAAAATTCAGTTTTTATTTGTTTGTCTCATGAGACCCCTGTGTGGTTGAGAAAACCTGAGCTTTTACAACTTTACATCTGCAGAAGTGAAATAATGAAGAAAGCCGCTGAACTCTTGGCACAGGGTAAAAAAAACATGATCTGTGGGGAGGTCCCAAAGGCTGTGAATGTATTTGAGGAGGCTGTGCAATTATTGTAAGTACTGTTTGACTTGTTTTTCTGTTACCATACAAGTTAACTGGTGAATTCCAATTGTTTTATATATATCAATAGAGTTAAAGAATGTGGTGAGCTGTCACATGACTGTGCAGATGCTTACTTTAACTGTGGTTCAGCATTGCTGGAGCTAGGTCGAATGGAAACAAATGTCTTGGGCACAGCTTTGGAAGGAGGTAACTGTTAGTTTATTTGATCTACTCATTCCTTTGGTTTATGTGGTTGTTTTTATTTCAAATACACTTGTTTAAAAATTCATTTTATTAAACATTGATTGTCCTACCTTAAAATAACTACATTAGCAAACTTCCTGCTTTACTTGTATTTTAGTGGATGTTGAGGAAGAAAAGGAGGAAGAAGAAAATGAACAGTTTGAAAAGCCACCTGCAGATGATGGTATGTTTATTCACATGGTCTATTCTAACTTTTTTTATATTGCTAGTCTAGCACATTTTAAAATGTATTTAACTCAATCCGTTTATCAAGAAAAAAAATATTCCAATTATAACTGTAGAATACTATAATTTTTGTTAAACTTAAAAATTTGTATTAAACATTAGGTGCAGAAATTCATTAACTTGGCTCAAGTGTGTCAAGATTGGTATTATTTGTTTATCCATATTTTGAAATGTGCTCTTTGGTGTCATTGCTTCTTTAGCACCCAAACTCACCTGTAATTTTTTTTTTTTTCTGTTTACTCTGCTTTCTGTAGAAGTGAAAGCTTTTGCTTGTAGCCCTAGCACTACTAGACAAATGCATCTATTAAAACTACACCTCCACTGCTTTTAATTACTATGCTGAACTGCGTGGCATTGCCTAGTCTGGTGATGCATGTACGATTTTAAACATGCTTATTTAACATCTTAAGAAAATTTTTGCACCTTGTTATTAAATGCACTTTGCGTTGGAGGATTTGAACTGAGGCATCCTTAAACTTAGATTTTATTTAAGGCTTAAAGTACATTATAAAGTATTATACTTGTCCGTTACTTCACACTTGCATCTTTGTATAGAGTAAACCTTTATTTTTTATATCCCTTTTTTTAAACTCTGCTTTTATATTCTCCTGCCTTGTGCTAAGTAAGGTGTGGGAATGCTATGTAGACGGCATGGGTATGGGTTTTAAAAACCTTTTCATTCACAGACAATGTGAGGAAACAACTGAGGGAGGAAGTTTATGAAGCTATGGCAGAAGGAGAAAGAGAAGAAGAGTTTTCAAAGATCATCACTGAGAAAGCTATCAAGTCTTGTGCAGATTTGGTTGAGAAAGATGGGGAAAGTAAGATGGAAGGTACTGAAGCTGCTGTTGAAGGTTCAGAGGCTAAAACTAATGGAGACAAGCATGCGGAGGATGTTAAAGATAATGGGAATACAGAGGGTGCAAAAAATGGTGACTCTACTGTGAATCCTTCATCTGACAAGGTAGAAGCACCTGCCTCAAAAGAAAGTGAAGAGGTAAAAGCTGTAGACAGTGAAAAAAGTGAGAGCAAAGCTGAGACTGAAATGGAGGCTGAGAGCACTGATAAAACTGAAGTGGCCAAAGATCAAGCGGAGAATGGTACCAAGGAGTCAAGTGATAAACCACAGGAGTCCAATGGAGATTCTAAGACCCAAGGGTCAGATGACAAGGTGGCCAGTGGGGACTCTAAGGCTGAAGAAAGCAAAGAGGAAACAAATTCAATGGAAACTGAGGTGTCTAATGGTACTACAACCAGTGAAGACAAAGTAGAGACTGACAAAACCAAAGCAGTTGAAACCGCTGACAAAGCTGAGGCAGACAAAGATAATGTTGAAACCACTGATAAGACAGAAGCTAAAAACGGTGTTGAAGCAGACAAGAGCAGTGTTGAAACCAAAGATAAGGTTGATGCAGATACCAACATAGATACCAAAGACAAAGCAGAGGCAGACAAAACCACTGAAACTAAGGACAAGGTAGAGGCAGACAAAGACAATGGTGTGGAGTCAAATGATAAAAAGCCAGTAGAAGCTGCAAGTGAAGAGGCTAAAAGTACTGCTGAGGACGCCGAGGGGAAAAATGGTGAAAGTAAAGAAGCTGATGAGGATGTTGAAATGGCTGAAGCTTCAGATGGTGAATCCCTTTTCCTATACAATTATATTGTGCTTACTAACATTCTGACCATTAACTTAATAGTGCAGCTACTACTTGCTTGACATTTTCTTGGTTACCCTCACCTTTTCTAGCCAACCCAAGTTATCTTTTCTTGTTTTATAATGCATGTATCACTACAGTTATTACCTTGTGCCAGAGAAATGTTAATGTGCATGTTTATTGTTCGTGAAATGTTCAGTACTTTTGCTCACTATTGTTATACTCTTAAGTTTCACAGTGTGTCTTGTTTTTATCACCAGAAGAGGAAGGCGCAGAAGAAGAGGCAGCTGAAGGTGAAGAAAGTCAAGAAGGGGAAGAAACTGAAGAGAAAGAAGAGGTAATAATTGTAAATGTTTGCTACTTTTGTCAGTTTGTTAGTCAAATCAACTCAACTAATTTGTAGTTTATTAATACATTTGGATGTAGTAATGTTATTATCGTTAGTTCTAAATTCACATGAATTTCAAATTTTTTTCAGGACATTCCAAATTTCCAGCTAGCTTGGGAGTACCTTGACCTTGCTAAAGTAATTTATTTAAAGTAAGTTGTCAAGTGATAGCAAATTTTCTTTAACTTTGCATTTTGTGAATTTTATCTCAATTGCTTTTTTTTTTCTGTTCAGGAGTGAAAGCAAAGAAGACCTTTTAAGAGCAGCAGAATGTCATATTAAGTTGGGAGAAGTCAGCATGGAAACAGGTAAAACTTGTAAAAATCTTTATGAATTATTCTAAGTTATGCTCAAAACTTGATTGTTTAACAATGAAATTATTTTTTTATCAGAGCAACATGCAACAGCTGCTGAAGATTTGCAGAGTGCCTTAAAAATTCAACAGAAATTACTCCCTGCTGATGACAGATTAATTGCAGAGACTCATTACCAGCTTGGTTTGGCTTATGGACTAGGGAAAGAATTCCAGCTCTCTATTGAACAATACAAACTGGCTATTAGTGTTATTGAAGCTAAAATTGGTATGTGCATTTGCATAAAGTTCTCTTATGAGTTGTGTGACATTTATTTGCAAACTAAAGTCAACTGAATTTTGTTTTCTTTTAACTTCTAGCATCATTGACCAAACTCATTGAGGGAAAAGATGCAGACACAGAGAACAAAGGTAAAATTGTCCTATTGTTTGCCTGGTAATACTTGTTCATGACAAAGTATGGTCATTGTGGTCAAGGTATATCTATCATTGCAGCTTGTTGGTTGGATTTAAATTGTATTTGGTGAGTTTAGTCCTAAGTATTCCTAGATTTCTTTGCTTTAACAACTCTTTCCTTTTGCAGAAAACTGTGAAACAGATGAATTAAAAAAGCACAAAGATGAGATAAAGGAGCTTCAAGATCTCATACCAGAGATGAAAACAAAGGTACACAATAACTGCTTAAAGAATGTTTTTTTTCCATACTAGTTTTGTTTGTTCGAAAAATTCTCAATGTGTGTTGTGTATATCCTATTTGTTATTGTGAAACAGATTGAAGATACACAACAAGAAGCCAGTGATATGGAAAAAATGAAAGAAATGGCTAAGGAAGTTTTGGGGCTTTCAGGAACAACAAAGGTAAAGCTGTTGTAGTTTGACATTAATTTACTAATTCACTGAAGAAGTGTATTTTACTGTTTACATTAATTTTATTACTTATGTTTATGGCTATGAAATTTTTTTGTTGAATCACATATTTTTGTAGTCTTTAAAGTCTTATTTTGTATCCTGATAGGGATTTGGTTCACCAGTTAAAAAAGCAGATCCAGGTGCAGCTAGTGGTAGTACAGACGTTGATGAAAATGGAGAGGTACTGTTTTAAATTAGTCTGTATAGCTAGTTAGAGGTATGAATCTATTGATAGTATGCTTTATATTCACTGAAAATATCTTTATTTCCAGAAAAAACCATCGGATATTGCTCACTTAGTTAGGAAAAAGGTAAATATTGAAGTCTTTATTGAAAAGACTATTTATGTATAAATGTTAAGCCCAGTGTTAATCCTTGACCATTCTGTTGATGAATCCAGAGAAAGCCAGAGGATGATGTGGCACCATCCAGCCTTGAGATCAAGAAGATTCGCCAGGAGGAGGGAGCATCTGGTGATGCTGTCAATGGAGTGGAAGCTGTCAATGGTCAGGCCAAGGTTAATGGCAATGGAGAGACAACTGTGTGTGGTGATAGTGTTGTTCCCCCTGCTGAAGTGATTGTAAGTCTTAAATTTTCTAAATTGAAAAGGTGTAAATACACTACTGCTTAGAATAGTCATCACTGGTCTGCTCTTTTCATAAGTTCACCAAAACAGTCTAAGATATAAATTTTAGGTAAACCCTTTGAAAATCCTTAACCCTGACCCTAAAATCCATGAGCTTAATGTACACACAAGACTGAATTTAAAAAATAAAGACTAGGAATATAGCAACAAAGTTAACTATTGATTTGATGAACATTTGTTCATGAATACTTCGACTTACTATGCCAGTCCTTCCAGTAGATAGACCCTCTTTTGGACATAGGCCAAAAAAGGGTTTTTTTTTTTTTTTTTAAATCTTTTCATCGTAAAATGCATGATAAACATAACAAACATTTTAGTTCGTGGGCGCAGCCATCATGAACTTACACAAGTCAAGTAGTACTAGTTACATACTTTTTTAATATCTTTTTGTTTCTGAACTGTCGATCTGGGTACGGTATCTGACCAATATGGTATTCTGTTGGGTCCCAAAGTTTTAAGACACTGACATAACTGGTTAACAATCCCAGCATTTGTAGGAGATTCTGTGTTTGTGTTCATACATGAGTTGCAATTAGCTTCAATATGTTAGTAGCTACTCTGGTAGATTCCAGTTGGCAACTTATATCAGTAAATTTCTGTATTCTTTTTGTTTTTGGGTTTTTTTAATTATGATTTTTAAGGGCTTTTACCATAAGCCCAGTTTCCTCTAATATATTGGTTAGATGCATCCCCAAGTTTACTAAGTAAACCTGTAAATTAACTTGTGTAGTCTCCTGACAAGCCATTATTAAATTTTATATATGATATATATATATGTGTGTGTGAGCTAATAACTTTGAATCTCCTCCCCAGAAGAGTGATGCTGCTGCAGCAGCTGAGCCCATGAGCACATAGTGAAGCAACATCTGTGATCCCTTCATGTGTACATGATCCATCATGCTTTATCCTCATCATATGTACATCTTCCATCAAGCTTACTGCATCATTTTTCCATAGGACTAATCATTTACACCAATTTTCTAATCTCCACTCATTTTTAGTGTGCTAATCTTTTATTTGTAGCCTCTTGTATTATTATTACCCTTTTGAGGCGGTGTATAATAAATAGAGGACCATTGATTGTTGTTGTAAAAATACTTTAATACCATAACTTGTTCATAATCCAAACCATAACTTGTTAATGTGGTTGGTTGTTGCTGCTGCATTTTGGCTTTGTTGATAAGTGAGATTAAAATTATTGTCAAGCACTTGTTTTCTTCTGTTTTACTTAAATCACTGTTTAGCTTTTAGTTTTACTGGATGTGAACTGTTGTAGATACAACCATCACAAATTTGTTGTTCAGTTTGAAAATTCCTAAGATTATATTTTATGGATTTGACATAGAGACACTATTTCTATTAAAAGCCAAATGTCATGTGTTTACATTGGAAACTGGAAGTGTATCTGGCCAACCTCAGCAAGACTTAGGTTGTTAATGAAAACACTATCTTCCTGCAACTTCATACAGGAATGTTTTTGGGAAAAGTATTTTAAAAATAAAACAGTTCTTCATTGGCCGTTAACTTATTAATCCCGATTGTTTTAAAATTAAACCTTATAGTTTACAGATGTTACATAATTAGTCGCTGATAATTGCAATCTTTTGCTAACTGGTCATCCATTTATGCCGTCCACTGGGGGGGGGGGGGGGGGGGGGTCCGAAAAAATTCACTTTTGCGTACGCGCGTGTGGATTTTTTTTTTTGGGGGGGGGGGGGGGGGGGGCATTAATGGATGTTTGAAATGTATTTCTGAATATTAAGGTTATTTCGTACTTTCAAACTTATTTTTCCAAGAATAATGTATTAAGTATCAACATACTCAATATTGACCGCGCTCAGTTTATATTTCATGAAGATATCGAAAACAAAAATTAGTTTATAGGATAGGGGCGTGGTACGCTGTGTGAAGACATTTTAAGTGGGGGGGGGGGTAAAATTTATATCGTTTATGGACTAGTCCTAAACTTTTCTAGAACCCTTGATGCTGAATGGTCAACCTATTGAAACGTATCAGTCTTTTCATTGTTCTCGAAATTCAAATTCACCTGACCTGGTGTGTCGACACGACAAACTGACCGTGCCTACTGGAAGACCTGCCTTGCTGTGTTGACACAACTGACCGTTAAAATAAATGCCTTCTACAGCACACTGACCTGCCTTAGTGTGTTTGACACAAAATGACCGTTAACTGACTACTAGAGCACACTGACCTGACCCGTCTGCCCTAATGTGCCTACACGACCTTGATAATTTACACCTTATCAGTGCAAGTGTTAGCATGCCAGAGTTTCACTTGGTGTGTACACAGTGGTCCCCACATTGTTTAACATAGACCACCAGTGTCCATGAGTGTAACAGAGGTCCCACACATTACTTACCATAGGAAACAACTGTGCATTAGTCTGAAAGTGGTTCCCCCCACACTATACAACATAGGAGACAACTGTATGTGACGGTATTTATATGACACAGCTTAACGTAAGTGTGCCAGTTGTCACCAGCGAATGCTAACAGAGCACAGCTATACATTTATTAGTTTGACACTGACAGTGGTTGACAGAAACCAGCGTAAAAGATCGTATTGTTTCATTTCACTGAAACAGGTAAACTACTTAAGTTATCGGTATTTTAGAAAACGGAAATAAAGTAAAATACACTGCCGTTCTATGTATGGACTTTCGTTTTACCTAACGGAATCAGTACTCGGGTTACCGTGTTTATACGAAAACAGAGTAAAGTACCAATATTCCGGTTACCTGAAATCTCACAAAAGATGTTCAAACTACGCATTGGATATAATACTTCCATACTTAAAAAAATGTCAGCCTTACTAAAACAATACTCAAATCATAGTGTTCACATACACATAGGCAAGATTAGAAAACTAAGCTTTTCCGACACACGAAGGTGTAAAATGTCGAGATTCGTCAAAATGTCGATTTCCGACACGTTTACAATACGTGCTATAGCCTCCGAATACAATGAATAAGCATACACGGATGGCTTGTGTTAAACATAACGAATAACCTTAGGCACGAGATATGTTCATGAAGAGGTTGAGAACTGCTGACTGGGACCAAGCTCTTTGTGTTAGGGGGTCATCCATAAATGACGTCACACTCGGGGGGAGGGGGGTCCGTAATTTTGTGACGATGTGTGATGACGGGAAGGGGGGGGGGGGTTCAGATGTTGCGACGTCACATTTTTGCATTATAAAAAAGCAATGTTAGAAAACGTTATTTCGCGTTTTAGATAACTGTTTTAATAAATTGTAATAGTTTAGTAAGATTTTGGAAAAATATCGATGTTTAAAAAAAATTCAACTGCAATTTTCAGGGGGGGGTTGTAGGTTGAGGTGTGACGTCATTTTAGGGGGGTCTGGCTTTTTGTGACGACGGAGGGGAGGGGGGGGGGAGGTAAAAATCGTCCAAAAAAGCGTGACGTCATTTATGGATGACCCCTTAGCCTATAGATTCTAGAACTCCTTTTGTTACTGTGGCTTGAAAGAGAGCTCACAGCTGGATTCACTATACATCATTATGCATGGAGGGGCAGGAGAGCATTAATTTTAGAACCAGTGGCTGTCAAGTAGGCTAAACGATTATTTAAAGCTTACGTTGGTAAACCACAGTCTATACTATAACAATGTGCTATTGTCTCGCTGTAGAATCTACTATCACTTCCATCCATCTCTAAACCGGAGTTAACTGAGGTATGCATTAATGTGATGTGCTTCTATGATAATATCGGTATCTATAAAGTTAAAGTGTAATTAAATTCTAGATCAAGGTTCTGTTTAAATATTCAACATTAAAAAAAAAAAAAAAAAACTAGAGATATATTTCAGGTATGCATCCTCAAATTATAAATATAGGCCAACATCTGCATATTTGGGTCAAATGAAAAAAAAAGTATTTAAAACATTTTGAAAAACAAGTGAACGCGATTTTGAAAATGTAGCTTTAAACTCCAGCGATAGTGGTACTATTCAATATGTTTATTTTTTAATAACGGCAAACTTTTTTGTTACTTAGGTAGCAACTTACATCAATAGATTAACGTCACCATAAAAATGTCACGGAAAAAGGTGAGACGAATGAGTCGCTAATTAAAATTCTAGTTGCTTTAGTTAATTAAATCAAACTTATCCTGTAACATAATTTCTCCGCCTCCCACACCGTGTAGGTCATTATCCTCGGAGCCGGAGTAGCCGGTCTGTCCACGGCTGTCTGTATCCAGAGCTGTTGCCCTCACCTGGAGCTGGAGATCGTGGCCGAGCACTTCTCTCCCCACACTACGTCAGACGGCTCGGGTGGATTCTGGGAGCCCTACGCCACTGGTTCGGACGTCGACCGTTTCTTGTGAGTTGTTACCCCCCCCCCCCCACACACACACACACACACTACCCCCACACACATACACACACTCCACACACACACACACCACCACCACACACATACCTACGCCACTGGCTCGGACGTCAACCATTTCTTGTGAGGTTTCTATTTGTTACCCCCCCCCCCCACACACACACTACCCCCACACACACTCCACACACACACACATACCTACGCCATTGGCTCGGACGTCGGCCGTTTGTCGTAAATTTACCGTCACCCCCCCCACCCCCCCATACATACACACACACCACCACCACCACCACACACTCGTATACCTACGCTACTGGCGTAGTATGGTTGACTTCATCCATGACTTCTAGTCTGGTATGGTTGACTGCACACAGGACTTCTAGTCTAGTATGGCTGACTGCACCCATGACTTCTAGTCTAGTATGGCTGACTGCACCCATGACTTCTAGTCTAGTATGGCTGACTGCACCCATGACTTCTAGTCTAGTATGGCTGACTGCACTCATGACTTCTAGTCTGGTATGGTTGACTGCACCCAAAAATCTAGTTTGACCAAGGACTCTGGTTTGTGTTGCAGGCGAATGGGGGAGGTGACCTTCAACTATCTCATGGGGTTGGCCAACTCGCCGCTGGCTGGAGAAATCGGAGTGCAGCTCATTTCTGGGTATACGCTTGACCACGGTGAGGTAAGGCTTGCAGACCAGGGTGGGGTACATGTCTTACCATGGTGAGGTAAGGTAGGCTGACCAAAGCGGGGGGGGGGGGGGGGGGTACATGTCTGACCACAGTGGGTAAGACTGGCTGACCCAGGCGGTGGTACGTTTGACCACAGTGGGAACTGACCATGTGTTCGGTAGGCGAGACAAAAGCTGTAGACAGATGGGTGTCTTCCTGGACCAGTGTAACCCTAACAGCTGACAACACCACAATGTTGATTGTCCTGTAACCCTAACAGCTGACAACACCAAAACAATGTTGATTGTCCACAGAGTGAACCAAGCTACAGACATATTGTAGATGGCTACCGGAAGTTGACGCCCACCGAATTGGCGCGGTTCCCAAAATTCCAGTTAAGTTTTTTTTTTTAATTTCCAAAATTTTCACACGTTGCGGTTTTACATCATAGGGATAGGGCCTACAATTAAAATTTTTGGAAATGTGAGTTCCAGTTTAGAAAGATTCAGTTAAAAAACGTCTTGCATAAATGCCGAAATTCCGCCTTTTCCAACTTCCCACTCCCTAAAAATATAATTTTGCATCAACATTATTAAACGAGAAAAATGGCCCGTTGAGGAAGGATACACCGGGCGCTAGGTTGATAGTGCTGTCTCTTTTCTCTAAACTAAAACCAACCCACCCCCCCCACACACACACACACCACCCCCACCCCCACCCCCCCACCCCCCCAAAAAAAAACATGTCTACCGTCCCATTCAGCGAAATATAATTATATACTTTTTCCAGTGTCCGCCCCCTCCCCGAAAATTCTACCCCCGCCCCCGAAAATTTCAAGTACCCCACTCCTCTCCGGGGAGGAAAAAGTCTGAAAGAAACACTGGTGTCGCGCTTAGCCACTACGCGAAGAATTGCATTAAAGAAATTGCGAGAAAACCACTTTTTAGATTAGACACATTAATTAGGCGGTAATTTTATTATAGAGTATCGATGAAGAAATTTCTTTTGAGTTGGGGAGGGGGAGGGGCTCAGACGTTCTTACGCGGGGGGGTGGGGCTTCGCCCCTACCCGAAGAATTGTATGCAAGAAACTCTTCACGCAAACCACTTAGATTAGACAACATTTCCTCTTTATTCAATGTTTACGCCAGAATCAATGACGTCATTATATTACTGTGAGATTATTTTCAACTCTATGCTAAATGTGTCGACGTCATACTTCGTTTTTCGAATTACTATGCATGTTTTTAAATTGCTTGTCTTTTCTCTAGAGCGTTCTTGTCAGATAGATAGATAGATAGATAGATAGATAGATAGATAGACAGACAGCGAAACTATTATTATAGACGAGAAAAATGGCCCGTTGAGGAAGGATACACCGGGCGCTAGGCTGATAGTGCTGTCTCTTTTCTCTAAACTAAAACCACCCCCCCACACACCCCCCCACCCCCCACCCCCACACACACCACCCCCACCCACCCCCCACCCCCCACATTCCCCCTCACCCCCCCCCCACACCCCCCACCCCCCCCCCTAAAAAACATGTCTACCGTCCCATTCAACGAAATATAATTATATACTTTTTCCAGTGTCCGCCCCCTCCCCGAAAATTCTACCCCCGCCACCGAAAATTTCAAGTACCCCCACCCCTCTCCGGGGAGGAAAAAGTCTAAATTAAAACCCCCCCACCCCCCCCCACACACACACCACCCCCCCTCCCCCCTCCCCCCCACCCCCCCTAAAAAACATGTCTACCGTCCCATTCAACGAAATATGATTATATACTTTTTCCAGTGTCCGCCCCCTCCCCGAAAATTCTACCCCCGCCCCCGAAAATTTCAAGTACCCTCACCCCTCTCCGTGGAGGAAAAAGTCTGAAAGAAACACTGGTGTCGCGCATAGCCACTACGCGAAGAATTGCATTAAAGAAATTGCAAGAAAACCACTTTTTAGATTAGACACATTAATTAGGCGGTAATTTTATTATAGAGTATCGATGAGGAAATTTCTTTTGAGTTGGGGAGAGGGGGGGGGGGGCTCAGACGTTCTTACGCGGGGGTGGGGCTTCGCCCCTACCCGAAGAATTGTATGAAAGAAACTCTTCACGCAAACCACTTAGATTAGACCAAATTGCCTTTACTCGATAATCAATGACGTCATATCAGTGTGTGCACTATCCGGCTTGAGATTATTTTCTACTCTGTGCGCTAAATGTGTCGACGTCATAGTTCGTTTTTCGAATTACTGTGCATGTTTTTATTTTGCTTGTGTTTT